AAATTTTTTGGAAATAATGAAATAGAGGGGATAACGCCTTTTTTTTCAGAGGTGATTTTTCAAAAATTTATTTAAAAAAAAGTACTAACTAGCAAATGTTTTTTATTAGCTCGCAATTTTTTTCAAAACTACTTCAATGAGGAAAAAAATAAAAATTTGGAATATCTATACATGAGGGGCTAATTGACCGGATCTATAATTGATATCGACTGCAAATAAAACGAATGCAATTTCTACTCTACCGACACTGTTTGGCCGACTGCAAGGATGGCGAACAGATGTTTGAATCTTTGTACAGTTGTTCCCTTAGATTTTTCACAAGTCTATGCACAGTCGTGGAAGTATGAACGGAGCCGTCCCAGGCCGGGCCTTAAAGTGTCAGTGCAATGGCTACAGAGGAACGTCGTGTTGCCCTGATCACCGGTATCACCGGCCAAGTGAGTGCTCCGTTCTTCCATAAGTCCATAATATTCTTGATCTATTCATCCCCCCAATTACATTATTTCCATAATTCTGAACAACTGATTACTCCAGGATGGTTCGTACCTCGCGGAATTTCTCCTCGAAAAGGGTTACGAAGTGCACGGAATTATCAGACGTGCGAGTTCCTTCAATACTGGAAGGATTCAGCATTTATATGCAGATCCCAAGAGTCATCGTCATGGCAAAATGAAATTACATTGGGGAGACATGACGGACTCTAGTGGATTAGTCAAAGTTATATCTGCCGTTCAACCTACAGAGATTTATAATCTCGCAGCGCAAAGCCACGTCATGGTAAAGATAGCAAAATAATAAAACTATCCGGCTTAGACTGCAAGCGCCTTTTTTCGTCGTGAATAATTGAGGAGATAGTTATGGGAGTATTCGCTGATTTATGGAAAATATCTTGGCTTTTTTCACATCAGAATTCTTGTAATTTCCCATCAGACGTCGGTATCCTTATTTTCATATCCTGTTTTTCACTAAAAAAATAACAGTGCAATGATAAAAGATGACTTAGCGCCTTTTATCCCAGCTTAAAAGCCTTTTGATTTAATTACATTCGACTCTTCATTGTATTGTTATGGAATGCTTGGAACGAATGAATAATCCCTTCCCTCCCCCTGAAATGTGAATCAAGTGACAATTGAATGATTCTATTCTATTGCTTTGATTGGCTATATGCCTTTTTTTCAAGTAGAGGGCAAGTGCCGATTTGTTCTCTGAAAGATTTTTGCGCCATCTGTTTCATGCTCCGAGAAACTCGAAATCAGAACAAAATTTGTTTTTTTTCAGTTATTCTGTCCGATGCTAGAAGCGGCTACTTCTATTCCAGTTAAATATCCAGATTGAATATCCCAATCATCCCAAGATTCCAAAGGCGTTTCTGGATTTCTTTACTTTATTCTTTTCTGGTGTAATTAGCTCGTATCGACGAATGAAAATAATCAACGTTCCAATTCCAATAATTAATTATTCATAGTATTAGAAAAAAACTTTTCACTTTTAATAGTCCACTTTCCTCAATCGGAAGGTCGATTCAACTGAACTAAATTCTATTTGGGAGACCGCTGGCAGTATCTAAGACCGCTATTAATTATCGGAGTGCCAACAAAAGATGTAAAACAAGGAGTAAGAAAAAAAGAAAGGATAGATGTTAAGAGAGGATATTTGGGATGATAGAAATCCTACTCAGAATTTACGGAAGAGAAAATCTAGCGCTCTCGATGCCATCTGTTTCCTATTTTCACTTATAATTTTTTTCATTTCCCATCTAAAGTCCAATCATCATGATCTGTGATTAATTCTCAATGTGAAAATAGCAATCACTCCCTATGAAAATTTATCAGCCATTTTAATTTTATTACCCAGGTGAGTTTCGAATTGAGTGAATATACAGGGGAAGTAGACGCCATTGGAACTGTGCGTCTCCTCGATGCCATAAGAACTTGTGGCTTGGAGAAAAAAGTCAAATTTTATCAGGCATCTACTTCAGAGCTGTACGGTGGCAAGGACACGACGGTTCCGCAGAACGAACAGACTCCGTTCTATCCCCGTTCACCATACGGTACTAAAATTGTTGAACAAATCACGTTGAATTATTCAGTGTTGGTGAAAGTTTAATGACATCGATTAATGATTTTTACAGCTTGTGCTAAACTTTATAGCTACTGGATTGTCATAAATTATCGCGAGGCGTATGGATTGTACGCTTGCAATGGCATTCTGTTTAACCACGAGAGCCCGAGGCGGGGTGAGAATTTCGTTACGAGGAAGATCACTAGGGGTGTGGCGAAAATTCATGTCGGAGCTCTGGATGTTCTGGAGTTGGGGAATTTGGATGCTGTGAGGGATTGGGGCCACGCCAGAGATTATGTTCGGGTAATCACAGTGATGAGGAGCGAATTGTACTCCAACAAGTCTTCCTCTCAAATCTCAAACCCTGTAGTAATGACAATGACAATGACATGATGACAATTCTGCAATTTGAACGAAATATTTTTCATTTAGCTTCACTTCACGAGAGATATTCTCATCCGGCAATGGGACAGTCAGAATATTTAGTCTGCTTCAAATTAATTTACGTGAAATTAATCACTACATGGAAACCCTCAAGGTGATACGGCCCATGAATTATTGAATTCCAAATGAAGCATCAAAAAAGTATTCGTCCCATTCCTACAACCTCTACTTATTAAAATTTTTCCCCCTCTCACTGGACTCTCAAAATTCAATGAAGCATTTCAGGAATGTGATCATGTCGTTTTGATTGACATTGATGACTGAAAGTCAATTGAAAAGAATGAGCTAATCGGGTGTCAGAACAAATTGAAAATTACCCGTGAACTTGTTTTCCCCCAGGCCATGTGGATGATGCTCCAGCAGGAGACTCCTGAAGATTACGTTATAGCGACCGGAGAGAGCCACAGTGTCAGGGAATTTGTTGAAACTGCCTTTCGTCATGTGGGAATTAATATCACGTGGACGGGGGAGGGCGTCGACGAGGTTGGAAGTGATAAGGATACTGGGAGAGTGCTAATTCGGGTCAACCCAAAATACTTTCGGCCAACGGAAGTCGTGAGTTTCATTTTTATCAGCAAAAATCGAATCATTAGAACAGGATGAGGCGATTTCACGTCAGAACAAGGAGATTTGGAGAATGGGCATTGCATTGTGATATAATGTGTGTAAAATATTAATCACGTTATATCACAATTTTCACCATTTCACTGTTCACTTGCTTTTGATCTTCGTTTACATTGCTCTCTTCATTTGCGTTAGGTCATGCTCCTCGGCGACTCAACGAAAGCGAAAACGAAATTCGGGTGGCAGCCTACCGTCACTTTCCCGGTGAATATTCAATTTCATTTCATTTTCACATAGATTCAACAGCTCTATGGGACCGTTAGAAGATTAATTGTTTACTTTTACTGCTTTCCAGGAATTAGTCAAAGACATGTTGGACGCTGACATTGAACTGATGAAAAAGGACCCAACGGCCTAATAAATCTCCTGTATTAACGAACATTGTAAAAAGTCATTCCAACACCATTGATATATTTTTAAGCCATAAAACGTTGCATTTTGTAACTTTTATACGATAACTGAGATAATTCAGTTGATACGAAGAATGTAATTTTTAAGCACAAGTCTTTCTTAGAAAAGAAAGAAATGAAAATAAAGATAATGATTAATAGACCTGTCTTTTGTATTGAACGTCCACATAACTTTATGTATTATGATAACTGAGATCATTTAGTTTGAACAAAGGATGGGGTGTTTGGAGAACAACAGATGGGAATAAAGATGATGACTGATAGACCTGTCTTTCTATTGAGCATTCAGTGAGAGATTACAAAAAAGTAGAACACAGACTTGTGCGTTTGGCGTGTCTCTTTGAGCGCGTGACGTGCAACTTTGACCTTACTTACGTATTTCTCATTCTTTTGTCATCTGCGACCTTGGTGTGACAGTCTTGGGAGTCTCGAATTAAAAAAGCACTTAAAACTCCTTCGACAGACAGAAATGCATAACTCGAAGAGGTATATTTGGATTCATGACCAGAAGCCAAACTGACAGTTTACGACTGTTTACAGAGACGAATTATTGTGCAAACTGCGTAAAGAATTAGCTTCTTTTATGTATTGAAGGCTTTACAAGTCTCTGGCTGTTCGGAAATAGCATCGTAAACTTTTGGCACCGGTGAAATTATGATGGTCGTAATTTTCAATGCATTATTTCACTTTCGAAAGGAGGAATTGAAAAGAATTGGGAAACAGAAGATGAGAGAATGTGTATTTCGGTTGAGTATTTTTACAGTAGAAATTGTTGAATGTTTCTTCAATTTTTGGATGGAGAGATTTTGGTGCTACATTTATGGATTTAAATGCCGCAGTTTTACCGATCGCATTCTCCGCTTTATCATTTCGAACCGGTCAAATGTTTGAGCATCGAGGCAGTTGCGTACGGATTGTCCCGTGGTACCTGCGAAAGGAAATAAATCAGGCAAAAATGTAATCGTCTTTTCTAATTGCTGACAATTACCATGTGCCCGGCTCTGTTGATCCAGTACATTTTGAAATTTTTGTATTCCTTGAGGTATCCTTCTATGACGTTATTAACGACCACCGGTCTTCTCGGAGGTGCACTCCACCCGGCAACATCTTTAAACATTCGCTCCACCCATTCCACTGTTCCTAGGGTGGCAACGATCAAATCTAATTGTCCGGTGAAGACGAATACCTCTAGATTTGTTTGGTTTGTCAACTGTTGAACTAATTTTAAAAAAAGAAATACAAGTGAAACGAGATTGAAACATGGAATGAACGAATTTGTTCATTGAGTAAAATTACGAATTATGAGATACATTTTTTAGAGAAGTGAACGCTAGTCACAAAATTTAAAAACGTCAAGTCCTCGATGTGCACGAAGAAATATTCAGTAGAAATTGCGGAATAATTTACGTAATCCGCAGTGGGGAATCGTTTTCCCGCAACTTTTATAGGAATGGAAGAGAAGAAATCTGAAACGTTCAGTGAATTTTCAGGTTCATCACCGAATAAAGTACGAAATTGTCACGTAATTTTTCCCGAAGAAGTCAAATCTTACAGAAATTTCCCGACTTATTATGCCTCCAAAATCAAATATTCTTGAATATTCAACAATTTTTATGAAGGTGGTGAGTTATTTCTACGTTCCGTTCCGTAAAATTTCTCAATCGTTGGGGAAAAATTACGGAACGACTTGTCCCCACAGCGGTGCGTCATCAGACTGCTGGTTAATTTTTACGGAACAAATCTTAGAATTTACGTGGCGATTCGTACAATTTCAGTTCCGCCTCACACTTTTTGTTGAATTTTACTTCTCTCGCGGATTGCGTTTCGCAACGTAATTTTTACGTTTTTTCTGGTAATTTTTATTGAATTTTTCTCTCCGTGCAAAACATCGCGTAAAAACAAATTTAAATACCGATGTTAACAACGGGTTTCATGAAATCTTCTTTAAGAATGTTGAAAACTTCTGAACTCTGCAATCCCCACGAGACGTTGAGCCCCAGAGTATTCCTAACACCATTATTCATCAATTCACTGAGCATCCGATCCCGATCTACCTTCGGCCGAACCCCGGGCAGAAGCCGCCCAGTGCGACCCCGTGGCTGCTTCTTCTCAAGAATATTATAAAAATCGATGTTTCCAGTGACATTAACAATCACATTTTCCGTGTATGCCCAGAGGCTCGTCGCGGCTCTCCAACGGCCCTCATCAACAGCCCTCTGAGTCTCCACAGCTGCTTTCTCAATGGCAAGGACCCCACGCCTATCAATCATTCCCTAGGAAAATATTGATTATTTGCTATTCAAAATTAGCATGAATAAACTGTCAACTAGAAATTACGGTTGAGAGGAGAAATGGCGCCCAGGACATGACCGAATCCATCGGGGAAATCCAGGAGTCACCGAGAGCAACGCCACTTAAATTACTCTTGATGGAGCCCGCTTTTTGCGCCTGTAAAATTGAGAAATATTTTCTATTTATCGTCAATAAATTTTGATGATGAGTGACGTTGTAGGATGCATGAATTTCGCCTGAGGATCTTGTAGTTTTCGACAAATATCTGGAGAAAATTCTGTAAAGATGTCAGTTTGTCGTCGTAGAGCCAGAGGGGCGTAACAGCTATGCTTATACACAGCACTTACGCCCCTTTGGATATACGGCGACGATTTGCAGGGAGACACGAATGAAGTTTAAAAAAGTCATTCTTATATTGATGCGTTCAAAAAAAAATTGGTAGAATTTCGTTGTCTTGCTGCGATTGCCTATTGTAGGCCTTTGATCATGATTTCTTCTCAGTTTTTTTTATAGTTTTGAATCAATTAAAGATAGGAGAACTCTAATCAAGGTTTTGCTATCTCTCTTAGATTAAGATAAGTCTATCTAACAGTGTTTGTTTTGATGATCTACTATCAAGGGGAGCATTCAATTTTTTTATAAATTACACTTTTCTATGACTATCTTTGAATCAGGAGATAGAGAAACCCAAAACGTTTTTTGTAGTTAAAATTTATATCTACAATCCGTGAAGAACAAATTTATTGGAAATCTTTAATTTTTTCGTTAGGAAATTCCATCTGTTTTTGTGACTATTTCTTTTCGGAGAAGATTCCGATAGAAATAAATATGAGATTTCGATTTGATTTGCTCCCTCTGGATTTTTTATAAGTAAAAAATATCTCCCCGCTGTACTTTTCTATTCTTCATTACCAATCCAAGAGGTAAAATTGAAAAATTTATGGCCAAGCATTCTTATAATTAATTGAAATTGATTTTAAGAATTAATTAAAATTAATTTTAATTAATTAAAATTTAATTTAATTTAATTTTAAGAATCTTAAAATCTTAAGAATCTTAAGAATTAATTAAAATTTAATTTAATTTAATTTTAAGAATTAATTAAAATTAATATCTATCAACTTCTTTTTCTCAAACGTCTATTAAAAAATGGCATACTTCGTATTATTGTTCTACGATTTTATATTTAAAAAATTGTCGAACGAATTCTCTAGCCTTTCAATAGAGTTCCAATAGAATCCTCTAGAAAACGCGCTAGGTTTATCGTTTGAAAAATAATTCTTCAAAAAAAATTCTGGAGTTCAATTGAGTTATCCATCTCGCTTCACTCTTCGATAAATTGATGACAATGACGAATAAACCACGAATCGTACTTTATACCAAACGAGCCCCAACTCAGCTGCCATCTTGCCGCCATAAGACTCCGCCGTAACATAAGTAGGAACTTTCTGAAATCCTGGAAATTTGTCGAGAAATCCCTTCATGCACTTGAGAAGATCATCGGCAATTTGCTTATTCGTCGTGGCGAATGCAGTTGTGTTTTCAACATAGCTGAATCCCGATCCCACGGGATTATCAATGAACAGAACATTGTAGTCATTGACCCACGTGTAGTTCCGACGATTTCCCTCGAGATCGAGTGGTCCGAGCTCCTCGAAATTTCCGTAACCAGTCGAGGATGCACCTGGCCCCCCCTGCAGCCAAATGACCAGGGGCTTTTTGTACACATTCACTTTTTCCCCCGACGGCGGTGTCACGTAGTACAACCACCAGAACATGTGGGCACCAGGTCGAACGTCGATGTATCCCCATTCCTGCTCGCCCGGGCCAAAGCCCTTTCTTCCTTCCGCGATACCTGATGGATTCAGTGGATTGAGCGGCGAAATAAAAAATCCGCGTTTACTTCAATGGCAGTGACCTATATTGTCTAATATTCTTAATAAGAATTGAAATGCCGGGAAAAAATCGTTATATTTCAGATTTCACAAAGAATTAAATGCGGTTTTTAATTTTTAAGCGGCAAGAAGACGAGAGTTCTCAAATTATTACATTATATTAATCCGATAAAATTTTTCATCTCCTATTTTTATTCTGTGCTATTTTTTTATATATTCAATCAAAAGGTGAGGGTAGAAATTGAATTGATGGGTATTCTTTCATTATTTGAAAAAATATATCAATTTAAAAACTTTCCGGAAACATTGAAAAATCGAAATTTTTATTTTCTTGCTGATCACGTATCTCTGTTCTTTTTTTCACTTTCTTCCATTGAAATTAGATCATATTGATCTTCGCTAGTTTACCTGAATTGTCAATTTATTTATATTTGCTATTTTTTCATTCATTTCATTTTTCATTCATTTTCATTGAATTTTTTTTTCATTTCTATCAATTCTCGCGTCCTAATTAAACTGCAATTCACACGTTCCACTAATTTTTACATCAAATTGTGAATTTTTAGTGACAAAATTCTTTTGAATTCCAGTGAAATTGTCATTTGATAAAAAATACAAAGAAGTGGACCGGAAATTTCACCCAATTTTTTTTTATTATGCCCGACCTTTTGGCTTGCTCAATAGTGCCTGCTTTGCTCTGAAATTTCATATTTTCATTAATGACATCTCAGGTATAATCACCCACCTAATTATTACGCCACAATTCTCCTGTATTTCATAACATTCTAGATTGCTGCCACTCAAAATTAGAGAATGTCAAAATTCGATGGCCAATTAAAAAAAAATTTTAAAAACGGAATTTGGAGTGGAATTTTCGTTAATGACATCCCAGGTATAATTACCCACCTAATTCTTACACGACAGTTCTTCTGTATTTCATAACATTCTAGATTACTCCCACTCAAAATTAGAGAATGTCAAAATTCGACGGATAAACAAATGTTTCCATTCGGCATCGAAAAGCCAAAAAAAAACAAAAAAAAAGATTAAAATTGGAAATCCGAGCTGAACATCCTTTTTACTCTAGAGATTGTGTTTCGAGATTACCATTCAGGAGGAAGCACGTTACAACGACCCAAATTGGAGACATGGCTTTCGGATTTGCTCACTTCAAGGTACCCATCAAAACTGATATTTCACTTGTATTCCGTCCTCAGTAACAAAAACATTCCTAATCTCCTCGATTAGAAATAAAGATTATTATTTTCTCGTCAATCAGTGTCGAACGAAAACTCGGCCGATATGTGATTAGATTAAATTCAGCGTTCGAAACGCTTTCGATAACGATTTCCTTCTGATATTGCCTAATGAGAAATGTAATCAAGAATTATGACCGAGAAATAAAAATTGTTGAAAAATTATTGAATTTCACTCTCATCGCTCACCGTGACCCTACGTCACGCGTGAGATCCGATTAACCCAGCTTCGATGCCTGGGGTAAGGAACAAAAAAATAAGGATTCGGTTGTGTAACAAGTCCGCCGGCGCGTTTGAGATGTGAAATCGACGGGAGGGGAGGGGGGCGGAACAAATGTTTCAAGAAAAACGAAAACGACAGAAATTGGCCACAGGTTACGGGATATTCGTGAAATCGCCAATTCTGGAATAAAATAAATGATGGGAAGATAAATTTCACGTCTCTGTCTCCGGACGAAGGTCAAGTTTGCGTTAGCGGAATTCCAAAGGCCCATTGAGCTCCGGTTTCTTTGCGACAAGCCTTGTCGCCCCAACATCGACGGGAAAGTACCTGTGAAAGGTATATACATATATACATTACTGCGTAACTCATTTCTCCGGTTTTATCTCAATAAAGAAAGAACATGAAATTGGGGGAAAAAAACATGAGTATTATCTTTCACTGGAATGATGTTGCACGCTGTAAAAAATTTTGGCGAAAATTTCTGGTACAGGTCTTGGAAAGTTTTATGACACTGTGGGTACGCTGGGGTTTGAAGGAATTTCATCAGTGGGCCCCAAGAGACTGAATAAACACCACTAGAACGATTGGTCCAGTGACGGAAAACATTAATGACGATTTTCCGAGAGATGAATAATAGGGAAAAAATTGATGTCTTTCGGTTTGTTGATGCGCGTAGATGCACCTGCTAATAAGCTTAAGGTAGTAAAAATAGTAGTTTATCACCATCACGTGGAGATCACAACCCGTCGCCTTTTCCACTCCAATGACTCCCGAAGTCTTCAACTAAAAAATTGAAAAAGTCTCCCGTAATCCGAAATTCGCTGATATTAATGACCCGAATAATAATATTTCTGACATGCAAATTTAACGATCCACTGCGATGGGAAGAAGTGATGGAGAAAGAATAACCATCACCTGCAATAAAAAAATATACAAATTCGTGAGAGTAGTTTTAACCCATGAAATTCGCATCAAATAACTTTCGAGATAATCAAAACATCACGTGCAATATAACGATTGCGATACTGCATTCTTGCGGCCCCCATAATAGACCGAAAAATACGGGTTAAAAAATACGCGGCCTATACGATTTATTCAGAAAAGGTGAGAGTGGTAGCATCCGAAAAAAAACCTCTACCCAAATTTCGCAGTGATTAATTCAGCGGCGAGTTTCAGTTTCGAAAGCGCAATCTTATTCCCGTTTATCCCCGCGTTTCAATTGATTTTTCATTCCACAAGCGGAGAATCATTAAGGATATCCCACTGCCTTTTACAGTCTTGCAGGAACTGGAGTAAAGGATTGGAAGATTTTTAATAATTGAATTTGTTATTTGTTAAACCGGGTTAAGTCGATTTTGACTATTGACCAGTTTTTGTCGAATATCTCGAAATCTAAAAGAGATAGAAAAATTTTTGTCACAACCTTTTTTGTAGAGCCAATTGAGGGTTATAAAAAAGGTCCTGAGAAAAATTTTTCTATCTCTCTCAGATTCCGAGATATTCATCAAAATCTGACCAGAAGTCAAAATCGATTTCCCCATTTTACCCCTTCACTACTGAAATCTTCGCACTACTTGAAAATCCTTAAATCTCCAATAAAATCAAAACCCCCCAGAACGCTCATAAATTCTATGGGCGACATCCTCCCGAGAAAACTGCAAAAAAACATCGACAAGAAAAAACTGCAGGCGCCGAAAAATATGAGATGACATTGTGGTAATTGCCGCAGAGTGAAAGCCGCGAGTTTGAGTGGTTGCAATGGAACGCCCCTGGTACTTCCCACGTTTCAACCGCACAATTGAATGAAAACGCGAAAAAAAGTCGGAATTATCCTCCGTAAAAATCATTCAGCGACACAAATGAATGCTGCGCTAAAACCGCGCTCCCGGAATGTTGACCGTGATCTCTAGAACCAACTCGATACTCCCAATGTCACAATCAAGGTCATCTTCATTAATTCGAGCGTTAAGTAATTGTCTGAGTACCAAATAAAAGGATAGTACAAGAAATCCTCTGTTGTGCTGAATCACCTGGTACATCTAACCGAATCTCCGAGTGAGACATGCGAAATACGCATTAATTGATGGTCTACCGCGACCGCCTGATAAAAATGACCCCCTCCCGACGCCAGTGAAACCCGTTGACTGGACAAAAAAAAACAGCTCCGCTATCTCCCCTAATTAATAGTAAATATTTCATATCCTGAACCGGCGAATCCTCTTGACTCCAACCCAGGAATTCTGGTTTTGCCAGAAGAGAATTTATAATAGCACACTCCCCACTTTCTCCTATTGCTCAATCATTATCATCACCATCTTTTTATTTTGGCGAATTCCTTTCATAAGAACCTTCACTGACCAGACGCCCTTGGGGCATCCCAATAAAAACGCCCCCTCCCCATTATTATCCCATCCTCCCCAGCTCCATCATCCTCGCATTGCATAATCACCCAGTTTGCCAGCATAACCCGCAGCTAAAAAGAATGAAAAATATTACTCTCAATACGGAAATCGTCATAATACCGGTAATCTCCAGGTGCAGTGTCATGTGCCCGCAGAAAATTACCCATCACGTTTCCCTTTTTTAATAAAAAAAAGAATCTTAATTGCTCTTTGGAGTCACTACACTCGCAACTTTCACCCGTATCAAGAGGACTTTTACATGAGAGGCAACAATTGGAGATGTTGCTTGATGGAGATGACGGAAACACTCCATCAAAGTACTTTTTTATCTTATCCTTCAGTCTAGACAGAAATTCCGGGATTTACATCAGAAACTAACGGAATTGATCGTCCAACCGATGAAATAATCATTGAATTAATAATTTTAATGTCACGTTTCACTCCAGAATGCCACCATCTATTATTTTATCATTTTTGTCTACCCGCGGAGTGGACGGGGGGGACTCTCTTCACGCTTTCCGTTTCGTTTGTTCAATGTGCATGCAACAAAACGGCGTAATGTGTATTCTCCTTTTGAGTGGTTATCCCCCCACCACTTTTCCCTCGAGTGTTTAAAAACGAGAGGAGTGTATTCATGATTTAGCCCGCGGGTGTCCCCCTAGGATTACAGTGGGATACAGGTGTGGGCCTCCTCTTCCTAGGCATCAACATTTAATACATGCCCAAACCTCCTCGACGTTTTCGTTTCCCACCTATATAAGCGTTGCTACTACCGGCGAATTTTACCAGAAGAGGATTCACGGAATTGTCGAGTGGACGCGCCTACTTGTCAGCGTCTCATTATAATCGGAGTTTAATTATTTATTCTTCGACTGTTTTTTCCGATACAATCGAGACTTGGAGAAGAATCTGCAAGATGCGGTGGAATAAGCTGGTTAGTGTTGTACCCTGGTGATGTGATTTATGAACATTTTTCAAAGATTAATCTGAACCTCGTGGGCAGAACAAACGTGCCTGGAGTCGTGAAAGTGTCTTTTTGTGTTTCCTCTCGATACCTCCATTACTCTTGATTCTTGCACACATGTGCGATAATTTTTCAGTGTTTTAGTTTATGTAATGATAATGAAAATTCTTGTCCCAGTGAATTATGGAAATGGTGATTTCAGGTGGTGTTGCAGTGCCTCCTGGTCCTTGTGTGTGGAGTACTGGGGGAGCCCATTCGGAAGAGAGAGTGAGTACAGATTTTGTATGGAGGAAGTATGCTAATTGCTCTTGAGTGGATGGATTAGAATTGAGTTGAGTGCGTTGACTGATGATGGCTTGTGGTATTACTTTTGTTCAGAGCACCATTGGGCATTGCGCCCCCACCGTTGCCAGCTGTTGGTGGATTGAGCGGTACTTATGGCGCTCCAACTGAGTCATATAGTCCTCCAGCTCAGAATTATGGACCACCAGCGCCGACTTATGGTCCACCAGTTCCAGCTCCAGCTCCCGCTCCTTCGTACGGGCCTCCAGCCCCGTCCTACGGTCCTCCAGCCCCTTCTTACGGTCCTCCAGCCCCTTCTTATGGTCCTCCAGCCCCGTCTTACGGCCCTCCAGCCCCTTCTTACGGCCCTCCAGCCCCTTCTTACGGCCCTCCAGCTCCGGCCCCTTCATACGGTCCCCCAGCTCCAGCTCTTTCGTACGGTCCTCCAGCTCCAGCCCCTTCTTACGGCCCCCCTGCGCCCCCCGCCGGCACTTGGCAGAAAAAAATAACGTGGAAAGAGGAGTGGAAACAAGTTTGGGAGAAAAAGCTCCAGTGGAAACAGATCTGGAAAAAAGTTCAATCTCCAGTCTGGAAGGAAGTGAAATCTCCAGCGTGGAAAGAAGTCAAAGAAGAGCAGTGGAAAAAGGTGCAAAAACCAATTTGGCAGAAAGTCCAAGTGCCAGTCACCAAAGAAGTGCAAGTTCCTTCCTGGAAGCAGGTCTGGCGGCCTGTGTGGACTCAGGTGCAAGTTCCAGTCGCGCGTCAGGTGCAGGTTCCTGATTGGAAGAAGATCTGGATTCCAGTGTGGGTTGACGATCACAGTCAGGCGCCGGCACCATCGGACACATACGGACCGCCCGGATTTGGAGGCTCCGGAGGGCACGGAGTATCGGACACGTACGGACCTCCAGCGACTGGAGGCTCTGGAGGACACGGAGTATCGGACACATACGGGCCTCCAGCAATTGGAGGCTCCGAAGGACACGGAGGCGACGAGGGTTACCACTACGGGCCACCTGCCGCGCCCCAGAAAAAGCTCATCTGGAAGGCCAGCTGGAAAAAGATCTGGAGAACTGAGCAAAAAACGGTCTGGGAGTCACAGAAGAAAATGGAATGGAAGTCGGAATGGAAAAAGGTCTGGTCAACTCAGAAAAAACAAGTCTGGGTGACTGACAAACGGTTGAGCTGGAAAGAGGAGGATGTTAAGGTGTGGGTCCCAGTGAAAAAGCAAATTTGGGTCAGCCAGAAGGTGAAAATTTGGAAGGACGACTGGAAGAGTGTGACTGTGCCTGTGTGGAAGCAGGTGGCGGCCTGGAAGAAAGTCTGGAAGCCCATTGTGGAGAAAGTTTGGGTACCGAGTGAGCCCCATCACGAGGAGCATCAGGGATATCGGCGATGAGATATCGGCGCCTGTATTCTCCTTATTCTCGAATAATTCATCAATGTGAATATAATATTTAAGAGAATTACGACTTTCCAACTATCCATGACTCTTGTAAATATCTTTCCGCTGTAACTGTTAATTATGTTACTTGTTTTTTATACGAAAATAAAGATATTATAGAACTTTTTTTAAAAATAAGACTGATGTTGCATTGAATGTTCAATTGAATCCCGGAAGGATATCCCAGATGTTGGTGGGCAGGGGGTATGTGTCATGTTAGAGGGGAGAGGAATCGCGTACAGCGACGTGTAACGAAGATAGAAGAGGTCTCAGAGGTCGCCGAGCTAACCCACGGCCTTTACTGCCGCACTTTCTCCGCGCGAAGTGACTTTCCCACTCGGAAGTATCTTCGCAAAAAGAAGCACATGGTCATCATCTGCCTGGAAGGCTTCATGTTTCATTTATTTTATTCTCCACTCATCCACCGTATGAATTGTATTATCCAAAACTAATTGAACCACTGCGAGCGTAATAAAATTAACGTTTCTCGGAGATAAATTTCCCCATCTGCACGAATTTTTCTCCTCCCACCGAGACCGAGGGCCTATTCCTTGCGAAGCTTCCGGGTAAAGGGCCCCACACGCTGGATATTAGCGTGTGGAAAACATCAATTGCCCGGGGACTTCCTCGAGAGCCGGGGAAAGAGTGAAAGTTTGTTCAAGGCTACGAGACTACTCGATCTTCCTCTGGTTATCTTTTTATTTCTGCAATTCCTTTTTATCCCCTTTTTTCTATACTCTCACCGTACGTTATCTCCTTTTTCTTCACGTTAATTCTTACATATACTTCCTGAGACTGGGCTTGAATTAAGTACGAAAGTGGATCGAGAGCGAGAGTATTATTGAGTTATGTATTAGGCGCAATGGAGTGGCTAAGCGTGCTCGGCATATCGAACGAGCCATCTCACGTAATAGGACGCGCAAAGAAAACTACGGTCAGGCATCGGTACTTGCTCTTTTGAAGATCGGCTTTTGAATACATTGTCTCGTACGGTTATTATTCTTTCGATCATTATGACTATTATGACGCAATGCTGTGGAGAATATTTCGACCGAATTTTTAAATTGCTTCGTAGCTTTTGGCCTCTGCGGTCGTTACCTGATTCGAAGTGAAGAAATTTATTATGGCCAAATGATAAAAATTCATCAAGTCTTGCATTTTTGTACCCAACGGAATATTGGTTTGAGGGAAGACTACTATATATGAGTTTTAAACGTCGCGGGCTGTTGGAATGAGATTTCTCATAAATTGAAGATCGATTATGTATGTTTAAAAACGAATAGTCAGGGCAAAAAAGCTAATTGTTTATTGTTCGTTTACCCCGCAAACGCTTAAAATTTTTAAAATAGTCCAGGGCCTCCAATTTGCGAACTACAGAGGTTTTTTTTCAATTTTTTTTGGAAAAATATGTGCAATAGCAATTTCGAATTAGTTTTTCAAAATTCAGCTCCTATCTAATTGCACCATGCATGTAAAATAGCCCGAAAAATATTTCTGAAAGAATCAAGAAGATATTTTTAATATTTTAAGAATAATTTTTCTGCCCATTTCAATTTTTATATAATTTTTATATTAAACAAAACGAAATTCGTTGTGTAGGAGTCGAATTACAAAAAACTAATTCGTAATTGTTATTGCACACATTTTTTCAAAAATTTTGAAAAAAAAACCTCAGTAGATCGAAAATTGGAGGTCCTGGACTATTTCAAACATTTTAAGCGTGTGGAGGGCGAACGAACAATAAACAATTAATTTTTTTGCGCTCATTATTCGTTTTTAGACATCTATAATCGATCTTCAATGCGCGATAAATCTCACTCCAATATTCCACGACTTTTAAAACTCACAGTAGTCTCCCCTTAATCCAAATGACTTGATCAATTTTTATCATTTGGACACAACAAATGTCTTCACTTCGAAGCAGCTAATGACTGCAGAGGCCAGAAACTACGAAACAATTATTGCACAATGGAATATTCCAGTGGAATGCCGCTTCGCTCCTGCGAAGAAGTTCTACGACGGGAGGGGTCATATAATTCACTCAATGGAATTTTACATTCCTTCGGAATGTGGCCAGCCCCCGCAGAGATGAAGGAGATGGAGCGAGTGAAATGTATGGCTTTTTTCGCAAATGAAAGGAATTTCTAAATAATTCATGGACGGTCGTAGGTCAGGTGGTGCCACTACCCAAATGCCGTCAGTTTTTAATTTATTCAAAGCAATTGCCGTAAACTTTGTGACGCGGGAGGATAACTCATGGAATTATGCGAGAAACATTTCGCAATTTATTTTATAGAATTTTCTACTTTATTTCATACAATTACAACTGACATTGGAAAGTATACGTGAACTTGGGGAGTATGGGGCATTGAAAACAAGAGCGATTCGCACTAGTGCTCCAGTGCTACCCACTTTGGCATAATATGTTGTTCTGCATTTACTGCACCAGTGGATTTATGTCTGCCATTTTCACTTTTACTCGGTGCTCGGGGGTTTCGAGGGTCTGGGGACGGGAGACTCGTGTGAAAGATCATCTCGGGATGCCTTTGAAAGAGTCGAGTCTTATCTTTTTAACAGAAAGAATAATGGCATTTGTGCCATCAGAAAGGGTTTGGCTTCCCTCCGAATGTTTCCATATTTTTTCAATTGGATGCGCTCAACGGCACGGATTACGATAGTGGGAGTCACGCACCGCCTTGATCTCAAGAAAAAGCCTAACGACTGTCGCCCGAACAGGTTGTGAACCTTGCGCTACAAGTCAAGCGCAACTTTCACGAATCTAATGTATATGGCATTGACTCTGAAAAAAAACAACAGGTCTCTTGCAATCTTTCCACAAATCCTGATATCACTTCCACCTCAATCGATCATTCAACTTTTAATTCATCCGGTTAAGACTGCCCTGTCGAAGCTGATGGACTTTCTTTCAAAATAAACATGACTCGAGTTATTCCAACTACGGAGGAATGCTCTTTCCTCGGTGGGAACGTCTCTTCCCATCGAACTGAAAGAAATTCGCTTGTTTACTCCACCTACAGAAACATTTCAAAGTGCCATAGTAGATGAAAAAATTGATAAACTAATGAGACGTATTTTTTACATCGTCTTAGATCATTAACTCGTCCAGTTATTCCCTGATACATGCTAATAAAATTCCGCATAAACTTTCTCAGATCGATTTCAATTCACCGTATCCCAAAGTTGTGACAGTAAACCGAGATTAGTGTCTCCATCGCAGTCATCATGACCTATACCAAACCGGCGTTTCTCTCGCCATTATCCTGGGCTATTCCTCCCACCGGAAACCAGAGAACATAAAAATTCCAGACAAAAATAATCTACGAACATTTTTATGGAATTTTTTATTCTCTCCTATTGCAACTATGTGCCCCAGCGTATTGTGCCCACTTTCTTTTTTCTCCATGATTGGAGTGTAACAGTCGCAGGCTATATGTATTGCGTACTTTTGTCCGGTACCAGTGCCAACGACGAATATCAATATCTAGAATTTCGATTTCGCCGGTTACGACTTCCCCCGTCCCTGAATTTACTGCATTTCGTCTTCCTCAACGGCCGTGGGAGTGAGCGTCGGGGAAAATCAGCGCTGCTCATTGAAAAAAATAACAGTCTATGCCTTATGAGTTGGGTCCACTCAGTTTATACTTTCTCAGCATTCCTTCCGGCGATATATACCCTCGCGCATGACTCTCGTTGCCCCAAGGCCGTAGATCATGCGGCGATCGAGCGCTCCAGGATCACTATTTGATTGAATGATGATGGATGGCCTGATATTTTCCGTACTTTCTACCTGGCGAACTGATACGTTTCCTCGAAATACTCGATCGAGTGACGATTTTCATGGATCCGTTCCACTAGGAGGAACGTGGTCATCAGCACGTTTGATATGAGACTGGGGAAAGAAAGTGAAACGCCACTGACGTAATTCCAGTCGTAATATTTTTAGGTTTCTGGTGGAGATTTCCAATCGGCATTTTTGATCAATTTTTGGGGCCAAGGATACCTGACCTAGGAGTCTTTACGAATCTAGGTGCAACGTTATTTAAGAATGTTTATCCGAAATTGCAAGTATAAAAAAAAAAGGTTTTTTTTCAACTGAGAGATGAAGTTATTCCCGTTATCTTGATCAAAATTTTAATCCAATAACCCACGTTTGTTATTTAGAAATGGAGTGGACAAAATGCACCAAACGCATGTGCTAACATGCGCTACTGTGGGATAGAATCACTCAAATATTTCCTCTTTTTGCCCGGGTACCCCAGATTTTTCTCCGACCACTGGATTCAGTGTGATTGTACACATTACCTTCTATTTTTACTTCTATTTTTAAAGTTCTAGTAGCCGAATTATCAATTTAAACATGAATTTAATAAGAGGAAAACTTAGTTTATTCATTTCTGCCGAGACTATTGCGATTAATTTTTTTTAATGTTTAAAAAGTTAGTTTTACATGTTCTTCTGCTGTCAGCCGAGAAAATTACAGAATTTTCCTTGGCCATGAAAAAAACACATTTCCCGACAATTTACCGGCACTGGCTAAACATCCTTAATTATCTTGAGCGGAAACATCATTAATATAGCAATTAATGTTCAGGATCATCATCGCCATTGCGTTTGACCTCTTCACTGGATAAATATTACTCTGTAGCTTTACTCTACTTGATCTTGTCGTTAACCAATAAATATTTTATCGACAAAAGATGTCTCTAATTTGTTGCAAAAAGCTCCAAAAATCTGAATATTCAAACTTTTCGACTGCATTCTCACTGCGGTATCTCCAGTTACGTGACACGTTTCACCGAAATGGGGAGAACATCATCCCAGGGAAATTATCAGTGCGAAACGCGTCACGTGACTGAATACTGCCCCCGGATTGGTCGAAATCAAAACAGAAGAGATAATCCCCGAAATTCCATTTCTCCCCGGAATCAAACAACGATTATGAACCTATCGATGGCCTATCGATACAGTTTAGCACTTGCGAAAGTGTTTTCCCGTTGGTAGTAGAGAAGATAATGCCACAACCGGGAATTCACTTTCATCCGAAACCACCACCTCGCACTCGCCCATAGCGCCCATCTGGAGAGTTCCCCAGCAATAAACAACGACTTATTACCAATAAAAATAATCATGATCATCACCGAAGTCCAAAAAGCTCTGATTGTTCCCGCCGTTGTGCTCCCGAAGGAATGTAGATCAACGGTACTAAACAACCTTGGCTACGTAACCTTGCTGAAGGTACAATGTTAAGCTGCACAGTCACGCACACACGTGACTCCATTTATTTTTTCGTGAAGAAATGGCTGCCGAGGTGGGGGATGCCATGAGGTGAAGAGAAGTTGTTTCAAAGTCGGCGATCACTTTCTCCAGGCAAAATGTGGAAGGACGAAATAACACTTTGCTTCCTTTTTCCATCCTTTCATTATTCTTTGCGTATTACATTACCGTTCTTCCACCACCACCACTGGATGCTCTTTTTTCGTTCTACGTCACCCAGTGAATCCAACCACCACCACCACCACCGTCGCTGGTGAAGAAAGACAGTAACACTGACACTGGGTATTGCCCTCCTTCGGTCGATTCCGATTCGTCTTTGGGTAAATGCTCAGACCCACGTCGGGGGGTTTCAACGGGGATAACCCATTAGGGGGAGCACCTGAGAAACCGTGCCTATATAACCACGACGTTCCGGTTATTGGACCAAGTTAAGCGAGTTTTCCTGTGCGCTAGGGAACAGAGTTTTAACGCCGGGGTCCCCTAACGGGCGACACCAGTGAATTATGAGAATCCGCCTGAGATGTGCGGTGAGTTTTTTTTAAAAACTGAAGATTCATGGTTTATCGTTTTGTGATAGTCGTGGGTTCACGTGAAATTTTCATTTATTGTCTGATTTTATGTGTTTATCCAGGTTTTGCTCGCACCGCTACTGCTGCAAGTCGCCCTTGTGAGCAGCAAAGCGGTAGATCAGAATAATCAATTGGAATTGCAATCGCAGTGGCAGGGTCAAGCACAGTAAGTCGTTGTCTCGTTATTGTAATATTCATTTGAATATGTCAAGGGGTTTTGAATAAACTTTGAATATATCTCATTCGCAGAAGTGAGGGCATTCAGAAGAGATACGATCCCTCAGCGGGCTTTGACGATCATCATGAGAAGGGTTACTGGAAGAAGAAGTTGATATGGAAGCCTGGCTGGAAAAAAATATGGAACAAAGGGCAAAAGCAAATATGGAAAACTGGGTGGAAAAAAATCTGGAAACCCGTGTGGGAGCCTACGAAGCGTGCGGTATGGAAGGAAATACAAGTGCCCGCTTGGAAGAAAATTTGGAAGCCTGTCTGGAAGGAAATCCAGGTACCAGTTTGGAAGGAAATCAAAGTGCCTGCGTGGAAAAAAATTTACAAGCCCATTTGGAAGCCGATAAAGGTCCCAGCCTGGAAGGAGGTTAAGGTGCCTGACTGGAAAAAAATTTGGAAGCCCGTTTGGCGGGAAATTCAAGTTCCAGCGTGGAAGGATATACAAGTTCCAGCGTGGAAGAAGCTTTGGGTGCCTGAATGGGTCAAAGTTGGAATACCCGGTGAGCAGCATTTAGGCACTGATCATCATGGCTGGGAATACACGAGCCACGATTTGTGGAAGAAGAAGTTAATCTGGAAGCCTATTTGGAAGAAGTACTGGAAGCCCGCGAAAAAGCAGATTTGGATTCCTGATAAAAAGCTCGAGTGGAAGGAGGCATGGAAACAAGTCTGGAAATCGGCGAAACAGCAGATATGGGTCGATGACAAAAAGCTCGTCTGGAAAGAGGAATGGAAGCAGATCTGGAAGCCATCGAAAAAGCTCATTTGGGTACCAGATAAAAAGCTCGAGTGGAAGGAGGCGTGGAAGCAGATTTGGAGGCCTGATAAAAAGCTCGAGTGGATACCAGACAAAAAGCTCGCGTGGAAGGAAGCGTGGAAGGAAATTCAAGTTCCAGCGTGGAAGGAAATTTGGGTTCCAGGATGGAAGAAAATCTGGAAGCCTGTTTGGATATCCGAGTGGTTCCCAGCTGAAGATCATCATCATCCTCACGGCGGATGGGAAGATCGTAAGGACGATGGCGCAACAGACGATCAGCGACAGAGATTAGCACGTCAGAGTCAGCCGTTACCATTAGTTCAGCAACCACAGCAACAACAGAATCCACAAGGAACGAGCCCATTGGCCTCAATAACCGATGATCTGGTGCCGCCTGCCTCGGATCAGCAAGCGACGTGGAAATTTCCAAGTAGCTGAGGAAAACCCTAAAGACTACATGAGCTTGTACAAAGAACACTCGACTCTTCGATTCTCTGATGGACGGGAGACCTTACGTACTGTAATATAAGCCAATGTACATACATACTCAGTTCGAGATTAAGTAGCGCAACGAAAATGCTATACCAAGATTTTTACTTGGCGTTCATCTCACTATTTTTTAATATTATTGACTTGTTTTTTTATACTCATCTGTTTTTTTTCTGATAAAAATGTTAATTGTTGTCATGATTGTTGAATACTGCCTGTTGCGAATAAAACTGATATTTTTTGTTAAAAAAAACAACCTGGGAAATTTCTCTCCTTTTTTATTTACATCCTTATTTGTCGCGTGTGATACAAATATTCAAGCAAGAAATCGCCCGTAAACTCAACTGGGAGAAAGTGCAGCGCGAAATACATATGTATACGCGCACGCTTGCGACAGTTGGAGGGGCTTTTGGAGAGAAAGTACCTGAGGAACGAAATCCACCGGCCACCCACACCTGGTCGATCAATTACACCCGATGTGTGGCAAAATTCTCTCTGCCTATTTGATTTTCTCCCTGAATCCATAAATTTGCGGATGAATAGGGGGAATTTGCCGCTTGAAAAGCCCATCACGTAGTGGATAAATGTAAAAGTAAAATGTCCAAATAATTCCTTTTAAAATGCACGGACGAGATAATTGCTCCGCACTGAATAAAACACATTTGAATAAAAATTTCTCGCCACGTAGGAAATATCTCACGTATTTTGCAAATAAAAGTAACGAAAGAGACGAGACAGCAGGTACGGAAATAAACTTGAATAATAACCATCGTCAGCACTTTCCAGTTCCTCAATTTTTACCCTCTTATTTCACATCAAATGTGACTCCGAGGGATAGGCTTGTATGTCACTCGCAGGTGTGTACAACTCGTCTTAATTACTTTCTTGACAGTACCGAGACGTTAATTACATCCGGCGGCTGTAAACTACTCATCACGATGAACTCGCGTCCTCCCACAGCCAACAAGAAAAACTATGAATAAACCTCGTCGCCTATCTCATTGACGCGCGTACAATCATGAATAAGGAAGTGAGAATATATTTGGCTGTCAGGTCGTCTTAGGTCAGGTCTGTCTCACTATCGCAGGATCATCATTCCACAGCGTCTTCACTCGGTTAGGTCACTTCTCCATTCATAAATCCAGATTACCATTACAAATTCAAGAGATCGGGATAACACCAGGGGGAGTGGAAGAGGGTTCGTATATAAATCCACAACGTCGGGAAAACCTGGGCCAAATGATAAAAAAATTCACCCCGTTAAACTAGCTCAATTTTGTATTCAAATAATGCTGTTCCTGGCTTTTATTCTGTTCCTCATGGTCTGGATCTTGTGCTCACACGATTGCGTAAAACCGCGGAAATTTCCACCAGGTAAATGAAAATAAATCGACAAAAATTACCATGAGACTTTCACAATCTCAACATTGCACAAATTTTATTCATTGGGGATTGTTTACTGTGTGCAGGGCCCTCGTGGTATCCCCTCATCGGTGCGTTCCCGGCATTTCACAGATTAAAAGAAAAGTATTACTACGTTCACACGGTGTTGGAGGAGTTATCGCGACAGTATGGACCAGTGGTGGGAATTAAACTGGGAAGGCAGAAGTTTGTTGTTATTTCCGGAAATGAATTAGTGAGGAAGGCAGCAGCGAGAGATGAATTCAACGGTCGACCGGACGGTTTCTTCTTCCGCGCGAGGGCCTTTGGGAAGCGCAAAGGAGTTTTGTTCATCGACGGGCCCGTCTGGATGCAAACAAGAAAGTCCACGATGAAACATCTCCGTTCGTTCGGCTTCGGGCAGAAGACAATGGAGAATTATCTGAAGGTCGAGGCGGAGGCTCTCGTGACGCACATCCAAATAAAAGTGGAGAGCCTGCAGAACCCCCTCGCCCTCCAGGAGATCTTCGACGTGACGGTCCTCAATACTCTCTGGATGATGATTGCGGGCTACAGATTTCCCTACGACGACCCCAGACTCAAATACATATTATCGGTCGTGCACGATGCCTTCAGGTAGCTCAATTCAATCATTCGCTTCATCGCGTGTCACATATTAAAATGAAATGCTAATGATGGAGTTATCGGCAGGTCTACTGACACTCTAGGCGGTATTCTGTCTCATCTACCTTTTCTACGATTTGTCATTCCGAATTCCTCGGGCTACAATCATTTAATGGCGACACATAATAAATTGTGGGGATTCATTCGCGACGAGATTGATGAGCATCTGAAGACGATGAGACGCGATCGGCCGCCCAAAGACTTTATCGAGGCGTTTTTACTGGAATCTGGAAACTCTTACGATCGTATGAATTTTTTTCGTTGTTTTATGATGTATCAACTTTCTCTAATGAGCATTTCACAACGAAAATTTTGTTGCATTAATAATAATTATTATTTTACTTTCTTTGCAATGAGCGTTATTAGCGAGTGTTTCTGTGATTATTCTCGACTTTCCAAAATGACTCGGGTGTTTTTTTTTCTTTTTGCGTTTACTAGGGGAGGAATTGGTTGTTCTCTGCTTGGATTTATTCATGGCGGGATCGAAGACGACGACGGATTCGCTGACCGCAATTTTCGCTCTTGCGCTTCATCATCCGGAGTGGGTGAAGGCGTTGCAGAAGGATCTGCACGATATTGTGGGCCCTGAGGCGCAGCCGAGCTGCGAACACGCAGCACAATTGCCAAGGATCGAGGCATTCTTAGCCGAGGTGATGATGCTTCTTTAAATACATTTTAATGTACGTAATGCGGCATTTTTAAGATGAGAAGTTGTGCTGCGTAATTTTTTTCCGGATTTCAGTGGCGAAGCGGGAAACCGGGTTAAGGATGTATTACACGGAGAGAAATGTTCAGTAAAAACTACGGAACTCACATTTCGCTCACCGATTACGGAATTGACTCGGAAAATTTAAGTGACGGTATCGTAATTTTTCATAGGAGATTCAGATAAAAATTACGGAAGACTGAAAAAATTCCGGGACAGTTCCGTAAAATCTCCTATAACCACATTTCGATCTGGAATTACGGAAAAGATACGTCATTTTTATTGAATATTTCTCGCCGTGCACACCCTTTCGGCCAAAATTCACGTTTTTTGAATTTTTCTGGAAAATTATTGATCGAATTGACGAGAAATAATACAGCGTTTTTGCGTTTTATCATTATTGACTGACTCACGATGTTTCATGGTAGTGCAATCATTTTCCTGAATTTTTTTCTAAAGTTTTGTGAATTTCCGAAAAGTTATAGAAAAAACGCAGGAAAATGATTGCACGATCATGAAATTTCGTGAGTCATTAAGTAATGATAAAACGCAAAAACGGTATATTTTTTCACGTCAATCCGATCAACAATTTGCCAGAAAAATTTTAAAAACGTGAATTTTAGCGAAAAAGGGTGTAATACGTCCTTGATATCTCGAAATCTACAAGAGATAGAAAACTTTTTATCATGACCTTTTCTGTAGAGCCAATTGAGAGTTATAAAAAAGGTAATGAAAAAAATTTTACCATCTCTCTTAGATTCCGAGATATTCATCAAAAACTGGCCAAAAGTCAAAATCGACTAAACCCGGTTTACCGCTTCGCTACTGATTTGCTGAATAAGTGACAGTGAAATGTTTTGGTTTATGGTGACAGGCGCACAGAGTACTAGTTCTCACGCCACTCGGTGTACCCCACAAGACAATGGAAAAGGTTTCACTCGAGGGTTATCACATTCCAAAGGTAATATTTGCAATTAACAAAAGGCGATTGTGTGCAAACACCTGATTCCACATTTCCCCTTTTCATTATTTTGATTTTCTTGTTTTTTTTTCTTTCACTTTCTAGGATACTGTGGTTTTATTCAATTATCACAGCACTAATGTCGATGAGACGTGCTGGGAAGAGCCATATGAGTTCAAGCCGGATAGATTTTTGGATGAGAAAGGACAGTTCAAGAGGAGAAGTGAATTTTCACCATTTGGTTTGGGTAAATAATTTTTTTTAATAATTTAAAAAACTATTTCTGTTGTTACTAATTATTAGAATTGTTTCCGAATGCTCGAAATGATTTTTTTCCACAGGAAAACGACGATGTTTGGGAGAAATATTGGCAAGAGCGTCGCTGTTCCTCTTCTTTTCCTCCATAATCCACAATTTCGATATAGAAGCACCAGAGGATCAAGGACTCCCCAGACTAGACGGAATAGATGGATTCACAGTGTCACCACGGCCATATCTCATTAAATTAATTCCACGAAAAAACTGAAAATGCAGATTGAGAAGGAAACTGAATGTAGAATTAATTATTTCGCAGATTAATAAATAAGAAAATTTTTGAGTAAATCATCGTTGACTAATTGCTCATGAAAAAACATAATAATCGCGTTATGTTTATTCATGAACGTTGAGATCATGATCTCAATAACGTTCATGAAATTCCCCTTTTTAATTATTTTCAGGTTTTTTGGGCAGGAAAACGACTAAACAATCATAATTGCAATGAAATTCGATTATTATGTATTTAAACTATAATTTTTTTAAATGAATAAACATAATGGCCGTATTGAAACTACCCATCATTCAAGAAATGTATTTTCTGTAATCTTCATTCTACAATTCAATACTAATTAAAATTTTCTCTGAATACTTGCAATAAATCGGGGAATTTCGATTGATCATTTTCTAAGGGCGAAGGAATTGAGGACTACGACAGGACAAAGCAGACACATTACCGCCATATGGCATTCAAATTAATTCCACGTAAAAAGTAAAAATAGAAAAACAAGCGGTAGAACTAAGGATTTTATACAGCAATAGACAAGAAGTACTTCAAAACAATCTCCTCCACCTCTTCCTGCTGAAAAACATAATTTTAATATCCAGCAATAAATAATAAAATAATAAATAACTGGAGGACCTACTGAATAATTTATCAACTAATACTCTTGAATTATCACAAATGTGAATGGAATAATCATGTCGAACGAGGCACGAGAAGTATCTCATACGGTTTCGGCGATATCGTGAGCCCGTGCTGTGGCTCCACATCGAGATATGCTCCCGGGACAGGAAGCAATTTGTAATTTCTCATGATTCCAGCAAACAGCAGAAACACTGCGGATCTTGCGACAGTCTCGCCTGGACAGCGTCTGTGACCTAAAAACCATAATCATCCAACTGAATTACGTAACTCAATTGTTCTTGCCACACGGAAAATTTATATTTTGAAAAATATATAAAAAAGTATCTTAAACTGGCCCAATTCATTTTCAAAAATGTATATAAAATATGTTTTCTGTATTTGTTTTTATATATTCTTTACAAATTTGAAACATATATGGAATTGGCCCACATCATATACATTTTTTATAGGGGAGAATGGGGTAAAATGAAACAGTCCAAAAACGACTATTTAGTGCGATTCAGGCGAAAAAACATTTTTTGTTAAATATTTTTTGTCATCAACTTTTTTTATTCTTGGGAGTACTGGTGAGAATAATACTTTTCCATTCAGTGGAATGGAAAATTATGGAGAAGTTTTGACAGAGGAAGAGTTCAATGGATTAATTGAAAAAAAAATGAAACAGCAAAATCCAAAGTGCAGAGGAAGGCTCAGGGGGAGACTCAGACGGGAAAAAAGGGAAATGTGATGTTGAATTTCAATCGAATAGTCTATTGACAAAATGTTCGCCTATCAAAACTTCTCAATAATTTTCCATTCTACTGAATGTTAAAATTATTATTCTCCTCATTACTCGCAAGAATTAAAGAGAATTAACAAAAGAAAAATTATTAATAAACAAATTATTTTGCTTGAATTGCGTCAGTCGTTTTTTTTTACTATTTTATTTTGCCTCACTCTTCCCTATATTTTTTCATGGGGGTTCCCTCCTTTGTCAGCTTCATTCATTAGTTAGCTCACCTCCGCCGAAAAATATGAGCTTTTTGTGGGGCACATGCGCACCGTTCTCCATGAATCTCTCGGGTTTGAATGCCTCTGGGTCTTCGAAATCATCAGGATTAGTGTGGACACTGTAGAGATTCATGAGAATGCAAGAGCCTTTTGGTATTTTGTAGCCATCGAGTGTCGCGTCACTTAACGCCCGTCGGGGCCCAATTATCGGTGTGACCAGTCGTAGCCTCTGGGACTCGGTCATGACAGATTCAGTGTATGGAAGTCTATAATTAATTATAGTGAATTGTTGGTCAGTCAACCGATGGACAGGAGCAAATAATAAATTGATCAAGGAGACTAATTGAAGTAGATGATCAATGTCTTTACACATGGAAAAAAAATCACAGGAGCTAATTTTTTTTAGAAAGTCGTACAATTTTTTAAAGAAAATCAACAGAACTTGATTTTTCTAAACGGCTTTGTCAGTTGAAATTTGCTAATGAATGTCTTCAAACGAGTTTTACATTCATGTAAAATAGGCAGAAAAATTATCGCTCGTTTATTATTATATTTTGCATTAAATATAAAATATTTATATTCCCGGTTCTTTCGGAAACATTGTTCAGACTATCTGGAATGACTGGTGAAATTTTTCACTAAAATAATAACGAAATTAGCTGTGCAGGAGTTGAATTTCGAAAAAAATAATTCATAATTGTTATTGCACATAATTTTTCAAAAATTTTGAACACAAAGACACCTCCGTAGCTCAAAAATTGGAGGCCTTGAACTATTTTTAACATTTCAAGCATCTGCGGGGCAAGCGAACAATAAACAATTAATTTTTTTGGACTAATTATTCATTTTTAGACACATAATCGATCGTCAATGTATAAGAAATCGCATTCTAACAGCCTGCGGCTCTTAAAACTCATAGTAGTCTCCCCTAATTTATGTCAATAGCAAATATTACGAGTGATTGAAAAACTGATTGGAAAGTGCTTACAATGGTCGATCTGTCTGCTCCGGCAATCGCCCACAACTAATTACAGAATCAAGTTCCTTATGCACCTTCTCCTGAGCATCTTGATGGAGTGTCATATAGAAAAACATAAAATCTAGTGTTGTCTGAGTTGTGTGAGATCCAGCAAGGAACAAGTCGATTAATATCATTAATAATTGGTTCTCCGTGAAACCAGCCTCTGGGCCTTTTCCATTATACATTTCCGCGAGAAACATGTCTATCAGATCCATCTCTTTGCCCGGTGTGTAATGTTTTTTGTGCTCGTTTATGGTTTCCTGTCGTAGAAACATAATTGAGACATCAATAATTATTTAAAAACAAGGTAAGTCATTCCGTCTGGAATACAAACCATTAAAAACGATTTAAGTTCTTCATTGAGGGTGATTAGTAGTTCATAACCGGAAGTCTTTGGCGCAAAATGTCTTATCCATGGAAATACTGATAACATTCCTCCCGCTATGTCGAAAGCTCTCGCTCGACGGTCCATGAGATCAAGAAAATACCTTAAACTATCGAAGGATTTTGGACAATCGTAAGAGTTCTGTTCCGCAATTGCCGCCAGAGATCGGAATGCGGCTTAATTAAGATTCTCATCAGTATAGGATTTCAGAAAACTATAGACTTCTCGTAAATCCAAGTCTCGATTTTATCTCCAAGTTTCAATTCAAAATTGATGAGAAATCTCTAACAATAAACACTGCGGGAGCGAGGGGCGAAATGAACACAACGAAGACCTGTCGGCCGACAGCCTCTGGAGAATTCTGCAATGGACTTACCGACAAGAGAATTTTTTCAAGAATTTTAAACGTGATTTGATTCATATTTGCGGTGGAAAAACAATTACCAAAATTTCGAGGATTTTGGGCCTTTTTATTCTCGAGATACGCAACGTATCTAAAAATTAACGGCTCATTGAATAATTCCTAGCAATAAACACTGCGGAAATACTCTCGAGACGAGTTTCCCTGACGAAATACGTCCGAAAATTATAATGCTCTCTCGTATTTTTTAGAATGAATTCTGATTGTGTATTTTGCCCCTCTTCCCTCCAAATGCGTGGATCATCTCAACTAATCAATTCACCGTTTTTCATCTTCAATTCTCTTCCCCGTCGCCACACTCCAGATGACGTTAATAACAGCCGGTGCAATAATGGGCTTCATTGTTACGATTCCACCGCCCTTCATTTTCAAATTCTCGAGAATAATCACCAATTCGTCTCTAATCTTATCTGACATTTCTTCACGTCCAAATCCCAAGTCTCTGAGAGACCTGACCAACCAAGAGCGCATTTCCCGCCACTCGGGGCCTTCGTGCATCGTAATTCCTGCAAGATTTCACATTTATTGGCTCTCTCCACACAAATTACTCAATAAAATAAACGAATTATTGCACCTTTCTGCATTCCCATATTACGAATTTTTGAAAACTCATTCCACGGTCTAGCGTCGAACGTCTCGTCGCGTAAAATTTTCGTGACAGCATCGAATCCGCAGACAACGATGACATTTGAACTTCCGAGACGTAAATTAATTATATCACTGTTGTAGTCCTTGGAGAGTTCGAGGAACGCTTTGTGTTGTCCACCGAATTTTTTGCACATTCTCCGCAGCAGTCGCAAATTACCTAATACGGGCCATGGGAATGGACCTGGAATCTTCTCTCCTTCAATGGAGAATAATCATATTACAGGAGCGGAAATTGAAGCGAATCAACGTGATTAAAGATATTAAGTAACGAATTGTTGACGTCGAATAATAAATTTGCCAGGGAAAAGAAGTGACTTTTCCTCGTGAATATCGCGGAATTGTACGAGAATATCAGATCAACAAAAGGCTACTCAGTGCATCCTACACGGAAAAAAAAACTTCAGTAAAAAGTAGATGAGAAAACATACAAGGCCGACAAAATGAAGAAAAATAGGGAACGAAAAATGAGTTTTCCCTCTTGAATTCATGAAATTTTGCGTTTGAAAAATGTAATCTTTTAATAATCTCCACAGAAGGCAATTAAATAACCATTACATTTCACTGCATCAGTGAAACTAAAATCCAATCAACGTAATGACATTCTAAATTATGGATTATTGACACGGAATGATAAATTTCGAATACGAAAGAAATGCTTTCCACCTTGGAATGCAGTTACGACATTGAGTGTAACCGAAAATTACGGAATTTGATGTAACTAATGCTCGCTGAAAGCATAACGAATTAACAAAGCATTTGATTCATGAAATGCGCGAGTAATTGAAAACCATAAAATTAATAGCCACGAGTATCATTTTATGTCCGTTAAAATGCACTCGGGTGTTCAGTTACGCACGTGTCTGAATTTAACGCACACTAGGTAGCAGCGAGAGAAAAACGGAGAGAGAAATACTTTAAAATAAGATAAACCAGACTGGCATGTGTCCAAATGTCCCTCAGTCAGTCTATTATTTCAAATGGACACTGAATATTCAATACCTGGTTTAGGGTCCACTGACTTTTGCCGGAGTTTAATAACAGTCAGAATGAGGCATAAAGCTATCAGATAAATTATATTGATAACCATAATCGTTCGATTTCACTGTTGCTGTGTCTCTTATTCCCTTTAATTCCCTTTCACGAACGTTGAAATTTCGGCGAGTGATGCACTTGTGCTACTGAGATGGGACTAGCCGATCCGTTTCAAGCGCGTCTAATGATTCAGAAACTCGGCTTTTAGCGTTTAGACTCGTCTCGCTTCACCTATCCCTTCCACTTGACTCTCCGACTCCACGTGGCTCCGTTCGGTAGTCTTTTGACCCCCTCAACACCATTACCCACCCCAAGGGCTCACTGATTTAATCATTGGAATTGAAAAACATAGTGGGATAAATTTAAATACTGTTAATGAAATTTTCATACACTTTTTTATTTACATATTCAAGATAATTTTTTGTAAACTCAACATTACATAATCTCCACGTTATTTTCCTTACGTGGCCGCTTATCTCGTCTCCGCTTTCCCTGTATTTCGGTTCTTTTTCGCTTTTTCGCCTCCTTTTTCTTCAGTTGTTTAGCTATTTTCTTCTTCGCTGCCAACTCCGGATCAATTACGTACTGGAAATGAAACGGTAATTGTTAAAGTCGTAATTGTTAGAATCATCGTTTTTTATGGTGATTTCAGTGCAGTAGACTCCCGTTACAGTCGCATTTCCCCTCGTATTGATGCTTCTTCGACTGCCCACGGGCCCCGGAGTAAACACTTCAATGTTATCTTTGAGGAGGCATTCTCTTTAAATTCCAACAAAGCGGAAAAATAAAATACTCTGAATAGGAATTTTCGATCATAAAATTCAGTTCCCTCGAGACTCATGGAGAGAGTTTCTTCTTTTGTTGGGATAAGTTGAATTGGATAATAGATCAGAATGAAGAAAATAAGAGCAAGATTACCGATGAGAAATTAAAAAAAAGAGAATGAAGCGGAATCTTAAAACTAAAACTAGAAGACCAAAACCACTTTGATAATGAAGATGACAAAAAAAGTTCATTACGAAAATTTTGTCATCTTTAAATTATCAAATAAAGATGACAAAATTTTCGTAATGAACTTTTTTTAGAGCGAATTGAGGGCTACAAAAAAGGTTACGACAAAAATTTTTCTGTCTCCCTTAGATTCCGAGATATCAATTGAAAACTGGCCAATAGTCAAAAGTGACTTGAACTGTTTTACCGCTTCGCTGCTGATGTTTTTGCTGGACTTTTTACTCACTTGTTGGGTCAGGGTCTTTTTCCTCTCAGCCCGCTTGACGTCCAATTTCTGCTGAACTCTCGCAAGTAGTTTCGCATACTCATCATCGTCTATTCTCTTTTTAATCATCCTACCGACTTCTTTCGATAATTGACGTAATGGAGCGTTTGATTCCTCGGTGGTCATCATTTCGCGGACCAGTGGGGACATTAGTTGGAAAAGAATGGGTTTTAAATATGGTTCGATGGGAATTGTTGTTACCACTCCGGCTGTCCATTTGAATGCGGCTGATCTCTGCGATTCAGGAGAAAATCATTCTTTTCATTAAAAATATCCCAGTGCATTTTACGGTTTTGTACGGAGCAGACTATAGATTTGGATAATTTCAATTCAATTTATATTTTAAAGAGAAAAATTGTTGAAACATTTGTTTCTTGTAAAGCAATAGAGGAAATTGTTCAATCTTTCGGAAATGTTGGTTTCTTTTCTTATGAGACTTGATTTTTTTGGGTGTTAGCCCAGGGTCAAATGCAGTTTGAACGGGAGCTCTGGTTTCGCAGAAATCAAATTGTCAAAGTAGGACATTTCCCAAGCGAATTTTCAATATTTTTTGTTCTACTACTGAAATTGATTAAGACGTAAATAACTGTCATTGTATTATATCTTTCGAAACCCTGATAAAGCTGAAATAAGTAGCGTAAGGTCACACTAATGAATTCCTTGATTTTCCTTCATAAATATTTCGTTGTAATTTTCATTCATTCATTCCAATTCCATTGATTGTTATTTAAAAAAATCTTCAAGGATTCCATTCGATATTTTTCCTTTTCGTTATGATTTCTTCGTATTTACGACCCAGTTATTAACGAATTGTTAATGACGAAATCATGACTAATGTCAGGCAAATAAATTCTGCTTCTGAATATTTGGGCATTAAAAAAAAGGTGATAGCTCCATTTCTAATAGAAAGTCAATTAAATATTCATTGAATATCAGTAGAGTGACCGAGATTTATTGAATCAGTATCGATGAATCATCAGACGTGAATGTATGACATTAAACGGATCAAATGGAAAGGTCCATTGATCTCATCGAAACCAATACGGTATACATGACTAGAAATTCAGAAGCATGAAGAGTAAAACAGTAGCGGAATGCGGAAACGTTCAAAATAAAAATTCATAAAGCTGAAATTAGGGAAAGTACACGCTCGTTCGCACTTGAAAAACATTTTTACATGATTGCTCTATCCTTACACGCTTATAAATCTCCTAAATTGCGTCTTTCGCCGAAGAATATTCCGCTAGTTTCAATTTTGCAAATAATTTTTCTACAGTAATAGCTTTCTGACAGAAATTCTCAAATGTTGCGGGAGTTTTATAAATTTCCTTACATAGAATAATATTTCTCTGCGATATTTTTTTTTTTTTTGTAATAATTTGAAGATTTACTGCAACGTTAACTGAAGGTTTCTCTCGAAAATCTCTCATTTCCTTTTCTGTTTAATTATTTTTCCACGCAGGAGAGTTTACCAAACATGGATTGTAATTTATATTGTTTCTTTGCCCTGATATATTGTCGCTAGGAATAAAAACCGCGGAAATTCAGTAAGAGCTCCCGCCCCTCGAAAAATTCTGACGAAGAAAATTCTCTTACCACACACGTAGACTTCGGATTCTGTGTCACCTCCATATTCACGCACTTGCGAACCCTCTTGACGAGCCACAGTAGTGAAACGCCATCCTCCCTCCCACTCCCCTCAGCCCCCCAGCTGGCCGTCTTTACGACCCTCGCAATGAACACAAGATTCTTCACCACCTGATCCGCAAGCTCCTCAAACTCCATTCCGGGCTGCAGTTGTGCGATTAAATCCAAACTCAAACTCCTAAGCGTCTCCACCGGCGACGAGTACACATAGCCCTTGACACTGTCCCCTGCATCCTCAAACCTTTTGAACTGCAGATAGTGCGAGAGTTTATCGCCGTCGAGAGTAGCCAGGATGAACCCAATCTGCTGAGTGGCAGCGAGTCTCACCCAGAGGTGAGGATGCCCCAGATTGGCCTGACTGTACTCCCCGAGTGACAGAACCTCCTCAACGTACTTCTCACTCTTCAAAAAGCCCGAGCAGTTCGCCGAGATCTTCAGGGTCAGCTGCAGAACTTGAAACAGGTGGTGATCCTTGAGCCTCTCGGGATCCTTGACGTCCTCCTCAACGATTTTCCTCCTCTTCCTCTTGACAAATTTTCCCGGTTCATTCTCCTCGTTATCGTCCAGCCTGAACTGCTTGAGAACCAGAGGGAGGACCTCCCCGAGTCTCGTCTCAAACGAGTCCCTCTCGACAGTCACGAAAATCCCACAGAGCTGGGCCGCCAGCCCCCGAAGAGACACCTTCGGGTTCTTGAACCAGGCGATGACAATGTCGAAGAGCTTAACTCTCTGATTGTGAGGAACTCTGGTGACGATCTCCTTGACGCACTTGGCACTGAGCTTCTTGCACTCGGGGTCTTCGTCGTTCGCCAATCTGGCCCCCACCATGATGAAGATGAGGGCTGACTGCTGGGTGAGGATCGCCTCTGGGAACCCTGTGACGATGCTGAGGACCATATTCAGAGCGCTGAGTCGACCCATCTGCACCTCATAACTCAATTGACTTAAATAGAACGACAAGTGCTTCTCCAAGTCTTTGCCCAGCGGGTACTCCATCAAGAAGGCATAGAACACATTTCTCGCCTGTTGTCTCACATTTTCAGACTCTGACGTCACGCTCAGGGCAGCGACCCTCTTCATGACCTCGTGCATCTCCGGGATTATCAATTTCCGATTGATGATTGCTTTAAGCAGATTAAAAGCAGTTGCTTGTCTCTCGTAATTGTGCAGGTCCTGCTCGGCGTAGAGGATCAGCGCCTTCACCTGATCGTCAGACATGTCGAAGTGCTTGACATCTCTCACGAGAACCGACATCGTCTTGAACGCCGCCATGACGAGGTCAAAGTTGTCCCCTTTGCTCAATCCAGCAGCTCCGTACTTGTGCAGAATTTTGAATATCGAAGCGCAGATTTCTGTTATTGAAGAGCGAACCGAGTCCAGGTCCATCTTTATGATCCAGTTGAGGCACTGGAGGGATAGCGTACTCATCTTCACTTGTTGGGAGCTCAGGCAGTCCGAGAGAATTGGGACGAAGGGGTCCAAGAAGTGCTTGAAGGTGCCCCCAGTGACCTTCTCCCGTTTCAGGAGAACGTGCAGGAGTTTCAGGGCGAACTCCAAGAGGATGTGATCATTGGTGTCCCCTGAAGTCTTGGCAGCAGCCTTCAAACCCATCCTCGATTTGGGCTCTGCTGGGATTATGAAGCAGTCTGATATCTGCGTCTTATTGTTTGGTTTCTCTCCCTCGATGGACCTCGGTCTGCTCGCACTCAGGGCTGGGATGCTCTTGGAGACGACTCCATAGAGGAATATGAGGAGTTTGTCAGGCTGGATGAAGACATTGTCTGCGAGACCGAGAACCACGTGCCTCAGGCACTCCACAACTTTGCGAACGGTTTTGTGGGATCTGGAGTCGTTGAGGACTGCCACGAGGGGCTGGAGGAGATCTATCAAACAAGACTCTGTGATGAATTGTCCGAGAACGTGGAAAATATCGAAACTCTTGGTCGATTTGGCCTCTGATGTGTTTTTGGTCACTGCAGCTATTTCTTTCTCCTCAGCACTGATACCGAACAGGTCTACTTTGCAGACTTGTAGGATACTCTGGAGGTTCTCGTTTACGTGGCTTTCCTTGAAGAGGGGCTTCAGAGATAGCAGGACTGCGTGGATGGTGTAAGCGAGCACGTGGATCTGGAACCCTCGGGTCAAAAGAGAATTCATTTCCCTGAGTAAATGGTGGAGGTAGTCTGGGCCCAGGGTGATCATGATCTTCTGGAGGATCTCTCGAGTCGATCGTCTCACAGACTCCAATCTGCTCTTCAGGAACGTGCAGAGTTTCATGAAGATTCCGGGGAGATTCTTGTCTAGGATCCTCTCTGGGAGCTTCTGCAGGAGTTTCACTAGAGCCAGAGCTATTGGAACTCGCATCAGCTCTTCCTCTTCTTTTTCAGCTCCTGTTCGCTTCCTGTTGACTTTGTGACTCATCTCGTGCTGGGTTCTGCTGAGGATTGATCGGTGCAGTTGAGGGAGGAGAGTGTTAGTTATGTCGAAGACGAGACCTTTGGCTGCGTAAGGGGACAGAACTATTTGTTTCTCCACGAATTTTTTTACCTCTGTCTGTTCCTCGTCCTCTGGGATTTTCTGATCTTCTGGGGAGTCCTCTTCTTTGCTCAGGGCTTCGTCCAATGCCTCGTCAGGTTCTTCTTCGATTTGGGGAGTGGAAGCTTCAGTTTTATCTTCTTCTGACTCAGCACTTTCTGCTTGAACCTGTTCAGATTTATCCTCAGGTTTCGTCACATCTTCCACACTCTTCAATTTAGATAAATCATAATGAAAAGCGTCTAGAATAGTAATCACAGTCCTCACAATCTGCCTCTGAAATTCCGTGGAAGATCTCAATTTATCCAAATAATACTTGAGAATAATTGCGTATTGATGCCAGGGCAAGAGTCTGCACACAGCCCCAACAGTCTCAATCGCAGAGTCCACTAAACTGTTTTTATTAGCAAATGACGCGTTGCAGAGGTACGAGGAGGCCAGTGGAAAGATGAATTGGGTCAGAGTCTTCGAGTTTGGAGCTTTCTCCAGAGACTTCGACATTGTGCAGAATTTCAGAAAGGCTCTGGCCTTCCTGTGAAGCTGGAGATGCTGGAGGTTCTCGAAGAAATCAACTTCAGGGTCAACTCTATCAGTCAGTAGATTCAAATCCCTGAGAACTGGGTGGACGTCTGGACACTCCATCGACATAGCTCCGAGGAAGGATATCGAACGCAGGCAAACAGCTTCATTCTTGCTCCTGATTCCAGTCCTAACTAGCTTCAGTATCGTCTCTTCGATCAGGAACATTCTGTCCACTTTATTCTCCTTATTCCGCTTCGCCAGTTCTGGTCCTAAAATGTTCAAGCACTGGCCTGCGGAGTCCCTCAGGGAGAGATCAGTCTCACGTTTGAGGAAATAGAAACAGCAGTACAAAACTGCAACTCCAAACTCAATCGTCAGGACCTTCGACTGCTCCTCATCCCCCGAAGTGATCGCTGATTTTATCTCTGAAAATGCGTTCAGCCTCCTCTCGAAGTCAGGCTGATCGATCCACCGCTGATCCACGGCGTTCAACTCCACCAAAAGATCAGCAGTCTTCACCATGATGTCCCTGGGAACTGGTGAGGAGTCGCAGTCCTTCGAGGCGATCGTCTTGAACAACTGGAGAAGGAGTTTCCTAGCAGCAGACGAGCCCACACAAGAGAAAAGCGGGAGAATGGCTCTGAGGTGGACATGCGGCTCCTGCACGTTCCTCATCAGGTTCGATATCGTCGTCAGAAGCTCGAGGATCGCCTCCTCAGCCTCTCCCTTCATCGCTCGCTTCACCAGGATGGGCAAGGACAAGGAAACCAGTGAATTCGACGTCTCCGGGTCGAGGTTGAGCTCGGAAATCCTCGCGAGGATGCTCGTCTCTGTTCTGTTGACTCCGTACTTCGACTTTTGGAATTTTCTCTTGATGTAGGACAAGACGTCCGGGACGTGGGGAAGGAGGATCGAGGATCCGTAGTTAATGTGGACTCCAGGCAAAAGTGCTTCGGCATTAACCTCCAGCAGATTCCTTGGGTTCAAGGGAATCTTCACGTCGTCGACTTCCATCTGATCCTCAGGAGTCACTCCGTAGTCCTGAAGGGTCAGGAGCTTCTCCAACATGTCCAGGATGGTATTAACCACTGATGGATGGGTTTTATTGCCCAGCAGGAGCTTGATGACGAAGGGAAGGGGAGACAAGCCGCTGTTCCCTTCCTCGTGCTTCACGAGGAGACAGAAGTACCTGGGGTTCTGACACCAGGAGGACAGGAGCTTCAGCAGAGATGTGGGACTGTGAACACCCTCCACAGGGAGTTTCTCGATCCAGGGGAAGACAGCAACGTCGAACAAAACGTCCAGCTCGGTCTCGGACCAGTTGTAGTCCTCAAAGTGTCCGAAGAATCTCGCGACGATTCCAATGCAAGTGTTCTTCAGGTCTTTGATCATGGGGATGAACCCTGAGAGGACGCTCTCGTGCTGCTCCAGGATCCCCTTGATATGGGCCATGATGCAGAGGAGGAGGGCCAGCAGCCTTGGCAACAGATTTCTCGACATTTTCGCTCCAAACTCCTCGATGATGATGGAGAGCAGGTTAACCGCTGATCTGAGACGCTTAGGGGGGATCACGTCTGATAAGTCTAGATTTTTTATGACATCTGTTGTTAGTGTTTTTAGATCTTTTAGATTGGCCTCCGGGGAGAGAGTGATCTGGTACTTCTCGAAGGGCTTGAACGCCATCTTCGTGAAGAGCATCATCTCGGTCTCTTTCACTCCCATCAAAAACCTCAGGATGATCTTACGACGAACCAGACCTCCAGCTGCCCCAGCAGCCCTCCCAGTGCCTTTTGATATCATTTTTGCGTAAATCAGTCTCATCAGGATCGGCATCAGGGACTCACGGTGGTCCTCCTGGATCATCCCAGTGGTCTCCTCCTCGTGTTCTACCTTGAATCGAGCCAGTTCATTCCGGAGATTCTTCTCCTCGATCAAACCGTAAAGGTGGTCCTTGTAAGGCATCAGGGACTTGTGTTTGTACGAGGAGAGACAGTCCAGGACTGCCTTCTGGAGCTCCACGCTCTTCGAGGTGAGCAGGTCCAGGTAAATCTGGTACATTTCAGACTCTCTGTACATCATCCTCGGGTTGTGGGCCTTGGAAAAGAGGCTCAGCTGGGAGAGCAGGAGCTTGAAGTCTGAGCTCCTTCCCAGCTTTTTTAATCCTGATTTTTTCGGGGAATCGAGCCTGGGGGGCCCCTCCTTCGTGGGTTTCTCCTCGTCTTCCGAATCATTCTCGTCGATTAGTGTTGCTTCTTGGGAGCTATCGCGTTTTAAGATGTTGTAGGATCTTGCTGTCTCTGAATTGGATTTAAATATCTTGTTCTCAACAAACTCGATGAAGAGGACTGTCACGTCTCGATTTTTAACTTCAACGTATTCTGGAAATTCACTCATGCATTTCCATAAGAGGATTTTGTAGTTCTGGTGGTCGGGTTTGTCAGTTGAAGACAATTTCTGGGTTAAAGTCTTGAGGACTTCACTGTTGAAGAGGTTTTTAGTGAGGTCAGGGGTTGGGGGGAGGCTTTGGGTCCTCAATTCTTCCAGGAATATCGGCCAGAACTGGGGGCATTTCTCACTGGCGAACGTTGCTATTGCCTTTGCTGTTGGATCCCACAGGAGAGAGAAATTGATGTACAGGTTTCCTATTAGAAATCTCACTGGGAAGTCGTGGTATTTTGGCTTGAGGTTTGTCAGTGCTCTGGAGGTGAATGTGAGGGCCTGCAGGTGGATCAGACGATCTCGGTAATTGTAGACTGTTGTTTCGACACTCTCAGCGGCGAACAGGAGGCTCAGGGCGTTCAGACTCTCGTCGTTCTTCTCGATGAACAACTCCTCGACTTCGGAGAATAGGGAGTAGATGTGGGACACTGTTAATCGAATTTTGCCATAGGGAGAACCCAGTTGCCTCCCCAAGTGTTCGTTAATCTCGTCGAAGATCTTCTCATTTATGTAGAGGTTTCTCTCTTCAGAATTTTTGATGAAGGTTAAGAATATATCTGCAGTATTTAAAATACTGGAGACGTTTGAGTATTTTTTAATCAGCTCTAATATATCCATTTTCGAGTCGTTAATGAACTTCTGGAAATCTTCAATTTCCAATAGATGGATTGTCGATTCTAGTGTCAATAGAAATGCGAAACTTCTCTTCTCAATTTCAGTTGTTGAAGCATCGTTGTAGTCGTCTCCGATCAATTTTGTATGCATTGTGATTAAATTCTTTTTTAATTTCTCTAGCAAGAGATTGTTGACGGGACTGACGTGAGGCAGAACGACAACAACTCGTAATGATTCTTCGGAGACAACATTTTCCTCTTCCCAATTTTCTAATTTATCATGAAGATAGTCAATAGTTGTAGCTGGGAATCCTCTGAGGTCCAGATTCATCTTCCTCCAGGACTTGGAGTTGATCCCACCGAGACTGGGGGGTGCCCTCCCGTTGACTATTTTGGAGAACAAGTCCAACTCGTTGTTTCCAAATTCCTCCTTTAGGACACTCCGCTGCAGGGCCATTGGCAGAATCAAGGTCTCAAAGGAAGAATGGTCGACCAATTTCTCCACAATGTAACTCAGAATCTCCCTGTTCTTGATGGATAAAAGCTTGGAAACAAATTCACTGGAAACTTCTTGAGTTAATTTCAAGTTATTTGCCAGGAGAATGTCGATGGACAGGTCGACAGCTTCTTTGAGAACTTCATCGTCGTAGACCGGAATTATTTTGACGATTTTTGACTTCATTTCCACTGGATTGATGAGCATTCTGCCCCCTCTGTGGTCGACAATCAGACGAGAAAGCCTCAGGACCAAAGTCATCATCTTCTTGTTCTTATTTTCCTGAGCTGTTGAGTGTTCATCCAGAAATTTGAAGATGACAGTCCACAGGATTTGACTATTTTTAGGGATTATTGAGTTTGTGATGCAGGTGAAGACTTGCTGGAGGACATCGAAGACCAATTTCTCATCCATTGAGTCATCGATTAATGCATTGAGGTACAAAGTCAGCATCTGTTCAGCGCAGGAGTGAAATTGTCCAGAAATTCCAGAGACAACTTCGAACAAGAGTTTTCCACAGCCTACTGTGCCATCTGGAGTCTTCTCCAGGGCTTCAAACACGAGTTTCAGGAAGGCCTCTCGATCTCTGACTTTTCTGGCGACGAATGCAAAGCTCTCAGCTGCGAAATTATTAACATACTCAGGTTTCGTGTCCACTAGGAGAGGCAGGAGGAGCTCGAAGGCCCTGTCGATGTTCTTTATCAAATATCTCCATAGGAATTTGAATAGATAGGCCAGGGTTGTGAAGGAGTATTCGAGGATCTCTGGGTCCTTCGTGGAGAGGAGATCGATGATCAGAGAGAGGAAGTGGGGGAAATGCTCGTAGAAATCCTTCTGGAGGTCCTTTGCTGCTGCCACGACCAACCTGATGAAATGAGAACGATTAATTCGTGAGACAAATCTATAAAAAATTAATTTATGAAAAATTTGGTAGAAAAAATAGCCCTTTCGCTAGAAAATTCTATTGAATTGGTATTCTACTGGAAATTATATGCGTTTTTTGTAGATTTCGATAAAGATTTTTTTACGGATTTTAATTAGAGAAAAAGCAATGGATGCTAATTTTCTGGGAGAATTATTTCCTTTAAATTTTTTATACCGAAATCAAGAAAAAAGATCTGGAAAATCCGATCTCAATAATTTTTATAGAAGTTGAAACAAACAGAATTTTCTAACGAATGTGTCAGTTTTTCTCTTGAATTTTTCCAACATCCATTTACGATCTCTTACTCGAGAATTGGCTGCACAAACGTCGCGTTCTTCATCCTCAAGTATTTTGTTAACGAGTCCAGAACCTCCTGCTTGTGTTTTAAGAGCTGAGGAAGGGTCACAACATGTTGCACTTCCTTCCTGAAGCTCTTGTACCCCTCTGTGAGGTTCAACACATTCCATTTCTGCAGTGTCTTATGAAAATTAGTCTCCAGTGATTCTTCATCATCGGAAAACTCTTCGTTCCTGTGGGCTACTCGATGGAATACATCAACGTCGATCTCTGATATCCGCTCAGAGAATTTTTTAAACTTGAAGGTGTTTGTTTCTTTATGACGAACAGGTTTATTCTTCATTTTCACTGAATATTCTTGGGATTTACTCCAAAGTATTCACGTAAACACAGTAAACAAATCAACTTATTGAAGCATATTTCATTAAACGAAATGGTTCTGTAGTTTATAAATTCATGAAAAACCATGAGAAATAACAAATTGTGTAATTAACGAGACAAACTGTCATTCTTTTTCTGGTATTTACAGTTCTGTTGCAGAGCAATACCAACCATGCGTTCAACACGTGCCTAACCTCGCTCACGAAACAAGAGGTTTCTCCCCTGACTTCACACAATGCTAATTGTACTCTGAAGTGAGCGGTGCAATTACGTTCGCTACGAAATGTAACAAGATGGCGACGAATTGATGACCCGCCGAGTACGTGAACGTCTGTCTTGCTTGTGTGACCACTGATAATTTATAATAACTCGATAGTTAATTTATTGCATCTGAAAATGGGGTAAGTGAATTTTCTGAAGTATCTTCATTCAAACTGACTGATTTTTGTGGAGAAAACGATCGTTAACGTTCGTAATCGTCAGCATTTGTCATGTTTATAAATACTATGGCAACTCCAAAATGCACAGCCAAATTGTCTCGCACATTATGGAGAAATATGTGTATTTACCCCTTTGGAATAACTCCCTTGAATTTCCATGAATGATGATCACTAGAATATCGAGTCCAACTCTTGAAAATCAATACTTCATCATCGCGTTGGTGGGATTCCACTCCGGAATAACCTCTAATTAATCCCAATTGGTTCTAGTTCCTCCGATTTGGAGTATCTTGACGCAAAGCGCGATGTGCACAGCTTCGAGGATGATTCTGACGTGGCAGAGCAGAGGAAAAAGAAAAAGAGGAAACACAAACATCATAAGCATAAAAAGGATAAAATTGGGGATAGGGATAGAGAGGAGAGGTAAATATCCCATAATTTCGGGAGAATATTTGACCTAGAAATATATTTTAAAAGTTTTATAAATAGATACATATCTAATTTTTTGCAACCAATGAAATTAGTAGTGGAGTAAAAAAGAGATGAATGAACTCAAGTTCGAGGTTAATTTTTTGAGGCATTTCCCTGGGTCTGGGGGAGGCGGGAATTTCTTCGGGGATCATTTTGTCTTCAGAAAAGTCCTCCAAAAATTCCCTAAAGTATTTTTCTAACATCAAATTCGTACTTTCATGTTTCTTTTCTTATCTATGAATTTACACACCTAAATTGCATACCACTTCCCCGCATGAATAAACTGATGGAATATGGATGCGAGGAATAAATAAATGTGGCAAAACAATGAGATACTTTATTAAAATCTCTTCACTCGCACGAGGAAGGCACGTTTGTACTAGAGGACCGCTGTCCTTCGACTAAAAACAATAGCCAAGTGAAAATTCCCTGGGAAAACGAAAAGCAAAAATAATTAAGTTTTACGACTCAAGCGGACACAGTCCTTCAAATTTCAGAATGTCTTTAGGGTTAAACCGCTCTCCAGTGCAGAGCACAACGGATCGTAAATTAGTCCCTCTCTAGAACTCTTTTCCCATTACGTCATAAATCTTTGTCGAGTAGTTTTTGCACAATAATAAAAGAGCTGCGCTCGAACCCTCCAACATAAACCTCTCCAATTTTCTATCCCCAGAAAAAAGCATAAAAAACACAAGAAGCCTCGAAAAGAGCGCGAGCCAGAGAATGGAACGACCGAAGAGAAAATTCGTCCCGTCCCAAAAGACGTGCCCCCAGTGAATGGCAAGCTAGATCACGTAATGGAGATTCCCTCAACCGAGAGCGAGGACGAGAAACTCGTCGACCTGGACTCTGACGAGGTCGACTGTACGATAATCGAGGACGACATCGACCTGGAGGAACTGATGAAGCAGAAAGAGCGCCTGCAAGCCTGCCTAGTGCAGTACCTGTCAGACGAGTCAGACAAAACCGACAAGGAGCCAGAGCCCGAGGACTCCCTAAAACCCGAAACCCCAGACGTAATAGTTGTCGAAGACGACAGTGCGGACGACATATCCCCCCGGAAGAAACGCTACAGGAGTAGATCTGGGAGTCGAGAGCGCAAGAAGCTGATTAAAACCGAGCGTCGAGTTGTCATCGACATGACACGCGACAGCAAAAAGTTGAAAGAGGATCCCAAGGACAAAAAATCCGAGAAAAAACGCGAGGAGAAGAGCCGTGCGAAGGAGGACCCCAAGAAGGACGATCGAAAGCCTGAGAAATCCAGTCGAAAGCAGCTTGACAGGGAGAAGCCAAAAGAAGAAGCCAGAAAGGACGAGCTTCGTAAGAAAACTGACGAAGAGAAACGAAAGGACTCGAGAAGAGATTCTCCAAAAAAGCGAGAGGCTGATCACTCCTCGAGATCCAGGGAGACAAGGAGTGACCGAAGATTCAGCAAAGAGAGAGACCGACGGAGTAGGGACAGGAGCTCTCGTGATCGTCACAGTAGTCGAGACAAAATTGACGGGAGGGATGGACATGCCTCTCGTGATCGTCACATGTCGAACAGAGACAGAGAGAGCAGCAGAGATCGAAGAGACAGTAGAAATCACGAGAGACCACGTGAGAGATCCAGAAGTGCTCGAAGATCGCGTTCACCACGTCACAGGGGCGATCGTGACAGGAACGACAGATGGCGGAGATCTCGATCTCGATCGACATCTCGAGGTCGACGGGATAACCGACATGGGAGGGACGACAGGGACAGAGAGAAGAACGGAAAACGCGAGAGGAGTGATAAATACAAGGATTCGCTGTCAGAGGGCCTCAAAATCGATAAATCAGAGAGCTCCAGTGAGGAGGAGATCAAGGACATTGACATCGAGGAGGAGGAGGACGAGGAGGCAATCATCGAGCGAAGGAGAAAGCAGAGGGAGGAGTTACTGAAGAGACTGGGGGGACCACCTGAGGACTCGAATCTCTCTGCTGACATGAGCATCACTGCCACGTCTCCTGTCACCGTCCAATCAAACTCATCTCCCAAGTCTGTCGAAGTGGTGACGAATAACAACGAATCGACCTCTGAGAGTCACACACCTCCGTTGCCCAGGGAGAAATCACCGCAGGCTGTGAAGAGACGAAAGTCCAGGTTCGATGATGCTCCGGAGAATAAAGAGAATAAGAAGGTGGAGGAGAAAGAGGGTGAGGAGAAGAACAGTGGGAAGGAGGAAAAGACCAACTCTAAGAAGGCCAATGAGTGGGATATGTTTGCTGAAGCTGATAATATCGCGGACTTTAATAGCCCCACGGTAGAGGGAAAGAGACCTGGGGGACCGGACAACCCGAGCTTAACTGATAACTGGGACGATGCTGAGGGCTATTATAGGGTCAGAGTTGGGGAGACACTTGACTCGCGGTATGTGGTTTATGGGTACACTGGACAGGGGGTGTTTAGTAATGTTGTCAGGGCTAGGGACACTGCCAGGGGGAACATGGATGTTGCTGTGAAAATTATTAGAAACAACGAAATCATGTAAGTGGATGCTTAAGGTTAATAATATTAATCGTCGGTTGGGGTACTGCATGACATTTTTTTATTGGTATTTATTTCATTTTTATTAATAGTGGGAAATCAATAGGTTTTTTCAGTGGCTGTGATGCTTTGATTTTTCGTGATTATTCAAAGGAAAAAAAATGATTCAATGTTTTTCAGTCAGAAGAATCATGTAACACCCCAATTGTTAGTTAGTAACAAAAACACTGATTAAGATTGATTTATTTTCTTGATTTACAGGCACAGGACGGGACTGAAGGAATTGGAAGTCCTCAGGAAACTCAACGACGCTGACCCAGAGGATCGTTTCCATTGCTTGCGTCTATTTAGACACTTTTTCCATAAGAATCACTTGTGTATGGTGTTCGAACCACTGGCGATGAATTTGAGAGAGGTAAGTTAACCCCAGACGTTTAATTTTTTCAATTATTACGTGATGATGATGAAATCGTCTTTTTATTCACATCAATTCATTTAAAGGTTCTTAAAAAATATGGAAAGGACGTTGGACTGCACGTGAAAGCCGTACGTTCGTACACTCAACAACTGTTTTTGGCATTGAAACTGCTGAAACGTGCTAATATTCTTCATGGTGATATTAAACCCGATAATATTCTAGTCAGCGAGACAAAGCTCGTACTGAAGCTTTGTGATTTTGGATCAGCCTCTCATGCACACGAGAACGAGGTCACACCATACCTTGTCTCCAGGTTCTACCGTGCTCCAGAGATTAGTAAGTATTCATTAATTTTCTCCTCATCATATCATACAGTAAATAAATGGATTGCTTCGTAATCATTTTCGTCCTTATAACATGTTTCTTTTCATTTTTGAAATTGTCTTGGTTTTGTTTCGGTCGTTGTAGGATTATCAATTTTATTGGAACAAATGATAATATTTAAATTGTTCTAGTTCTTGGTATCCCTTATGATTTTGGAATTGACATGTGGTCAGTGGGCTGCACCATCTACGAGCTCTACACCGGAAAAATCATGTTCTCAGGCAAGACAAACAATCAAATGTTGAAATTTTTCATGGATCTCAAAGGAAAAATGCCCAACAAATTGATAAGAAAGGGAACATTCAAGGAGCAGCATTTCGATTCAAACTGCAATTTCCTTTATCACGAAGTCGATAAGGTGACAGAGCGGGTAAGTTATGCTTTTAAATATTAATAAAAATCTGAAAACCATCAAGTCGACAGAATTTTTAGTGGTAAGTCAACTTGTTCATTCGTTTGAACGACAAACTCCGCTTTAATGAATTTGTTTTCTTCCTGTTGAATTGAAGGAAAAAGTGGTGGTGATGTCGACACTGCCAGCGAGTCGTGATCTCGGCGCAGAACTGGGAGGCAATTCACTGCCGGCTGAGCAGAATCGAAAAGTTGGTCAACTGAAGGATCTACTGGAGCGCACGTTAATGCTGGACGCTGGAAAGAGAATAACAGTCAACCATGCACTGGCCCATCCATTTATACAAGAAAAAATCTAGGTAACCCCTAGTGCCCGAGGAAGCTATCGTGCACGGAGAGTTATCTCAGTGGGATTAATAACGTAATTCTTTAATGTTGAATTTCGAAACATTTTTAATGTTGAATTTTCTATTTTAAAATTGAATTGAATTGAATATTTCACGCAAGAGAAGTCACTTATTCTTTTGGAAACAAAAAAATATGATTAATTTACTCGAATCTACCTCGAGGATTCATCAATATTTTAAATAATTATTTTAGTTATAAATTGAATTGCAAATTGAATTGAATTCCGTTTTCTCCTGCTCTCGGAATTTCCCGTATTCTAGTTAATCAATTAATTTGGGATGAAAATAAATCAATTGAGCATAATCATGGATATAACTACTACAATATATATGAGATATATATACCCATAAAAGGAAAATGTTTTCTTTCCATCACTACCAGAGATCGCGATTTTTCACATTAATTATATTAATTGTTCAATGGATTTTTGTTTTCTTATAATTTATGGGACTGCTTCATGCTCCAGCTGATCCTTATGATTTCTCCCTTCAACTATCATTTTGAGAGAAAGAGTTTAAGTGTTCGAGAATTGTTGATGATTACTACGTTCATAAGAAAACAAAAAGGAAAAAAAAATAATTATCACACTGAATACACACGCGTTTACACAATCGTAAGAAGAGGAAGAGAGAAAGAGTATAAAACGCTACATGACTCATTTTATCACCTAAAAACCACATGGCATGCGGACGACAAACCACAATAGACAGTTAAATGGAAAATCGATAAAGAAATTAGTGTACTAACATTTGGAGAGGAAGGAACGAAAAATTGTATAGTAATTAGGCTTGTAGTTGAAATAAAACGCTTGAATGATTGATAATCGAAAAAAAAAATTGGAGGAGGTAAAGAGAGTTCCCGTCGCACTGATAACAACGTGTAAGAAAAGATACAAAAAATACATGAAAACTAATTTATGAAATAAATGTAAACAACTATTTGCATTCATGTAGTTCCCGGTATGATAATTGTGCTGATTATCGAAGGCAAGATTGTACGTGGCTGCTTATGTTTCAGATGTCATCTACTATAACGAATCAACGTTATGTGCAGGCGGACTGTAGCAAGGGCCAAATAATAGCGCTGTTTCCCGCTGCAAGGTATTCATGGGGAACTGCCTTATGGGATATTCTAGTATATCCGAATTATCCGAATTTTATTTATTCATGTGGTCGAGTGTTGATGGGAATTATTGATCGAGTGGATAATTGATAACGAATGGGGATCATGAAAATGCCGATTGGGGTTTAACGAGAATGATAATCGTTTGATTGAATTGTCGAACATTAGAGTGATTCGTTTTTTGATCAACTTTTTTTTTAGAGATATAAGAATTGCACATGAATGGTGAATTCACTGAGTTTATTATCTAATTGGCTGTTTGGTAATGTTTTCACTTGTAGCCCTCCCTGTGAGGAGGGGAGGCAAGGCGTTCAGGATTTGAGGAGTGTCAAGTGACAGCCACGTGGGAGCTATGGAGAATCCTAGGGCTTTTGCTCGTCGGCTCTCCCTCGTCAAGACTATTGCGTAGGTTTGAAGGAACTTGTGTTTTTTCAGGGAGTGAGTAAGTATGTCTCGTCAGCAGGTATGGTATATATGGACTAATTATGAGCATTCACTTTTTTTTTTGTTTAGAGAATCTGTCAGGTGTTGTCTGTAAGTCACGTATGATAAGGGAGACTTGAAATTGTTGAGGGAAAAGAGAGGGAGAGTGAGAGTGAGAGAAAGAGCATGAGTGGAAATATCTGATCACAAATGATGCACTTATGTAAATTGTGACTTGCAGAATTCACCTCGCAGTGGGGCGTGATTTAACTCACGGAATTTTGAGTTTTCAGATGGAATAATATAATCTCAAATGAGAAGAGGAATTACTTCGATTACGTAAGCGTGTACCTGACAATTGTTTCTGGATTATTTTATAGTTAAGGAATAAACAGTTTGATTGATCACTTAATGAGAAAATTTTCATTGCTACCAATGTTTATTGAATAGAAAGTATTGTGTCCAGTTCTTTAAGTACATCAGACGAAAATAAGTCTCTTCGTGCTTTGAATATTTTGAGAGGTAAATGATAAATGCTTCGATTCACAACAATTGGGAGAATTTCCCAGGAGCTATCAACAAATCTCCGGGTAATCTTGACATGAATTTGGTTATTCGAGTCAGTTGCGGAGTTTTAATCTCTCTCGGGGTAATACTGAACGAGTAACTTTGCTATATCTTTGGCGAGTTCCATGGAAGAGGCGCAGAGGACTCTACCGCTCATGAGATCGAGGGGTCCACCTGCAGGGTCGATTACAACTCCACCAGCCTCGCGAACGATTAAATCCCCAGCTCCAAAGTCCCAAACATGAACACCGAATTCGAAATTCGCGTCGGCACCTCCCATTGCTACCATGCACATGTTCAGAGCTGCTGAGCCAAGAGTTCTAATTCTGGAAAAATTAGTCATTTTGGAGTGGAGTGAAAATAAAAACAAGAAGTGTTGTTTTTTCACGTCTTCCTGAGTGGTGAGTTATCTTGGTAATGAGTTATTTCAGGGGAGAATGTGGATAAATACAAAATTGATGAGAATCTTGAATTGAAGTTTAAATTTTCATTGAAATGTATAATTTAATGGTCTTTACCCGTGAACTTTTGGCACTAGAATCTGCAAATTTTCCATAACCGCCTTCATTTTATCTGCATTTCTACTGGTCCCCATTTCCGCCATGAGAAGAGCCTTTTTCAATTCTGAAAGAATATTTTTTTGAATTAAAAATCGTTTGAGAATGCTGAAGTACTGATTTTCTGTTGAATTTCACCTTTCTCCCCAGACACTTTAATTGGCTTTCCATTCAAAAAAGCCCCCCGTCCCCTTCTAGCAGTGAAGAGTTGCTCGATAACTGGATTATAGACAAATCCCATCTCCGTAACTTTGTCAACGAGTAGTGCGACTGATATACAAGTGTGTGGAAGCCCATGGACAAAATTCATAGTACCGTCAATTGGATCAATGACCCACGTTGGAGCATCTGTTAATTGGGCCTTGGAGCCAGAAGCTGTCGTCTCTTCGCCAATGAATCTGTCGAGTTAAATTAATTAGGATTTATTAATTACGCATGAGGGATGGGTAAAGGCTTCTGACGTTTTGATTCTTCATTCCCTGACTTGTCGAGTTTTTAATTTCAATACCTGTGATCAGGGTATCGCGAGGAGATTCCCCCTATGAACAGCTTCTCAACCTCTTTGTCGGATTCAGTGACGAGATCAACATCACAGGACTTCAGTGATACATCTTTTGGTCTGTCAATTCTCTCTCGAATAATCTGAAGACCGAAAATACCCATTATCATCACTATTATCTCTTGTATAATGTCAGCGTGAATAGGAGAATTTGGAGATTATTATTCATCAGCAACGGAATTTTTTGGAAATTTATAGAAGAACTACAATGGCAATTCAGGAGTAATTATTTACGAAAATAGCAAATGAATGTAATGGGGTAAAATAGACTTTCGAGGTTTTTGGAAATGTTAATGCCTCATTGAACTATTAATAAAATGAGATGATTTGTTTTCCCCTTGTGTGATGAGGGAAAAATCGCTCTGAGCTCAACTGATAAATTTGTTTCCGAGTTGAACATTGAAGAGAAGTTGGAATCCTTCATTTTGCTGCCTCTTCCTCTATGAATTTTCATAATTTAGACAGAAAAAATGAAGATGGATTCTAAAAGATCAGGAATGTAATGAGAATTGCATAGAATGATATAAAATTTTGAGTGATTATTAGGCTTGGAAATTATCCAGTAGAAATTTTTCCGATATCTCTATTTACATTGAGAGATATTCATGAAAAAACAAATTTACAATCGCACGATTCATTTTATTTTGAAAACAACTTGGTCGTTGCTCTTTGGAATCAGAATAATTTAGAGAACTATTGACTCTATCACGAAAGCTAGTCACTTCCATTATCTCCTCCGCATAATGTCAGAGTAAATAAAAGTATTTACTGAACAGTGTCAAATTTGAATGCCCTTCATTTAATTCAGCTAAATTTTCGCGGTCATCGAATGACCCAGTTCCGTTATCTCTCTACACAGGAGACAGAAATGTCATAAATCGATAGTTCACGTGCGCGTAGTTCGCAACAGCCCCTAAACCCCGCGAAACTCCGAGAACCCGATCGTAATTGCGTAATGATCATCTCGATTTTTGGCACCGACGATTGTCACAGGAATTGCTTAAAAAACACTCACCGCTCCGGCTTGCTTGACGAGGTCAAGGGCGACCTCGTAGTACTCGTCTAGACTCATTCTCAATAATTTCCCAGTTAAAAAATTACAGAATCTATAATCCCTGTTTTTTTGCGGTGTGAAGTGCCTCGTCGTCTGTCGCGATGACGACTGGAGGCCACATCCGTGCCAGCTGGCCTTCAACCGGAAAACAACACGCCCCCTCCAGTCATTCCCGCGCGATTTTCCGAGCAGCGGCAGATCGCGGTGGTGGGGACGCCAGTGTGTGGTTTTACGGGTGCTAGACAATGACGAACGTCGGGAGTCAGTGTAAACAATGGAATTACTCGGGTATTTTGGAGTGAAGGCTAGAGAAATTGCGTACATCTTGAAAAGAGTGGATTAACAGTTGTGAATATCGAGGAATTAGGAAACGTTAATTGTTTTAGAGGTTAAAAGAAGGAATATGAAGGTTGAGGTTGTAAAATTCTCTGTGAACTGTGTTGATGGTGGCCAGAGTGAGTCAGAGAAGGATAGAGCTCTTGAATCGGTGTAAACAATGCCCACACATCCAAAACAAGTTAAAACCCATCGAATTTAAAAATTTCCGTTCTATTTTTTCGGGGATTCGATGATTTTGGAGTGAAGTGAAGTGGAATAAAATTGTGTACTGTACAATCATTTACTAAAGTTCTGAAATAATCTGAACTTACATCCTGTGTATTTTATTTCAGAAGTTTAATAAACTAGTGTGCAATCGTCAAAAGAAGTTCGTAAAGAACGTGAAGTTGCATCCCAAACAGAATTACATAGGATGCAACTTCACACTGTGCATAAACTTACTTCTGCGATTGTACATCAGTACGCCCGTTCTTGCCATTCCCGCGCGATTTTCCGAGCAGCGGCAGTCGTGGTGGTGGGGGGACGCCAGTGTTGTGGTTTTACGGGTGCTAGACAATGACGAAGGTCGGGCGTCAGTGTAAACAATGGAATTACTCGGGTATTTTGGAGTGAGGGCTAGAGAAATTGCGTACATCTTGAAAAGAGTGAATTAACAGTTGTGAATATCGAGGAATTAGGAAACGTTAATTGTTTTAGAGGTTAAAAGAAGGAATATGAAGGTTGGGATTGTAAAATTCCTTGTGAACTCGTGTTGATGATGGCCGAGTATTCAATGTTCGAGTGAGATAACCTCTAATACAGAGTGAGTTGGCGAAGGACAGAGCTCTCGATTCAGTGTAAACATTGGAGTTACTCGATAATTTCGCAGTAAAGTGGAATAATATCGTGTGCATCTGCCAAAGAGTTGACGAATAAACCTGAATGCATTATTTTTCAAATTAATGCATTATTTTTTAAGTTAAAATAGAGAACATGAAGCTTGGAGTAAACATTCGTGTTGTATTCACGTTGAACTCGGTGAGTTGATCATCAACTGTTCGATGCGCGAGTGAGATAACCTACAATATCGCGTGTGTTGGAGAAGGACAGTGTCCACGACTCGGTGTAAACAATGGAGGTGTTTACACTAAGTAAACACGAGACAGACAATTCTCACATGGCAAAGAGTGAGTTAAGGAATATAAATATCGAGAATTCAATAAAAATGCGGTATTTTAGTCATTGAAATGAGAAATGTAAATACTCTCTGGTTTCAACCTGATGAACGTAATGTTCCATTCAGCATGAATAATGGAATTACTGGTTGATTATTGAAGCGGAGACTGAAAAAAATGTGAACATCTGTGGAAGAGTGAATTAAAAAATGTCAATATTGAAAATTTAATTAAAATGCATCATCAGGTGGTCTTCCCTCAGTGTAACAAAATTAAATTCTTCGATAACTGTCGTGTGAATTCGTGTTGATTCTAGTGAAAAATTTTCGAGTGAGTGCCTAGTAGATAAATGCAAATGACTAATTCAGTGATTTCGACTTCAACAACTGGACCAGAACTCCTGGAATCATCATAATCGAGCTGAGCATCAATGGTAAGTCGTACGATCTTCTAAAAATTCAATAAACATGATGTATTATCTCCAAAATAGAGGGGAATCCGACAAAAAGCGAGTAAAAGGGCTCAGGACCTTCCTTCATGAGAAGGTGAAATAAACACAATTATTTTCACTTTCAACATTATGATTGAGTCTTAACCTTTGTATATATACATATACATTGTACAACGTGTTCTCCATATATTTATTTTCAACTCATAATCACACATGTGTATAATCTATAATTATCGCTTAGAATAATTATCATACCTAGAAGTACTTTTGTTCCACAAGGAATGATATGTTTTGCGACGTCGCCTCGTGGGCCGAGCACGACGTTTATTAATTATAATTTGCATTATCCTTGCTTATCTTTTTTTTTGTGTATAATATAGAGCTCTGTTCATATTTCTTTTTGTGGGCCACTTTGTTAAAATTAATCCTCTCGTTAAATCACATGTGCATTGGTGCAAGTGCGTTTTCTGTTTAGTTATTGGTAGTGATAGACTTTCTTTCGTTTTTTTTTTCATTAAATAATTTTTAGTTTCTTCAGCTAAATTTTTTCTCTCTGGATAACATATTATCTAAACATTTTTTGTAGCATTTCCAGTCAACGGCACTTAATATTTAAATGTCATTTAACAGTAAAGTATCTTCAGTTACTTAAAGCCCATGGACTTTCAACGTTTTTCATTAATAATTAATTCTTCTCTTTAAATTCCTCACTCGAGATTCTATTTCTCACGTAAATCAGCAATATCTCGTATTTTAGCACTCTCTGCAATCAATACACGAGTCGACAAGCATTTAAGCACTTTTTCGTGTAATTTCTCACGGTTTTAAATCATCAAAAAAAATGCCTGAAAATAATTACATTCACTAAACAATGATCGTTGTTACTAGTGCATATTCTTTCGTTTTTAGTTTCACTTTAGTATTCTCCTTAGGCTTGTGGCCTCAGTTGAAAAAGTACATCGACGATCCCTTCGTCAGCGAGGGTGGAAACGTCACCCACATTCCTATCGCCAATTGCTATTTTTCTAAGTATACGTCTCATTATTTTCCCTGAGCGAGTTTTTGGTAGACCTGGAGCATGCTGTATCACGTCCGGTTGGGCGAAAGGTCCAATTTTTTCTCTCACTGAACCGAAAAAATCAAATTACATTTTACCTCTTTCAAAACAAGATAATTCTAAAAATCTTTTAGACACGGTTGAATATTTTTGGCTGACAAAGTCAAGTTACCTTTCCTCTTGAGTTCATCCTGTAATTGTTTGCTAAATGTCCTCCCCTCATTCGGTGTAACAAAGCAGTAAAGACACTGTCCCTTAACTGGATGAGGTTTACTGACAACAGCAGATTCAGCCACATCCTGATGCTCCGTCAGTACACTCTCCACTTCCGCCGTTGACATTAAATGCCCCGAGACATTTAACATATCATCAATGCGCCCGGTGACCCAGAGATACCCATCAGCATCGCGTTTAGCCCCTATGCAACACAGAAAATCAATGACAAACCTTCAACTATTTTTAATAACCCCCATTTAGAATATCTCTTAAAATTCTCGTGGCTTTTCCTCCAATCAATAAATTATAAAATGCCTATTGAGAAGATCAAAGCACGTCAGATATTCGACTGCCGAGGTGAGCCCACTCTCGAGGTGGACGTCATCACTGATATAGGGCTCTTAAGGTCATCTGTCTCTTGCACCCACTCACCAACCCCCAATGAAGCTGTGGAACTTCGTGACAACGATGAATCCAAATTTAACGGTAGATCAGTTCTCAGAGCAGTGGATAATGTCAATAAAATCATTGGACCTGAACTTGTGAAGAGTCGTTTGGAGGTATGCCAGCAGAGAGAGATAGACTCGTTGATGAATAGGTTGGACGGTACAAGTGACAAGTCAAAACTCGGTGCCAATGCAATTCTGGGTGTTTCAATGGCCTGCTGCAAGGCAGGTGCCATAAAGAAGGGTGTACCACTCTACAAATACATATCTCAACTTGCTGAGAGCAAAGAACCCATTATTCCTGTCCCTGTTTTCACGATTATCAGCGGTGGAAAGTTATCCGGTAATCCTCTGCCATGCCAAGAATTTGTAATTATGCCAACAGGTTTGTGTTTTGATAAAAGATGAATAATTAATGGGAAACCTCGAGATAACGAATTCAAATCAATTATATATTTTATTCATTGAGGCGCTGTGTCCTTCGCTGAAGCCATGAAAATGGGTTACGATGTTTATCGAGCGATTGAAAAACTCATTGCGGAGTCGCAAGAGTTGAAGCTACCTCTTACTGTTGGGGATGAGGGGGCTTTCTCCCCGGAATTTGAGGAGGATCGTGAGGCCTTGGTCGTGATAACAGATGCAATAAAGGGGTTGGGGTACGAGGGCAGGGTTAAGATAGCGATGGACATGGCTGCGAGCTCTTTCTGCAAAGATGGCCAGTACGATCTGGCTTTCAAGACGGACGAATCAGACCCCGATGATTACATGGAGACCGAAGCCTTGAAAGATCAATACTTGGATCTGTTGAGGGAATTTCCTCAGATTGTCTCCCTGGAGGATCCATTCGATCAAGAGGACTGGGATGGTTGGGGAATGCTGGCAGACCAGCCGATTCAACTACTAGCTGACGATCTAACAGCAATGAACATTGAGAGGATTGAGGAAGCCATGGAGAAACAGAGTGGAAATGGCATTGTGATCAGACTATCACAGATTGGCACGATAACCGAAGCTATTGACTGTCATAAAATGGCGAGGGCAGGTGGATGGTCGAGTGTTGTTTCCACCGGTTATGGAGAGACTGAAGACAATTTCATTGCTGATTTCGCTGTGGGCTTAGCTGCTGGACAGTTCAAGGCTGGGGCGCCTTGTCGAGGAGAACGAGTCTCCAAGTACAATCAGATTTTGAGGATTGAAGAGGAGCTCGGAAAAGACGCTATTTACGCTGGTGAAATGTTCAGAAATCCATTGCAACTTGCGGAGAAGAAAAAAGAGGGAAAGGACAAGAAAGGGAAGGACAAGAAGAAGAAGAAGTGAGACAATTTCCGCCCTGTCCAGGAGAACGAGTATCCCAGTACAATCAGATTTGGAGGATTGAAGAGGAACTTGCAGAGAAGAATGAGAGAAAGGACAAAAGGAGGAAAAGAATGAGACAATTTCCGTGATAATCTCACCATCTCCTGTGCAATAAAACCCGTGGAATCTGTCGAAGTATGTTGTCTGGAAGCGCTCGTGGTTTCCATAGAGTGACCTCATCATTCCAGGCCAGGGTTTTCTGAAGACCAAATAACCCTCACCCTCTCCCTCAATTACTCTGCCATCCTCATCCAAAAGCTCCGGAAGAACTCCGAAGAATGGGAATGTCTGGAAATTCCAAGTATGGAAATTCATTCTTTATATTCATAAATTCCGTAGTTTATGGACTTAGTCGTAAATTGTAACAGCACTCACTGCTGAACCTGGCTTCATAGGCGTTGCTCCTGGCAATGGTGTAATAACGTGCCCTCCAGTTTCCGTCTGCCAGAATGTATCAGCTATACTGCATTTACCGTGGCCCACGTGATTGTAAAACCATAACCAGGCTTCGGAATTTATGGGCTCACCGACGGATCCAAGGACCTGAGCAACAATCAATAATCCATGTAATTGACAGTTTTGTTCTTGCTGATATGAATATTGCATAAATCAACTGTTTCAATGCTCAATGTTTTATCGAGAGAAGGTGATCGATACTCAAGGCTGACAATACTTCATTCATATCCGTAAATTATATTAGAATAGAACGATAAATATGCAAAAACAATGAGTTAATTCACGAGTCATTAATTTTCTGGTTCATCAGCGCAATGTCTGACCTTCAATGTACTGAGATCGTGTTTTTTGACGAGTTCATCTCCAAACTTCATCAAACTCCTGATGGCTGTAGGCGCTGTGTAAAACTGATTAACTTTGTACTTGTCGATGACAGACCAGTATCTGTCATTGTGTGGGTAGAACGGTGTACCTTCGAACTAGAATATGAACAAAGACGTTGTTTTTCATATCGCACAAGAAGGTTTTACCAAACTTTTGATAAATCGAGAAAGTTCTTACGATAACGGATGTTGCACAGTTGGCAAGGGGTCCATAAACCACGTAAGTGTGCCCAGTGATCCAGCCAATGTCTGCTGTGCACCAGTAGGTGTCACCTGGTTTGTAGTCGAAAACATATTTGAAAGTTGTGGCAGCGTAGATTAAGTAGCCAGCGGTTGTGTGCAAAACTCCTTTAGGTTTTCCCGTTGATCCACTGAAAGAATGACCTCTTTGTTTGAAAAATTTCTTCAGGAAAGTAATTGAACAATCAAATCACTAGGGATTTATTTCACCTGGTGTAAAGGATGAACAGGGGATCCTCAGCAGCCACCCAGACTGGATAACAGCTTGGCTCGGCCTCCTCCATCTCCTCGTGCCACCAACAATCTCTGTCATCATCCCACGAAACACTTGGCTCACTCGAGCCCCCATTACTCGTACCATTCACACCATTCTTTTTATCTGTAATTAAAATGTCCGTCTATTTTGAATGGACAAATTCTTCACAACCACTGATCATCGATTTACGTACCGTAAATCGTGACTCGTTTCGTAAACGAAAAGTTGCATTCTCACCCCCAGCTGTTGTTTTTCCATGTGGATTCGCCAGCCTCCTCAAGTGGGCAACCACCACACAACTCTCCACCTCGTGTCCATGAGCCTTCACCTTGGCTAGTGCATCATCACAAATGTTCTTGAGTAGCAGTAGCTTCTCACCTCGGTAAACTCCGTCCGCTGTTATCAGAACTTTAGCTTTGCAGTCCATCATGCGCTCCGCCAATGAGTCTGATGAGTATCCTCCAAACTGATGGGAATTATTTTTGAATTACTATGATTGGATGTACTGCAGAATGTCAATCGAGAATTGTTTTAAGGGGGAATTTGACGAAGGATAGCCCATGAAATTCCTGCATTAGAAACAATTTATTCTGGGAATTTTTTAATATTGAAGCTATTGCAAAAAGTTTTAATAATTTTTGAAAGACAAATTAGGGATTACAAACTGATAAGCAAGATTTATTAACTGTAGATTTTGCAGAGATATTAATTATAATATCTCTGTTAATTATAATATCATTTATTAATGAAAGCTATTTGATCTTTCAATTATCTCAGGTGCACTGGGAAAAATGTCCATTTAATTTCGTGTCTAATTTGCTTGGCTCTATTTAATTGTCAGAAATAATTTTGTTCTCAGTGTAATAGTTGAAAAAATATGCAACTTTTTATTGGGCGAGGGAAGTCATCAATCTCGTATCCTCCAAACTGGTGGGAATTATTTTTGAATTAGATCGAGAATAGTTTTAACGTGGAATTTGCCAGAAGATCGTTTTACAACATTTATTAATGAAAGCTATTTGACCTTTCAATTATCTCAGGTGCACTGGGAAAAAAATGTATTTATGCCAAACAAATAAACTTCAGACAACCAAATGCCTAAAATATCGGTATAAAATCTCCATTCAATTTCTTTTCTAATTTGCTGGGCTCAATTTAATTACCAGAAATAATTTTTTCTCAGTGTAATAGTTGAAAAAATATGCAAATTTTTATTGGGCGAGGGAAATCATCAATCTCGAGAATAAATAACAACGAAATTTCACCCACATCCGATTTTTTCGCCTCAAATATTGTTGCCCCCGAGTTCTCCTCATTTCGTAACAGAAAAATACTCACAACTACACTGTGAACAGCACCAATTCTCGTGCATGCGAGCATTGCAACTGGTAATTCAAGGATCATGGGCATGTATATTGCCACTCGATCTCCTTTCTGTACACCCTTCGATTTCAAGACATTCGCGAACATACATGTCTCCTGCAGAAGCTTCTTGTACGTCAGTTTTGAGTAATCGTCCGGGTCGTTGCCCTCCCTGTTGAATTAGTTGAGAAAATTAATGAGTCATTAGCTCCCCACTTTTGCCCATCAATAATGTATTTTGGGTTTTCTGGATTATCCAGAATTCTCATTTACGTTAATGCAACGATTCACGACTAGTGAATAGCGCGCCATCCTCATTGTATTTCATTGACGCGTGTACACACTAGTAGTGTCAAATGTCAAGTTACCTCTGGGCATTCATGCGCCACGCGCTTTATTGGTGAACGACTCCGTTGATGGGCACCAGCGCATTTTCATAACGATTGTCATGGAGAAATTTCCAATGCTCTTGGAATTTCAAAGTGCATTGTTGAGGTTACATTTCATATTTTTGTAATCTTTGGAATTTTATCATCAATAGATAATCAATAGTAATGATTTTTATCATCAGTACATCATTTTTTTTTCGGGTTCTCTATACATTTACTATCATCGCTGATTTATAACGATTTATTCGTCTCCGCGGCACATGTTCTCGTATCCTACGTACAATAACAGTTTTGTTTTATGTACACGGAGGAAAAAATATCAGCAAAATTACCGTGTTAGAACGGTAAAGTGGGTTCATTTTAACGGAGCTGGAAAAATTCAGATGCCGCAATTACCGCGAGAAATTCCTCTATTTCACATTAAAATTTCCACTATTGGCATGTGTTTTCCGGGTCTGCCAAAATGGGCTCATTTTATTATGCTCCACAATAATTTTTCGTGTATTTTTCTCTCGGCTTAGTTTGTTAATACTGAAAATCCAGAAATATGAAAAAATACTCGATCAACGGCTGCAAAAGAGGAGAATTTAAATTGTGGCTCTTCATACAATATTTTTTCTGCAATATGATATCCGCCTTTTTACGGAACTTGGAATTTACCCAGTCGTCACGTGACCGCAACTATTTAATTTCCATGTAGTCTGATTATTGTCGATAAAAAACATTGTTTTTATGTTCACAAACGTGTGAAAATTTATTAGTTGGTATACGCGAGTGGGCTTAATTTTTTCGTGAACCATGACCAGTTGAGTTTTTATATTTACGGATCGAGTCAAACGATAATAAAAATTGTAGAGATTGTGATAAGATAGAACGGAGAGGGTCAGAAAATACAAAGAAAAATTATTTATTTTCTCTCGAGTTACATCAGAGAAGCATGTTGAAGCCAACTTTCGTATTAAGCGTTTTTTTTTTGACGTCGTACCATGAGACTGCAACCAATCGCGGTAAATACTTTGGACCGCGCGTCTTCTCCTGACGAATCAGAGGGCAGAGTTGTATCGTACGAGACTGGCTTTCATATCTCCCGGGTTCAAATTCGAATTTACAGTCTGTGATGATACTTGGAGAATAGTTTTCACCGTTTTTTATCATTTTTTGTAAATATTTGTTACGAGTTCCACGGGTTCTCTTTCTGCCCCTGCTCTGTTTTACATACGCAATTGAACGAGTGACTTGCGAGTACACTTCGGTCAGTTTTTACTTTGCATCCCAATGGAGTTAATGTAAGCACCGGTGTTGCGTTCATCCACGCGCCAAAAGTTCAGTGATTTCCAATCATCGAGATAATTATTTTGAAATTTTCGGTGAATTTTGATGCATTTCATCATGATAAAGGGTGATTCATAGTGACTGCCATCTTGCACAAAAAAATGATTCAATAATATTTCTTTGAGAATGGAAGAATAAAAATTCTTGATTCAACAATATTTAGTTGAGTGAAAAAAAAGCTGAAAATTTTTTTTTTTGTATTTTCTAGTCAAAGTCTCGAAAATTTTGCTTTTCGTCAAATGAAAAATTACGTTACAAAGGGGAAAATTTGAGGCAAACGATAAATTTTCCCGTCATTCAAAATAATAATCTCTACAACACTATTTTGCTCTCCAATTACATATTTAAAAAAATTCAACTCTGATTCTCACCAGTAAAATGCTATTTTATCACCATTTCCACATTTAACATTCTTGTCCAGCAAGTTGAAGCTTAAGTTTGTCGTAGCACCTTCCATCCATTTAATGTAAATGTCGCCCTGGTTGAGGTCAAAGTTGTAGGAGAAAAACTTGTCATTGGACGTTGGGGTCTCCCAGTAAAATTGCTTAGCAATTTCACCCCAAAATGCTTCGGGATATTCAATGGATCTGCAAATTTAAAATTAAATAATCGCATCATTTGCATTTGTCACCATTGGCGCGATCATATCTTCACAAACGTGATGAATCATCTCCTTTCGAGGTTCAAATATACTTTTAAAAAAATGTATGAGCATGGTTCTGATGCTAAACGTGACTCTCCTTATATTTGCCATCCTCATTACTACCTGAACACTTGAAAACAATTTTTTTTTTCATTTTTTCCCAGCGCACAATGCCTATCTTCGCCTTGACAAAATTACCCCACCATGATGGTACTTAGTCGGAAAGGTGGATCGATATTATGATTCTATTTTTGTGAGTCTTGAATGGGCAGCCAGAATATTCACACTGAATTTTCGGTTTTGCGAAAGAGTCAACAGTAAACCAATAGATTATTCACCATTAACGCCATTGCGTCAACACTACTGATAGGCATTTTCCAAATGACATTCGAATTTAACAATCAGCTGATCCATTATTTTCATCATTATCACGATGACTTCTTTATCGCTTCAAAATTTATAATTCTTGAATGACTTAAATACTGATTTTACAACTTACTTTTCATGCATACTCCTGTACTGTTCCATACTCTTGCAGTGGGCATTTTTCGCAAGCTCAGGATTAGGATTGTATATCCTGTCCGCCATTTTTGCTGGTGTATTCGCAATATCACACGGTCTTCAACCCCCTCAATTCTAAAAATTAAATTATTCCCTTAACTTTTAGCTTACCAATACACAATTTCACTCATCATTTAAAATGATAAGAATACAAAATTTGAATTCACAATGTGCTGACATCAGCGGATATTACGTCTAAAAGTGTTGAAACGTAAAATCCGGTGCATTATCAATTTAATTTTAATTTTTAAAAATAGGGGGGAACTCTCGCTCTACCACGGAGGTGTGAAAAAATAAAACGTCATTCGTTTCCCATTGATTTCACTCATTGCTCCATCAGTAAATAGAAATAGCTATTCAATTCTTTGCTAAGAATATTAAACACGTATTTACCTGCACTTCGTTTCACAACGAATGGTGAAACGCCACTGATTGTCTAGGGGAAGAAAACTTGGAGCCGCGGTTCACGACGCGCGCCACATTGTGCCACCAGAGTGGGGAGGCACAGGGAATTGCGAGGATCGATAGAACGTGGCATGAGCCGATGTAACCGCGACAATCCATTCCACAGTAAATTGTCAAAGGGTCCAATGCAAACTGTAAACTTCATTTTATTTGTCACTTTGACATGACGAAAATTTTTCAAAGAAAAACCCGCTCCTTTGCACTACGATAACAAGAGTAACACATAAAAAATGCCTCTCTTCCGTCTACAATTCAATTTAAATGCCAAATGAGGGAATGGTAAGTGGTTGCATTGAAAAATTTAGATTTTTGATTAACACAAATATGAACTTTGGAATTAAAACAAGGTGAATTGGGTCAATCATAGTCTAGCCGTGGACTTGCCGTTGCGTTGATGTATACCGGATAGAGTTATAACACCACCCCAGAGCTTTGATATTGATCTCCGAAGGCTCACCCAAAATGGAAACAGCTTCTTGCCGCGAGAGAGGGATTTTTGCAAGGTTTTTTTCATGAGTAGGTGAAAGGACTGAGTTGCGGGCTTTCAATAGTCATTCTAATGATCGCGATCTCAAGGATATTGGACGTTGTATTGTCATGTGTGCAGGGGATTACGTAAATATGGCATTAATCGAGATCGATGCGAAATGAATCTGAATCGATTTCTTCATCGAAAGTAAAGAATAAGAGAGTGGAATATTTCCGCGGGAGAGATTGCTGATTAGTTATTTCGGAACGAGGAAATGAGTAATCGTCTGCGGAAAGTTTAAAAAAAAATATGACTGATTGCGCGAGGGCGGCATTCGGGGTTTGTGGTGTATTTGAATTATGAAATGTCGGATGAGAAGGTTTTCAGGGATTAGTTACCTTTCGAGAGTAAATTATCGGTTGTGCATGAGCTTCATTCTTATTTTATCAACCAACGATCACTCGGTGAAGTTGATGGCGCGATCTATCGGGCAGGGGAAGAGTGAACAGCTTGAAGCGACTGATTGCTCAACCGATTTCGATTTTCAGTACATTCAATCTGAAAGAGAATGGAGTTGACATAAAACCGAATAGCGCAGGATGATTATATTTTTTTTCTATTCATCCCAAGAATAGAAAAAATCTTGGAGTTTCATTCTCAATTCCTTTCACTCTTCTATTTCCATCCTGCATGATTCCATCTGTCATGGTTGCATTCCGAAATTCGCGCGACGCGTCTCGGAAATACTATTGAGAAATGGGACCTATTGTCAGGATTATTGAAAGCGTGTTCATGTTTTTTATCAATGAAAGAGTGAATAAATTGACGAAAACAGAGTTGACATGTAACACAGTAACGCAAGTTGATTTGATTTTTCGTTCTTCGAAAGAAACTTGTAATTTCATTCTCAATTCCTTCACTACATTCATCCTATTTCCGTCTACCATGACTATTCTGAAATTTGCGCGACACCCGAACGAGAGAGGCATAATGATTCTCAAAGACGAATAGATTAGATTTTAAGGTCTATTTGCTCTGTTAGAAATTCCGGATTGAAATCATTGAGTCGTAGTTTACATATTCGCTCTTGACACAAATAATCCCGTCATTGTTGTGATTTTGTGGTGATGGTGGTTGCGTTAGTTTGTCGGTGAATGAAACAGTGTCGAATAACGCGGTAGGCACGTATTGCGATTACGATAAAGTTGTAAATCCATCGGGGTCTTGGGGAAAAACCCATTGTCCCCCAGGTGGTACATTTAAACTACTTCCTCTGTTATCTTGAGTACTGCCGAGGGAGACTCCTCTCGATGCTATATTCCATCGGTCAAAGACGCAGTTATTGACTTATCTATTTGGCGGACAATTTTTTGAATTCCTGGATTAATCTGATTAGTATCCAATTACTTTATATCTCTGATGCATGTCAGTAATCAGTCAAGCGTCGGTGATAATTTTGATAAACAATAATAATGATGAACGCAATTCTTTAATATTCTATAAATATCTAACAATTGTCGAGATGATATGCTGATCAACAGTCAGATCTGTCGATAATACTTTTATGAATCGGCTCATATCGCTTAGTTAATTTTTCGTTGATCGTGCTTTAATTTGACGTCGATAGAAAATTTACGCAGAACGAGAAATTGACTGCTAGTTTATGGGAATATTTTGTAAAATGAGATTGAAACGTTTCAATTATATGAAATTAATGATTTGTTGATTACATCATGTAACATTTTTAAGTATAATAATGTAATATTGGATAATATTTTCATGAAAATAATATAATATGGCAAAACAGATCGAGACCGCAAACGTTTCGTCAATATTTTTCAACATGATTGTCTAAAAAAAACATGACAATTTTCTTTTCTGTTAAACCGCAGAGTGTAATCCGTATTTCGTTAATACTCAGTAAGATACAATCACGTCTTATATATTTCACAATCTTACTCACGTACCGTTCGCGATAATTCAATGGATACTATCTCAATAAATTTGATTATTTCCGCCTCAAATCGATAACGAAATCTCCCCGAATCATAGAACAGATTTTGTGAATTTTCAGTTTTATTCATTGTATCGAACAATGCGCGTACATTTTTTCATAATTAATCAAGTGATAATTCATAGATACTGATCCTTCGTTGTCGCGTTGATGAGGGTGGGGTAGATCCGATATGCCCGGTATTGTGGTGGGCAAGTGTAGGATTGTGAATAAATACTCGATGCTCCATGGAAAAGCCAACACATGTGCGCCATCATCTGACGAAGGTAAGTCGTGCAATACAAAAGCCAGATTAATTTAATCACGAGTGTAAATTTATATTTGTTTATCCAATAATTCTAATAACAAAAACAAATATTTTTTGGGGATAAACAGGGTCCAGGAAAATTTTTTTTTGGTACTGCCTTTACTGATTTTTTATTTCGTAAAGAATTTTCATTCAATTCTCTAATTTATGGCGATCCATTAAAAATTCCCTAACTTGGTTTTTTTTAATGCGTTTTTTCCTAATTTCCAGGGGCAACCAAACAATAATTTTTCTTGTCACAGTTTATTCACAAAAATATTTCATATAATTAATTTTGTATTCTTTCAAGTTTTAAAAAAATAAAATTTATTCAATGTTGCTACACGGAGAGAAATTTTCCAGAAAAATTCTAGTACGAGTATTGGAAAAAATCACAATCCACCGACTGTGAAAAATTCTAGTGCTGTCAAGATAAAATTTCTCGGGATTTCCTGTAAAATTTCTGGGCATTTCTGTGAAATTTTCACACAAATACGGGGAAAAATTCACGTTTTTTCCCCCAATAAAATTTCCAGTGCCAGCATTGGAATTTTTTCCTGTCCGTCACTTTGCGCCTCTTTTCCCGTGCTAGCACTAGAATTATTCCAAAAAATTTCTCTCCGTGTATTGTTCTTTTATAAAGTATTTCCATTAAGCTCTTCTGGGCATTTATTTATCTACTGAATTTTAGTTGAAGAATTTTGGATAATTCTTTAAGACATTGACTATATCCCTAAAATTTCCGTGGAATTCATAATTTATATTTTCAACGGAAATTGAACACAACAATTGAACAAGAAGATGACCCGTTAGCGCTTGGCCTGAAGTATTGGACAGTCGAAGTCAATATGTTTCCTTGGCCGATGCGCTACCGCGTACCTCGATAAATCAATAATTCATCGGGTCACATTATTTTCAGTGGCAACATGTTGAAATTTGTGGTATTCGTGGGGCTCATCGGGCTGGCTCTAGCCCAAAAAGAGAGTTTTGAAAATTACAAGGTTTTCAGGATATTACCTACGAATGACGAGCAGATTGCCCTCTTGCATCAGATTGCAGATACTTCTGATGGAGTAAGTCCAAACTCTCCAACATTTTTACGACTACTGATATCCAGTGAATTGAATAAAATAATAAATCGATTAAATTGCAGCAATACTCCTTCTGGAACGAAGCCGGTCACGTAAACGTAACCGCTGATTTGATGGTTGCACCGCAAAAAATTGAGGAATTTGAACGATTAATGGCACTCACTGAGACTAAGTATGTGCCTTACATCGACAATGTTCAACAGCTGATTGATGATGAGAATCCAAGTCTTGAAAGGCTGACAACTGGATTTGACTGGACTAGTTATCATAAGCTAGATGAGATCAACGCATGGTTGGACTCACTCGCTAGTACTTATCCAGACAAAGTGCAGGCTGTTGTTGCTGGTAAAACTTACGAGGGACGTCAAATCAAAGGCGTCAAGGTTTCATTCAAGGAGGGCAATCCTGGCGTATTCATTGAGGGAAATATTCATGCCCGTGAGTGGATCACAGCTGCCACTGTCACTTACATTCTGAATCAATTATTAACTAGCAAGGATCCAGCTGTCAGAGAATTGGCTGACAGACACGACTGGTACATCTTCCCAGTGTTCAATCCTGATGGATATGCCTTTACTCACACCACTGTAAGTTGTATTTTATTCGCTTGACAACAAGAGAGAACATCTCCTGTTCCATCGTATGAGGGAAAAATGCACATTGTTTCATCTCATTGCGTTATTTGTAGAACCGGCTGTGGCGCAAAACGAGGAAGCCCTACAGTTCATTCTGCCGGGGATCCGACCCCAACCGCAACTGGGGCTACAAATGGATGCGTAAGTTCAGTTCAATTCATTTTGGAGATTTGGAGAATTTTGTTCCCGAAATGTGCGACTCAAGTGATATTTTTTACTTGGTACAGAGGGTGGCGCCAGCCGTAATCCATGCGCTGAGACTTATGCCGGATCAGCTGCCTTCTCCGATATTGAAACCAAATCGGCATCTCAATTCATTGCTTCCATTTCCAATAAAATCTACGCTTATATATCATTCCACAGTTATTCCCAACTTTTGCTCTTCCCTTACGGTCACACTAGCGCTCATCTTGATAATTATGACGATCTGGTAAGTTGTAGCAGTTGAATGGAACTCAGTAGCGAAGCGGTAGAAGGGTTCATGTCAAAATTTGCATTTTTTTTAGAAGGGGTGTCAGACATCGGCATAATCGAAATTTTGAATTACAGTTAAATTTGGAATAAGTCAATTGTTAATATTACTCACTATTTTTTTTATTTTAGAAATAACCATCAATTTAAATTTCAAATTCCGAATTATTTTATCAACCAATAATTGAGAAATTAAATGACCAATTATTATATTAATTTTCAATGGCAATTACGATAAATAAATCTAAATTACTATAAAGTGCAGCTTCTCATAATATTACTAAAAGTAATGATTGATGCCGATCTATGAGGGGTGTAAAAATTATTGTGGTCATCTCAGCAGTCGATTTAGATCTAATTTTCAAATCTAATTTTATCTAATTTTCAAAAAAAATCGACATAAACCGGTTTCCTTCGCTACTGAACTGATAATTGCGATCAAAAGTCTGAATAGTTTAACACAATATTTGTTGAATTGCAGTACGCAATCGGAACCGAAACCATCAATGCATTAGCCAAGAGATACGGCACTAAGTACGTCACTGGAAACATTGCTGAGACTATTTGTAAGTAGTTCATCTCAACTGTGAGATTTATTTCTGATTCTTGGCCTTGAGGTTACCAAACCGATCTTGACCATTCTGGGAATGATGATTGTTATTCTTCTCCTTCATTCTCTAAATTACAAGGTCGACAACAAGAGTCATAGATAATTGTTGTGATCATTTGCCGAATGGGTTTGAGTAATTTTTTAATTTTTGTAGACATTGCTAGTGGCAGCTCTGTAGACTATGTGAAAGGTACCTTCCAGACACCAATCACCTATACTTATGAACTTCGTGACAAGGGAAGGTATGGGTTCCTCCTTCCAGCTAATCAAATTATTCCTACTGGAGAGGAAACCCTTGACTCTCTCGTTGCCATGTTCAAAAGTGCTCAAGCACGGGGTTATCCCAGGAATGCATAATATTGTCGTGCAGAGCATGAACTTGCAGTATGAAGGAATTTGAATGAAATTTCACAAACTTCTTGGTTTTTATATCTGTTTTTTTGTGATTAATAAAGTACAACTGTTGAGTTATAGAACATTGATTTCCGAATAGGGAGTTAAGCGGACAATGTTTGATTGTCAACATCGTAATAAACCTATTTTTGATACATCGGGTTTCGTTTTGAAGTTTGAAAATGGAAATCGTGCCGGAGTTATTGACGATTGAAGGCGGTTTAGTTTATCCCGCTCGTCCCTATTGGCTTTGCCAATAATTCAACTAGCGGTGAGACATTTATTCGCTTTACGACTTATAATTTCGCGATTGCAACGAAATACGGGCCAATTTTACGAGCACTGTGGATAATTAGTGTATGGAAAAATTGTTTTCCCTCGGTGAAATTATGAAAGTGGGAGTAAAATTTGTGTAATTATATTTCTCGTTATTCATGCTCCCTGGATTGCAATTACGTTCAAATGTTTTATTGAACAAAAAGTAACGGCTTTTTTTCAATGAGGGGTTTATATCGTTTTCTCATTTCGCGGTAATGGATTTCAGTTTTTATTTGGAACTCATGCATGAGCTTTTTTATTTCAACATTTGTGGAGAAATCAATTAAACGTACATTTATATTTCTATGGTTATGATTAATAATTTTGTAATGAAAACAAAAATTATGAAAATCGATTGATACATCATTCGATGATGTTAATTATTCTTGCGCGATGAGTCTGGCCAAGTCTCTGAGTTTTTTCTTGGCGATTTTTCCCGATGCTGTGTAAGGCATTTGATCGAGGAATTTGACGCCACCGGATAATCTCATCCGATCGGATAATTTGGATTCCACTAGTTCGATGATATCTTTCTCACTGACCTTTGGGAAAATTTCGTAAATTCCTCAATACGATGTAAAATACGGAAACAGATATGTACGAGATATTTATCAGTGATATTACCTCTTTACCGGGGAGTTTTGTCACAAAAGCCATTGGCTGTTCTCTATCTAGGGTGTATGGTTTTGCGATGACAGCCACTTCTGCAACACAAGGATGTTCGCCGATACACTGCTCGATTGGTCCTGGAGCTATGTCGAATAGTTTACACTTGATTAGTTCTTTTAGTCTGTCAATTATGTAGAAGCTGCCGTCTTCGTCATAATAGCCAAGATCATCAGAGTGATACCATCCTGTAAAGAATTAGTTCAATTTTTTGTTCACTGAACACACGAAATTGTAAATTTCGATCGAAATTTCCCTCTAAATTCTAGTAACTGTACATCCAATAATTTTGCTTTATCAAAACTACAGTGAAAAATGCAACAAGTCCATTGAAAATTACACTATTTTAACTGAAAATATGAAAAATATCTGAAATGCTATTTTTTGCTAGAAATTGTATCTCCTTACAATATGCTGTACAATGACTAGAATTTCGGGGTAATTTTTAATAGAATTTTTGTTGACCTTCAGAATCGAGCACAAAAGCTGTCGCTTCAGGATTTTTAAAATATTCTTGCATCATAAATGGGCTTTTTACACATATTTCACCCTCTTCATTGGGGCCAAGGATCTTTCCAGTTGATCTATCAATGACTTTAATTTCAACATTGTTCGTTATCTTTCCACACGTGCCAGGTTTTGAATCGTCAGTTATTTTTGAAATTGTAACGGCTCCACCAAATTCAGTAGCACCTGCATGGAGAATATGTTAGACAGTAATTCTTCACTTTGGGCAATTGTATTCAAGCGTTAAAGATTTGTGGTTACCATAAACTTGATGGATGCTTGCATTTGGGAAAGTCTTTAGAAGGAACTTTTCAATGTCGTGTTTGACGATAGCACCGCTGAAGAATAACAGATCTACTGAAGACATGTCACAGGTAGAAGCCTCTTCGGTATTGCATAATCGATTTATGGAGCCAGTACCCAAAATTATCCAGTTTATCTGTCAGTTAAAAGAATGCTCATATAGCAATGATCATTTAGCAATGATTTTCTTAATAATCAACAACGGAATGTACATCAACCTTGTATTTCTCAATCAATCTACAAATATCTGCCTCTGATGGGGCGGGGTAAACAACAGCTGTCGCACCTTTGACGAAACAGATCATCATTCCTATGACAGCGGAAATCCAGCAGAAGCTGGAACCCCAAAAGCCTCTGGCGCCGGTGGCTCCGTCAACCTCGGTGTTACCCACACCAGCTGTTAACGACCCGTAACTCAGAAGAACGCTCTTTGGCCTTCCCGTACTTCCTGAGGTATAAATTAACATCGCCGGTTGGTCAGCAGTTTCAATCCTCTCGCACTCGAAACTTTGAACTTGCTCGTTGTTTTGTTGGTCTAGAATTTCTTGTAGTGATTGCATACTAGGCACTTTGCCAAGGACAATTACTTTAGCAGGTGACTGAACTTTCTTGACAATATTCTGGATAAAAGGGCCTGATTCTTCGTTCGTAAATATCACTTTGGGCTCCGTGTGGTTGAGAAAGTAGATTATAAGATCTGAAATTGAACGATTACTCATTGTATCAGTAGATTTTTTGTCTCTTCAAATTTATCGTAAATTTGAAGCATTATTACCTTCTTCCAAGTAAGTTTCCCACCAAGGATTGCACACAGCACCCAGGAATAGGGAAGCCAGTAATGGAATTGCGCTGTTCAATTGGTTGTGGGTACAAAGGGCAATTATGTCACCAGGCTTAACACCTTGTTTCTTCATCCACAGAGCGCATTTGACACTTCTATCCTCTATATTTCTTAAGGTGTCTTCTTCACCAGTTTTGGCATCCACCTGGCACACATGAGAGTTTATAGATATGCCCAAACAGAACACAGCCGACAACAGAAAGTGTTTCGAAGATTCGAATAAAAAATAACACTTGAAAATTCACTCAACAGGGCATGGTAACAATTGATTTAAAATATAGTGTGAAGTATCCTTCTTTGCGGAAATTGTTATGACATTTTTTTTGGAAAACTACTATTTCAGTGGGTATTATATTCACAGATGCATAAAGAGAAGAATCTATTTTTTCTCCTACATTTTTCACTCGTTCGCCGATTAAAAACTACCCGAAAACGTATTCCGTTAGACATTTACCATGCGGTTCAGGGTAATTCCCAGTATATTTTCCTCTCCGCGTACTTAACTAGATTAATCGAAATTTATGGAATTTACCTGGCCAATTCGGTCGGGATAGTCTCTCAGGCATCTCAAAATTTTTTCCCCATATCTCCAGTGGCCTTCGGGATGTTCTACACACTCTCCTTTCCAAATTCCATCTTCATAAGTGAGACCCGTTTTTTTCTAATTTTGAAATTTAAAAATGAAAAGGTGCAATTTACAAATATTTACCTGATATGGTACTTCGCAGTTGAGAATTTTTCTTACCACAACCATAGTAAAATTGTCGTTCTATTCGGGTGGCGGCAAACACAGTCGTCGAGCGAGTCAAAAACAATACTGCTAAAACCCCCCTATTAAGCTGTGCGATATCTCATCAATTTGATTATCGTATCTATAAACGTTCAGCGAAACTCTGCATGGCATATCGTGATGGCGAGATAAATAATGATGAAAAAATTGTCATGTGAACGGTATTATATAATTTTACCAGTTATTGACCAATATTGCCCGGTTCTATTCAAACTGTCGGTCTCTGGCACCTCGTGCTCGTCTTTTTGGTCCTCCTTATCGAACATTTTTAGGCAGAACGATAAGGTAGATAAAATACAAGGTATTGTAAACAAAAAACAATGCATTGCGGCTTAATGATGAATAAGTAAAAAAATTCCGAATAGAATTTTCATTAAATTTTGTCATTTTTCCAGATCACAAAACCGATTTTTTCATAAAAAATGAACCGCGTGAAGTTGACTGATCGAGATTTATTCTTGGATTTTTCCTATGAAAATCATATGCGATAAAACAAGTAATTGCCCTTTTTTTCAATTTGAAAAATTTCTGATTGGAAACTAAACGGAGAAATGTCAACGTCATTGCCACATGAATCATTTATTATTATGTAACAAAAGTTTACATTATTATCTGTATCATGTCATAGCTCTGGCGAAGGCACGCAGTTGTCTCTTAGCAATTTTTCCCGAAGCTGTGTGAGGCATTTCTTCCAAAAAGCAAACTCCACCCCGTAGCTTCATCCAATCGTGCAATTTATTAGCAACTAGCTCCGTGATTTCGTTTTCCGTCACCTGCACAGATATATTATCCATTTCATAAGGCTATATAAGCCACGGGCATTTTGCAAAGGGCATTCAAAATATCCACCTTAGCACCGGGTCGTCTGGTGACAAAAGCCAGAGGTTGTTCCAGGTCATTATTATCAGGTTTACCTACAACACCAACTTCAGCTATCTCTGGATGCTCCTGTATAACACTCTCAATGGCCGCCGGCGGCACATGATAAAGCCTATATTTTATGAGCTCCTTGATCCTCTCCGTAATATAGAAATCACCATCTTCGTCGTAATGGCCTACGTCCCCCGTGTGGTACCATCCTATAAAAAATCATGGTGTTTCGATCTCTCTTCAGGGGCAACATTTTGTCCGCTCTCTGCCTAGGGGATAATGTCACTCTACTCTAGGGGTCATTAGCGCCAAGAAGCGAAACAATATCGGGAAAAAACTGAAATTTCATGAAGGAGGAGGTTGTAATCTTCTGACGAGTGCACGGAGAGTAAAAAGCAGAGTAGTAAAACGGAGAGTAGTAAAAATTAATATATAATTATCAAATATATAATTATCAAATTTTGATAAAAATAAAAATTACCGTGCCGGTAGAGTAAAAATTACTGTACCGGTAGGGTAAAATTTACCAACCGTTCTAGAATTTTCGTTATCTATATAAAAATTATTAGACTGGAAGGGTAAAATTTATTACGCGTCAGGATAAAATTTCTCCAACGTAGAATAAAATTTGATCATCATATATTAATTTTTAGTAAATTTCGGGATATAAATGAGTAAACGATGACTCAAAAATTTCTCTCCGTGTGACATTAAATTCGGTTTGAGGCAAAAAATGGATTAATTGACAAATGAATGGATTAACGAATTGATGAATTAATTAATTGATAAATGAATGGATTAATGGATTAATATGGAAAATATTTATTTTAAATATTCAAACTGAAACTTACAGTTCTAAATTGAATATGTGATTTTTAAGTGACGAAAATTTCTGGGATTGAGATGGAAATGCCACTTTTTGGAAATTTCGGAGATTCGACATTAGAAATTCAGGCAAGAATCTACAATCACGTGAGTGGGGATCACAGATAGGGGTCAAAGTTCTATCCTCGGGGATGATTTACATCTAAAAAGTGGGGAATCATCCATGAATTTGAGTTATTTCATCCCCCAGGCGAAAAAGGTTAAAATATTCCTGAGGAAAGGTGAAAAGAGCGTAAGGGTGGATTTGTTTTTATTGCTTTTTCCGTACACTTCACTCATTTTAGAGTGCAAAGATACCTTCAGAATCGATAGCTTCTGCTGTAGCTTCTGGATTATTCCAATAACAAAGCATCCGAGCTGCGCCTCTCACGTAGAGTTCTCCCTCCTGATGCGGCCCGAGAATTTCTTGGGTATCGAGATCGACTACTTTTATCTCATAATTCTGGGTGACTTTGCCGGTTATTGTTGTTTTTTCGTCAGTTATGAGTCCGGCGGTGGCAGCTCCTATTTCAGTAGTTCCTGAAAAACAATATTATTAATTCAGTAGCGAAATGGTAAAACGGTTTAAGTCGACTTATCTCTTAGTTGAGTTTTTGAGGAATATCTTCGAATTTAAAGGAAATAATGAAATTTTCGTAATAACCTTTTTTCTAGAGCAAATTGAGTGCTACAAAAAAGGTTTTGACAAAAATTGGGCTATCTCCCTTCCATTCCGTGATATTTACTAAAAATTGGTCAATAGTCAAAATCGACTTGAACCGGTTTACCACTTCGCTACTGAATTCAAAGTTTCATATTTCTTCACTCATATTTCTGCAATAATAATATCGTCTAGTGCTGCCGCGAGAGAGAAAGACTGGAAACCGAGGTGCGTTGAATTGACTCGGAGTCATGGCGATAGAAGTCGATACTGCGTCTTCGGAGACTGAGACGAGCCCCAAAATTTGCGCGTTCACCGCGACCGAGACAATCCCTCCAAAGTATTGTCTCGTGATGTCTCGTAAAGTCTCTCTCGCGGCATCACTAATTTGGACGTATCTTGCAAAGAAAAAATTAGATAAAAAATTTTCAACATTGTACGTTCTTTTGACTAATTGTCTCGAAATACGTTTTTTTTTCTTCTGAAACCCATGGACTTCCTCACCATAAACCGATAAAATAGAAGCAGTTGAGAACAACTTCCTCAAGAACACAGCAACTTCTGATTTCAGAACTCCTCCACCGACAGTTACTCGATGAATGGATGACAAATCATATCCCCACACGGCGTCAGTTTTGTAGAGACGATTTGCAAAAGCCGTACCCATTGTCAGCCACGTTACCTGTCAATCAACTCAGCATTAATTAAATATTCAATGTAACCGTGATTTCCTCGTTACATTACCCCAAACTTCTCTGTTATCCTGCAAGCTTCTTCCTCACTTCCGCAATTATGGATGATGGACGTGGATTTGAGAATAAGGGACCTGATGAGAGCTCCTGTTCCGCTTATCCAGCAGAGGGTAGCAAACCAGAGGCCGACTTTTTTTCCCTCGTAATGAGGAAAAACTCCGACCATATTTGTGAAAGATCCGTTTGAGTAAAGAGCTCCCTTTGGTTTGCCCGTTGTTCCTGATGTGTACATAATCACGGCAGGATCGTGAGGTGATTTGAGTTTAGTGCATTGAAAATTTGCTATGTCCTCTGAGTTAATGGTTGTTATAACGTCCCTGAAGGAATCCAAACCGTGATATTCACCGAAAACCACTATTTTCGGTCCAGTGCCAGTGTAATTTATGGAGTTTAAAATCATTTTCGCTGATACTTCATCAGCAAATATGACTTTGGGCTTTGCAAGCTCAATGAAATATCTGATAATATCTGCGGAATGAATATAAATTTTATTCAGTATTTCGTATCTCTCAGTGTTTATACATGGAGAGAATTTTTTTTAGAAAAATTCTAGTACGAGTACTGGAAAAAATTACCATCCACCGGCTGTGAAAAATTCTAGTGCTGTTAAGGTAAAATTTCTTGGTATTTCTGGTAAAATGTCTGGGGATTTCTGTGAAATTTTCACAGAAATACGGGGGAAAATTCATGTTTTTCCCAATAAAATTTCTAGTGCCGGCACTGGAATTTTTTTCCTGCCCGTCACTTTGCGCCTCTTTTGCCGTGCTAGCACTAGCATTTTTCTAAAAAATTTCTCTCCGTGTATTTCATTCAGAAATCACGAACCCCCGTCCAAACAGTTGTCCCACCATGGATTGAAAATTGCGGCGATATAGAGCGAAGCGCACACCGGAGCAAAAGAATCGAGGTTGTTTTTCGAGCAGTAACCAATGACATCTCCAGGTTGAACTCCTTGTTTTTTCAACCATATTGCACATCGTACGCTTCTGTCTAACATTGCATTGTACGTGTCCTCCTCCATTGTTGTGGCATCGATCTGGATCATCAATAAAAAAAAAAATGTCGATTGCGCTGTTATGAGCACCCACGCCTTCATCAATAAAGCTTTGGATCGAGTATTGATGTACCTGTCCGATGAATTTGGGGTATTTTTCAAGTACTTCGTACAATTTCTCACCAAGTCGAAAATAATCGGGCGATAGGGTGACCTTAGGGCCAATCCAAATTCCGTCTTTGTGTAAAGGAACAGAGGGACTCTGGAAATATCATAGAATTTGCTCCCTTCCCTCGATGTAATTAGTCAAATCAGTAGCGAAGTGATAAAACGGTTCAAGTCAATCTTGACTATTCCCAGTTTTCAATGAATATCTCGGAATCTAAGGGAGATAGCAAAATTTCTGTTATACACCTTTTCGTAGAACCGATTAAGAGCTGCAACAAAAACAATTACGAAAATTTCGATATCTCCCTTAGATTCGGGAATATTCCTCAAAAACTCAACTGCGAGATAAGTCAACTTGAACCGCTTTACCACTTCGCTACGGAATTAAATATCACTTGAGATTGACGCACTATCATATCCTTTCTTCTTTGCTTTTATCGGTCACTGTACCTGTTCTGTCATTTTTTCCAATCAGATTCTTCGAGCATACGACAACAGATAAAGTGTCACGGCGCACCAAATGAATCGCCCAATTAGTTTCTCCGTGATAACACAACGGCAGTTCTTCTTGAAGACTGACATAAATTCGCAGAATGGACATAGCTTTTAATTCGCAGTGTATTGTACTACTGCGTATTCACAAGGTCGTAGTGGGGGTATGCAGTGTCATAATAAATATTACGCAAACCACAGCGGTTGATGAAAATTACAACCCTTGACGTTTGAACGCTTCATATGAATATGTTTTTCCGCAAACTTTGTCAATCGTTGATAATTAATGAAGCGGACAAAGGGCGAGCCATGCAAATACTGATAGTTGCCATTGTCTTGATCGCGGGGGAGCTATAATTTTTCAGTGAATCCGTAATGCAATATTGATCCGTACAACTTACATACTCATTACAAAATTCTACGTCATGCTAAATTGTTGGTCATTCCTACACGGAAGTCAATACATAATTACGCTGAATGTGTAATTATCCCTGTTTTTTTACGTAATTCTGTTTACTTGCGATAAATTGTTGTCAATTTTCACGTGATGAAACGTCTCCGCACATTCTCCGAATAATTTTCATGTATTTCATAATTAAAGTTTGTTAGAGCTGTGGGTTGACGTTATTTAATTGATTTTATTGTATCACGAGCATTCTTCACAGAGGGTTATCTCCGAGTGTCGGCATTCAGCAACATTCAAGATCAACAAGTGCGGCACAGTTTAAAATAATAGTTGCAAGAAGTTTTACGAGGCGGTTTCCATTCTCTGAAATTCATTTCTTGGATGCTGCATGAGGAAATTACTCTAATAACAAAAGAGAATCTTACAAATAGGTCAGCCATTTATTTTTATCTTCATCATTGTCGGTAACTCGTTTCTACCAGTCATTCTGATACACGTTGAAATCGCTTGACGGACGGCATCAACTGCATTGAACCAATAACATGAGACGTCATTGTGTGGTCAATCAAGTTTATTGTTGCATTAGGTTAGACGACAGTGAAAAAATAATACAATTATCGTTTTGAGGTCAATTAATTATATTCGAGCTAATGTATGAATGAGTGCAATCTCACGAGTCACGAATGAATTCTTTAGCCATCTCCTTTAATGCCGTGCGCGCTATTTTCCCAGATGCTGTGTGAGGCATTTGGTCTAGAATTCGTACACCCGCTCGTAACCACATCTGCTCTGGCAAATTGTCCTCGACGAATTTTTTTATGTCGTTTTCAGTTATCTGGAATTAGTTGAGAAATTAAGGTATCAATGGGAATTGAAATTGCAGATGAATTTCCAATTAATTAATTGATTCGTTAATTTTTTTTTCAATTTCGTAACGGGTCGTGTCGTTTTAGCCTTATTTTTTCTGGAAGGATTTTAAATTTCATGAGCGTTTACTCCTTGAATTGAATTCAGTGTTATTCTCCTGTATTTGACCAATCGATTGTTCATAAAATTGCAATTATTTTAATGGTTTAGGTGTAAACGAACAATTGTTACCTTTACTTCTGGTGATTTTGCGATGAAAGCAATCGGTCTCTCGTCGTCCTCCCAGTCAGGTACTCCAACAACTCCAGCCTCTGTTACTCCAGGATATGTCATGATGATCTGCTCGATTACCGAGGGTGACACATGGTGTCCCCTCCATTTAATCAGTTCCTTCAGCCTGTCTATGATATAAACAGCCCCATCGTTGTCATAATAAGCTTGATCACCCGTGTGCAGCCAACCTGAAATCACCGGACAATTTTCCATTAATCTGGAAAAACATTGAGGCATGTGTACACGGAGCGAGAAACAGGATTTCGTCCGCGATGAACAAAAATTCTTGCCATTCTTTCTTGATGAATGCGGTCGAGACTTGAACGGTTACAGCAAATTCAAAGATTTTTCAACTAAGATTTAATAACACGCATTGAAAAATTCAATAGAAAACATAGCGAATTCGCTAGAAAATTCTATTGGTATTCTATAGGAATTCTGTGGGATTTCTATAGGATTTCTATTGGAATCCCATTGGAAAATTCTAATTGTTTTTTGCGCTAATTCTATTGGATATTCGATGAGAAAAAGTCAATAGAATTCGAATTTCTGTTTGAAATATTCTCTTGAGATTTTTTCTATAAGAATGCTTGGATATCAATTTTCTAAGTTTTTACCACTCGCATTCTGTAATGCAATATAGTAGATACAGAATCAACCTTCACTTGGTGAAAAAATTCGATTTTGGCGAAAGTCGACTTTTCCCTTGGAAAAACGGAAAATCTGACACTCTGAAAATCTGAAAAAAAAATTTTTTTCAGTTTTCATTTTTTCCACATACTTTTGAGAGTTCTGAATAGCCCGTCGCTTAAATAGCTGGAATCAACGTTCACCCGGCTAAAAAATTCGATTTTGGCGAAAGTCGACTTTCCCCCTGGAAAAATTCAAGATCTGGCACTTTGGCCCTCGTGACCCTTGTGACCCTTTGACCGACTTTCCTCCTGAAAAAATCCAGGATCTGACACTTCGGCCCCCGGTGAAAAATTTTTTTTTTCAGTTTTCACTTTTTCCACATACTTTTAAGAGTTCTGAATAGCCCGTCGCTTAAATAGTTGGAATCAACGTTCACCCGGCTAAAAAATTCGATTTTGGCGAAAGTCGACTTTCCCCCTGGAAAAACGGAAAATCTGCCCCTTTGAAAATCTGAAAGAAAATTTTTTTTCAGTTTTCATTTTTTCCACATACTTTTGAGAGTGCTGAGTAGCCCGTCGCTTAAATAGTTGGAATCAACGTTCACCCGGCTAAAAAATTCGATTTTGGCGAAAGTCGACTTTCCCCCTGGAAAAACGGAAAATCTGACCCTTTGGCTCCGGGTGAAAATTTTTTTTTCAGTTTTCACTTCTTCCACATACTTTTGAGAGTTTTGAATAGCTCGTCGCTCAAATCTCTGGAATCAACGTTCACCCAGCTAAAAAATTCGATTTTGGCAAAAGTCCACTCATTTTGCGAATAATTCATCCGTCTGCGAACAATGCTGTAAAGCTTCATGGCAATAATTTTGTACGCATCTTAAATATCCCCATTCTTCATTAATTTAAGTGACGATAAAATTTACAAACCGTCAGCTTTAATGATTTCTTTCGTCTTCTCTGGATTCTTGTAGTATCCAGTCATCATAAAAGGAGATTTAACGCAGAGCTCTCCCTTCTCGTTAACACCCAATATTCTTCCGCTCTCAGGATCGATAACTTTCATTTCAAACCACCTGGCGAGTGTGCCAACAGAATTCGGTTTAGCCATTTTCGTTTGATGTATGGAAACTCCTCCCGATTCCGTAGTCCCTAGGAGGCAAACCATTTTTCAGTTGACAAGCAATGTCGGTTATTGGAGGGTACTCAGCATTAATTACCGTAGAGTTGTATGATGTATGCTCCCGGGAGTGCTGTTTGAAGAGCATCTTGAGCATCTTGCTTGAATACGGCGCCACCGATCCAAACTGATTTTATAGACGACAGATCGTATTTCGACAGCACGCCGGACTTGAGGAGCCTATTTGCTGCACTCGTGCCAGTCAATATCCATGTTATCTAATGAATCACCATAAATGATCATTTTCTTATTTTAATTCAATAACACACTGAGAAAAAAAATTATTTTTGCCAACTGTCCATTTACTTGGGAGAAGTATTTATTTTTTCAATTCCGTATTTCTCCGTTCGGGTCATTCTCAGGCAATCCTCATTAGGTTTAAATTATGTCAATTATATTGCTCTAGAAGATGATCATGTTAATTATGACATTGAGTGAACTCCTTCAATGATTATCAACATTAAAAAATTAATCGTAATTCATAATCGAGTTCATTCAAAGTCATGTGCAACATAGTTATCCTCTAGAGCAATATGATTGTTGTAATTGAAACCTAGCGAAGTTCTCCTGGGAATGAATCGATTGGAGAACTAAAATTTTGAAAAAATAAATGCCTCCATCCAGTAAATGAATATTTGGTTAAAATAATTTTCTTTTTCAGTGCACAGACCAAAAAGCTACTGTTTTCAGGGAAATGAGTTTGATTTTTGGAGAGTTGGCCCAAGTTACAATTAAAATACGGGATTTTCTCACACACAACAACACACACAGCATTGTACTATTGTTAATAAAAAGATTTCAGTGAAGATGGATGAAAAGCTTTGCATTAACGATAATATAAAGCATTTTTTAGATGAATACAGCAGCTCTTCATTGACATTAATCAAAAAACTTTCAATTAACATAATAAAACGTTTTTATAACCCATGAATTTCCGATAAGTACATCCATTTGAATTTAATTGGCACATCAGAATGGAAATCCACCCATTCAGTTGGCGCGAATTGACGGAACTCATTTTTTGAATCACTCCGTGAGGCATTTCAAACAAAAAAGGCAATTTATCTCTTGCTGTTTGTTATTTGAAAGTGCCACATTGGATTCCCCGAGGGCAGATGCCATAAATTCTCAAATTTACCTTATATTTCTCCACGAGTTCACATAAATTTTCCGGGGTGAAAGCCTTGGCAATAATCCTCTTTTGAAAATGAGCAATGGAAGACAGTGTGCAGAGAACACCAGTAATCCAGCACAAGTTTGAGTAGCAGAGAACAACATTATTGCAGCCACCAAATGTGCCTGCATTCATTACATTTCCAAAGAGAGATTTATGAGAATGAAGTGCACCTTTCGGTAGCCCGGTGGAGCCTGAGGTGTACTCGATATAGGCTGGTTCGCTCATACTAGAGAGCTTAGTGCACTGAAAACTCTCAACATCCGAAGGCTTATATTTTCGAATGATGTCGTCAAAGGATTCGAATTTGGTGCTGCGGCCAAATACGACTATTTGGAAGCGGATTTTGAGATCACGTGCCACGTCAGAAACTAGTTCTGTGTATTTTTCATCGGTGAAGAGAACCTTTGGAGTTGTGAGAGCCATGAAATGCTTGGCTGTATCTGTTGGAACAATTAATTGATGTTGATGAATCATTACACGTTGTTTGATTCGAGAAAATAGAATCCAAATATATCAATGGATTTTTTTTAAAGTAAAATCTCTAACATGTGATGTTTTTTTCAACACTGATTTACAATATTTATTGAGCTTACCTCCGCGAATGTGAATATGAGTTAAACAGAGTTGAAATATGTGAGACATACACTGTTAGAAAATTACCTGTGAAATTTCAAATACAAAATTCTAATTGGTATGAAATTTTCGCAATGAGTTTACCAGTTCATACTGTCTATGAAATATCAATGATCACATATCATGAAAATTTGATTTCAAATTTAATTCAATTCACATTCTACATAAAATTTCGTTCTCGAAAATTCAATTCCAGCTCAATTTCGGGTTAGAAATAAGAAAAAAGGGCTCGTGAGACAGTTTATACTACCGTAAGATAATTATCATTCAACCTGTCGCTTGTGAATGAAACCGGAAAAGCCAGCTTTATCAGTGCAATATACCTCTATTCAAGCCGTGATCCCACCAAGGATTGAAGATAGCACCAATGCATAAACATGCCACAACCGGAATTACAGCATCAATATGATTATGCGTGCATATTGCAACCACATCACCGGGTTTAACACCTTGACTCAGTAGCCAGAGAGCACATTTCACAGTCCTATCCGCTATTTCTCCGAATGTATCCTCCTTCCCCGTTTCTGCATCAACCTACGTATACACGAATACCCTTCACTCTGCATATTGTTATACAAATACGTGTCTCAATCATCTCTGCTTACTCACCTGATTTACTAGTTTGGGATTCTTCCTCATTCCCGTGAGCAAAAGCTTACCTATATTATTCTCATCTTGTCTGTATGGATAAGTTTCTGCTTTAATTATTCCATTTTTCATCGTCAGTTTGGGAAGTTCCTGCGAAAAATTGGGCAAATTTGTCGTTAATATTCTTGTCACTGATCGGGAAAAAGTTCTCTTTATGTTGTGCTTGGTCACCAACATCAAGAACATTGATCTCCACTTCGGCAATCATCCTGAATGCCGATTTTGACAGCGAGTTGACCACTTGGTTTTTGATGTATGTTACTACTTTATCAGAAAATCTTTCGTATCCTGGATTCTTATATGAACGAACTCATCCCCACTCATTGAGTACAATGAATCATGACTTGCGACTAATCAAGTTTCAAGTGAAAACTCTGACAATTCTTGTGTATCAATAGTGAAAAATCATTTGTGATCACTGGGCGAAGGAACGACCCTTGGCATCACTGACAGTAGTAGACCAGGAATGGCACTGCAGATGTCTTGATAGCTGATTATACTTTCATGATCTGCCTATCATTTGTAATTGCATGAATTGCGACGATTTGATGAGCAGTTAGACTGCTGAAATGACTATGAAGAGCTACGTATAGATGACATAACTACAAATTGATGGCTCGCAGTTCAATTCTTAAGATGCCACAAGTGTATTGCAGTAAAAAATAGAGTGTTGCAGTAGAGTTAATCATCACTAGTGAAACTAGAAAAAAATCCGGAAGTCATCATTTGCCCCCGGAAGCCATTGCGTGCAGCCCACACTTTGCTACTGTTGCATAACGCATCTACCAAATTCAGAAAAACCTATTGTAGGATTTAAGTGGAAATATAGTATTAACTGAGTGCGGAGAAGATTTCAGTACAGAACAAAAGGGAAAATTCATTCGTTTTCTACTTGAAATAAATTTTTCCTGTTGAGATTTTTCTACAGAAGTTCCTCGGCATAGAATTGTCCAAGGTTTTCTGCATTTCCGTTTCAAAATTTTTTACTTCAAGTGTCATTCATCGGGTATTCTTCTTCATTCCGCCAAGAAAACATTGTGGCGGTGTTGAAGTATATCGAATGATTTAATAAAATTTACAAATTTCCCGGAATACCCGAATTATTGAAATAATCATCGCCTATGAAATTCAAAAAAACCTATTGTAGGATTTAAGTGGAAATATTGTATTAACTGAGTGCGGAGAAGATTTCAGTACAGAAAAAAAGGGAAAATTCATTCGTTTTCTACTTGAAATAAATTTTTCCTGTTGAGATTTTTCTACAGAAGTTCCTCGGCATAGAATTTTCCAAGGTTTTCTGCATTTCCGTTTCAAAATTTTTTACTTCAAGTGTCATTCATCGGGTATTCTTCTTCATTCCGCCAAGAAAACATTGTGGCGGTGTTGAAGTATATCGAATGATTTAATAAAATTTACAAATTTCCCGGAATACCCGAATTATTGAAATAATCATCGCCTATGAAATTCAAAAAAACCTATTGTAGGATTTAAGTGGAAATATTGTATTAACTGAGTGCGGAGAAGATTTCAGTACAGAAAAAAAGGGAAAATTCATTCGTTTTCTACTTGAAATAAATTTTTCCTGTTGAGATTTTTCTACAGAAGTTCCTCGGCATAGAATTTTCCAAGGTTTTCCGCATTTCCGTTTCAAAATTTTTCACTTCAAGTGTCATTCATCGTGTGAATCATTTAGTAAAATTTAAAAATTTCCCGGAACACCCGAATTATTGAAATAATCATCGCCCTCAGTATGAAGTGACCATAGGAGCATTGCACAATAAAAAATCCGTCAATATCAAAATTGGGTAATTGCAACAAATATTTGATGCTCTGTAATTTTATTTTCAATTATTTCTATCTCACTTTGTTCATCGATTATCCGAGACACCTCCCATACAGCAACATGCCCTCCAAAGCCTCACCTCAATCATCTCACAAATTTTCCAATCGTAATAATTAATTATTGATTGTTAATAATTATCACAGAAAGTTTATAAAACAATTGCCGTGACGATTATTATTATTATCGCTTTCAATATTAATATTAGCCGTTTGTTTCGTGATTTATCATTGTTAGACGGAAAAATTGAATGGTTTTAATGTTATTTATGGTTAATCCAATATAACTTTATATATTTTTCATCATAATAATAACAATAGTAGCGGTTTCAATAGTTTTAATAGTAGTATTATTCTCAAGAATTATGCCAGTAGCATTGATAAATCGGTAGATATTACAGTAATTGATTTTATGATGTTGTTTTTTTTAATAGTGAAAGATTTCAGTAAAGAGCAGCTTCAATAGTCATTTGTAAATCCATTGTTTTTCCTTCAAAACGTAAGATTAATTATTCTTAAACACTGCTGACAATTATCTACGTTTTCAACGGACCAATTTGCTTTGTGCCGAAAGTGAGAGAGAGAAGAAGTTGAAAAGAAAAATCGATCAACTAGCTATTTCCTAATAAATGAATGCAATCAGAAGTTGATTGGTGGGAAAATAGGATAGTGCAGTCGAGAGTTCAATCACCACTCAGATTTGTTTTTCATGATTATTGAGAGCCAACTACTGCAGTAATGCAAACACTAGAGCCGTTTCCACTCAACTTCTTCGAAAAATCTCATTGTTTTACTTTATTATGATAGATGTACTAAAATAAAATCTCACAGTTCAACTCATAATTAACAAGAGCATGAGACGAAAAGATTAAAAAAGAATTCAAGCACTATTTATAATTTCTAGGGCGTAAAACAGTTTATTTTATATTGACATTAAAAGGTTCTCTTGAAAAGTTTTAGCCGCTAGGTTTATCATCTCTACGATTTAGAGGGGATAATCTACTCAGTATCACACATAAAGCGCTTTTCTCTAAACTCAAACAATCCAAGAATTTTAATATTGCTTCATTTTTTTTTTCAATTTTTCATGGTTTAATTTTATATCATTTGAAAATTGTAAAAATTACTTAACGTACTTATCGTAACCACAATCCTGCGTATTATTAATTCACTTTGATAACTATTGATGGTTAATTTAATTTTAATTTTACAATCGTTTTTTTTCAGTTTTGGGGATGAATACTCTGCTTATTTTTTATATCATTCCCACAATTTTTTTTATTTCCCGTAATAGATCTCTGCAAGGAGACAAAAGTTGATGAGACATTACTGAAATATTCAGAGAATTGTGAAGTAAGATTTTTTAGTCTTTATCAGGGGGAAAGATGCGAAAGGAATTGGTGAATTTTCTCCGTAACATAAGTTAATATTGGTTTTTAATATCTATAATTTCGCTTATTATTTTCGGAAAAAAAATTGCAAAACTTATGCGGGGAAAATTGACTGCATGGAGAGATGTAGTTCCTCCACAAGAATAATTTTTTTGTTTTACGTATCTGATAGTGGAAACCGAGAAAACAGTTTTAGTTTTTAATATCAGTGATTACATCCATGGGATTGAGGGATAAAATTCCTGAAAATTACGGATGTATCCCTTGAAAGTGATTTTTTTTCTATAATTTTTCCTCAACTTTTTTCTCCATGTATATGTCCTGATTCATAACAGAACCCGTCACGTCCGAGATTGATACGTGTTATGCATATCTATCGAATTTGCATGCTTTACAATCTCCACAATAGAAACAGGAGGTTTAAAAAGAATGGAACGTAACGTTTTCTTTATTTCTTTCGTTTCAGGTTTATTCGATGTAAAAAGAAAAGAAAGGATTCCTCCTTGTGATTCTTTCGTACGTATGCAGAGTGCGCTGGGTAGGAGGATGAGATTTTCTGCGATTGAATGTGTACGGGACTTGAATTCTGGGAGAGAGACACGAATCACCAATTGTATTTTTATTACTTCCAATCGTTTTCCAGCTGAGGGTGAGTCTTTCAGTTTTACATTTAGGGGAGAGAAATGAGAGATGAAAAAAAAAAAAACAGAGAACTCAGTGAGAGTTAACGATGTCGCAATCATCAAACGGGATAAATCTCCTTTCTCTTCTCCATTTTCAGTAGTCGATTGCCTATTATTTTCTCTCTTTAGTCGACGTTATCCTCGCGGAGAAAGAGAATTTCCAAATTAAGGAGATTGTTCGATAGTTGTGAATGATGTCCATAGAAATACAGGGAAACGTGATTTTTATCTGGATTTATAAAGAAGAGTTGTGACATTATCACTAATTTTCAGGGGCTCATCTTCAATTTATAGAAATCTAAAATTCAATTTATGAAAATTAAAAATGGTGTTTCTCTGTGAAAATTCAGTTTTCACTGCATTTTGAGGTAGAAATAAGAAAGAAATGACTCATGATAAAACAGAAGAATTACTTTCACTAAACTTTTATCTCCGTGCAGGTAAAAATCACAGAGCCAATATTTTTCGCGGCTGTTATTGAAACAAACGTTCCGAAATTGCATACTTCCCTTGCGCTGGTGTCCAACAAACGCTACTCCCATTTTACGTAACAATCACGTGACTCACGCGATATCATTTTCAATTTCTAATTCCATACGAAAGGTTCAACGAGACTGAATTATACCTCGTTAACTGTTATCACTAACAAAGTCTGTCGGTTGTACTAGACAGTGAACGGGACTCGTAATATAGAAATTTAATTAGGAATTGTCGGGTGATATATATGGAGGACCACCCGGTGAATGAAACTTCACAGCACGGAAAAAATTATTTGGTGAAATTCAACAACCAATAGTTAATTCATTTTTTCAACAACTAATTAATGGAATTGAACAACTATTTAGTTAAAATTCAGAAAAAGATTTTTCAATTTCATTCAATCAATTTTGACTATGAAACTAGATCAAATAATTTGACGAACGTTTATTGAAAATTTAGCAAATGGTTGTCGAATGAAATTGAAAAATATTTTTCTGAATTTTAACTAAATCGTTGTTAAATTTCATCAACTAGTTGTTGAAATTCACCAAATAATTTTCTCTATGAGAGTAACAATTTTATTGACTAGCGAAAAATTCCCTCATCACGTGCATTTTCCACCCGTACTGAACGTTTATTCACTTGCCACGCCAATGTTGATGGTAAATCAATAGAATTTATCGAGGATGTTACGCACTGCAGTGTAACTGATCCTCGAATAAATTATTTTGCCGTCGTATGACGGAATGCATTCACATGTAAACCGCTTCAGTACTAGTGTTATCGTAGCCTTCATGCTGCCATCCAACCAGGGTAGAATTTACGGGGTGTTTGTACGAATATATAGGACGGGAGTGGGCCATTGGAGAGTTGACGGTAGTAAATGCTGTCATTACCAGGCGTTACTCCGGGGAGAGTCTCGTTAGAAAGAGTAGTATCACAACTTTTTTATGATCCTCTTGTCAATGTAACTCTTGGACACTCGGAAATGAAGAGGGTATAGTGACACTCTTTTGTTGCGTTGGCTACAGGGAGAATTTTTCCAGCGGTTAAACTTGGAAAATGGGAAAATTATTCCCCTTTTTTATTATTTTGGTGCTCTGAACGTGTTGCGGCGTCAGTGGCTCCAGTATTTTATGTTCAATTTTAGATTTCAATTTTGTGTTGGTTGAATATTTTTCATTCGGAATTTTTTGCTAGACATCACTGATTAATGAATAGTTTATTTTTCGTTTGCGTATTGTCATTCTGGATTGGAGAGTCTCGTTAAAAAGCGTAATATCATCACTTTTTTATGATATTCTTGTGAATGTAACTCTTGGACACTCGGAAATGAAGAGGGGATAGTGACTTGTGTTGTGTTAACTATGCAGCGATAATTTTTCCAGCGTTAAAACTCGGAAAATGTGAAATTTATTCAAGTCGTTTGAAATGAAAAATTTGTCTTTGTGCCTCAACCGTGAGGCGAAATCAAATTTCATCGACTGATTTGTATTGAATCTCTATTTTATCCGAAAATAAATACCCAGTTTCGATTAAATAATTTCCAATGGTATTCTTTGATAAAGAAACTTTTATTTTCTAAATAAGCATTTCGAGTCTTAATTTAAAGATTTTTCTTTCCAATCTAAGTGACGTCGTATAAAGAGCGTAATCCATCAGAACTTTTTTATGATCATCTTGTCAATAAAACTCTTGGACACTATTATATCGAGGGAAGATAGTGGCCCTCTCGTATTCTGTTGACTATAAAGATGATTCTTCTTGTCGTAAAATTCGGAGAATGTAAAAATAGTTTCTCTTTATTTATCATGCTTGTGTGTGTTTTGGATAGCTTATTGTTCATTTTAAATTGCACCAAAGAAAGTGAAATTGAAACCTCCAGAATAGGTGAAGGACAAAATAAAAATTTTATGTTTCAATTCAATTTATGAATTAAAAATTCTTTTCAATAAGTATTTTCAATTGAAGAGAATAATAAATTCCTAATTCATTACAACTTGTTTACGACTATCTCAGTATAACTTGTGGACACTCGAATAAAGAAGATACAGTGACTCTCGGGCGGTGAAAAAAACTTGGAAAATGTAAAAATTGTTTCTTTCTTCATCATTTTCTCGTGCTCAGGAAGTTGCTGTTCAAATATCTGAAGGATAAAGCTCTGGTGGTTTGAGTGGGGGCTCGAGAGTTTCCTCTATACGTGGAGGAATAGGAATAGGTGGGTGTGGATAGACGCATGGAGTGTCTGATAGTGAAGAAACACGAGGGAAGTTTGCCAATATCGGAAATTTCACGAGGAACCTCGTTCCAATGATAGAAATTGAGGAAAAACCCAGTGATATAGCACCGCCTCAAGAAATCTGTACAAGAGACTGTACTCTTGACTGCACCGAAGCAAAAATTGTGTAAAAATTATCCTATACATCAACAGAAGTGAATCATCGGTCATTACTTCCTCATTTTCATCCGAAAATTTAGTAAAATATTAATATTCAACAATTAAATTTCACATAGGAAGATCGAGTTTCATAATAAAATAAAAGTCTTTATTCCAAACTTTTCTATTCACTTCAGCAACAGTTTCGTTGGGAATGAAATTGTCTAAATTTAAAAAGAATAAAATTTGATCTTCACATGTAAAATTTTATATTTCAACACTCAATTTTCTCTGAATTTAGAAATCAAAATGAGAAAAAGAAGACTTACGACATGATCATATAACACGATATCCTCCGCATTGAGGAAACGAAATTACTCATCCCAAACAAAATTATTTGCCACGATAAAATTATTCTCCGAGTGCAATGTATCTCAATTCGTTGAAAAAACGGAAATCCCAGAAAAGCATTATGATAATCTCGAATCAGAATCGACAAAATATCAGAGAGATGCTGAAAGGCGTCCGGAAAATACCCCCGACATTTCAATCCCAGATTTCAATCTCAACCCAGACATCGAGAGATCCAAACTCATTTTCCCTCTGACATTGCAGTTCATTTTATTCTCCCTTTCTCTTGTCCCCTTTCCCCTGTTCTCTTCAATGTTTTTTTTCCACCTCCTTTATCATCACTCCTCATCCGAAAATACATAACCAATAGTTCTCCCACATACACTATTACGGGTATATATTCAGAGCAACATGAGAAAAATCCTTCAACACGTTGAAAAATTTTATCTAATAACAATAACATTAAAAATATTATTAGATCATTTTGTGCGCTAAAAAACGACTTCAATGAGGATTCTGTATCTCCATTCAATCTCGGTCGCTTTGGGGCTGGGGAGGGGGGTAAAAGGACAACATATCGTGCGGAGAGAGAGCTTAAAACTCGGTCATCGCGTGGTCGCAAAAAACTTGTTTTAAAACTTATATCATATATATATTTTGTTAGTTTAATCTCGAGCCGGACGTTGTCGATATATATCTATGTAGGCCGACCACTTCAAGTGGGCTGACTATCGTCGGAGATACCCCTCGTTGATTCTTTTTTCTTTCTCCCCAACTCATTTCTTTCCCTCGTTTTCTTTTTTTTTTTTTTTTTTTTTTTTTTTTTTTTTTTTTTTTTTGTTTTTCTCTTCTTTCATTTTTCTGCTGTATCGTTTGTATATTTTTTTCACTTCTTTTTCTTGACTCGTTCGCCTCATCTACGCGGGGATTTTACAAACACCCGGGGATACGTGCTGGGTTAACCCAAAAGTAGTGTCGGCATTCGATGGGCGAGCCCTCCCCTCCATTCCCCTCGTTGGCCTGCTTCCAGTTGCCATCCACAAAGGGCACTTCTTCTATTCGCACTTTACCAGATTTATTCCGATGGGAATTTCGTCCCCCCTCCCGCCCCTGCCGCCCTTCCTCCCTCTCCCCGTAATGTTATATCAGTCCATCTATAAAATTCATGTTAACGTTGTTCTTGAAATGCTGAATATTATTTGCAGTGGAATAGCTGCATCGAATAATTCAGTTATTCGTTGATGAATATTGAGGGATGAATAAAATAACAGGGAGTTTTTTCATTTATATTTTCACATTTTGAGGGCTTGAGGGGCTTAATGTGGGTTACTCTCCGCCGAGTGACAGTGCCTGGACGATTCTTGGATCAGCTTTGCTACCCTCACGAAATTCATCGAGTGTCAGCCTGTCATCGTGATTTTTATCCATCTGATCGAATATCTTGTCTACCCTCTTCTGTGGCGTATTCTCGTCCTCTGCGTGTGGCTGCTGACCCTGAAATTTGATTTGAGAGGTGGGATTTATCTGGAATGACTACACTGGGAAAAATTATTCTTGGGGTTGTGGGCTTGAATCCGAGGAAATCTTTATTGGTTGAGAAGTTTATCGGGGAGGCAGGGAAATCGCAGCTCGGATTTTGTGAGGAGAACTGCATTCGGGCGGGTTGTGCCTTCTGCATGCACGATTGGATTTTTCTCTTGACTTGGTATTCAAATTCTTGGACATTTCGTCATTGAAAAATCACGTATTCTGTTGATTTTTTCATAGAATTGAAATTTCAGCTCAATTATTCGGTGAAAATGGGGAAAAATTGGGAATATTCAGGTTATTTTAGTTTATTAATTTTCATTGAATAATTCAGTAGCGAAGTGGTAAAACGGTTCAAGTTGACTCATCTCCCAGTTGTTTTTGAGGGATATTTCCCAATCTAAGGGAGATAGCGAAATTTTAGTAATAACATTTGTTGTAGCTCTCAATCGGCTCTACAAAAAAGGTTATAATCAAAATTTTGCTATCTCCCTTAGATTCCGAGATATTCATTGAAAACTGGTCAATAGTCAAAATTGACTTGTACTGTTTTACCACTTCACTACTGAATTGAACTTAAATTTAGAATTTTCATAGTTTTTCTTCATCTAATACCCAATTTTTAATGTATAAATTCATTGAAAATTCGATGAAACTGTCACTTGATAAAATTTTAAGAAGTTACCGGTAATGTCAGCGAAATATTTTTCACAGTAAATGTTACGAGTGTTATTAATTTATTGCTTTTGTTCATGTTTCAATTCTCATTAAAAAAAAAACTAAAAGTCCGATCCCGATGATTTACTCCACTTAAGAATGCAATTTCCCTATCCCTCCAATCCACCCCCTTTTACCCTTCAATCTCATCAATATCTCAACCAAAAAAAAAAAATTGTTTCCAAATTAAAAAACTAATGCTTCCCTCCATCCTGGAACCAAACTTCTCAACGAATAAGATTTATGGATTCCATTACTAAAAACCTTCCCCCATCTTAACGAAGAACTGCAAAAAAAAGAACCGTTTCCTCAGTTGAACCTAAAACTTCCCAGCGACTGCATTAAATCATTCCAGACGATCAATCTTCCCAAGTCCTTCAGCCATTTCAATCCACAGATCTAACCAACTTTATCATCGAAATATTTAACTTTGAATCAGATACCCGAGAATGTCGTACACCAGAATGCTCCCAGTATATCACTGGAGTGCCAGTTCAAGTCTCAAGGGGTTATTTGCTCACTTCTCGAGCCAATGTATATGACCCAACAACTTGTACGTGTCTTTGGTCTGGCTATCTGCGGATTGCCGCTGGTATTTTCCTCACTTACCTCAGCAGTCTCCACCTCACTACCCCCTCTCCCTCCCCCTCGTCCACCCCCACCACAAAAACCAGTGTACCACATCCAACGTTATTGCAAACTTGAACGTAAACGTGAAATTCCACTTTAATCAACGAACTTGGCATTTATATATGAGAAAGTACATGACGTGGAGTTTTAGTACTTTGTTGAGTTATTCTCCTCTGTTTTCCCTCCGGAATTGTAACTCTTACCTGCATTAAGGTTTACCCCCTTCAGGAGCTCTCGGTTTCATTCGACTTTGCACTATTTTTTTCATTTTTTTTTCTTCACCTCTCGATGGAGGGGATTAAAAGGTGAAGAAAAAAAAGCAACTCCACACCTTTTCAAGTACAAGCTGAAAACCCATTCCCACCACGAGCACTATTTCATGGCCCGCTATTCGTTACCCCCGGGTCGACAGGGCTTTAAAGCTCTGTAATCGTCGTGTGGGCGACGGTGGTGGGGAGGGGGGGAATTGTAGAGTTTTTATGAAATCGACTAAAACTCACCACCATCTGATATATCGCGTCCACGATGTTATACATTTCTTCTCGTGTGATAAAACCATCGTTATCGACGTCGTACAGTCGAAATGCCCCTGGAATAAGCCGTAAAATAGAAACGGTCAGTTTCGTGGGGGAGTACTTTAATAAAATTTTCGGGAATATATATTGGTTATGTAGAGAGCAAATGGGGATGAACATTAATGTCGTCTTGGGAATTCATTGGGGAGTTTACGAGAGTCCATTCTGGAATTTTCTGTCTCGGTGAAGTTTTCGGTTGTGGAGGGTCAAGATGGATTTTTCAAATGTGAATGTTCATGTCAAATATATCCTTTTGATTTAAACGAAACTCTTTATTTGAAATATTTCTATTGAATCGTTTGATTCATTTGATTGATTTCAAAAATATTTTTACTGGAAATTGATAAACTCATGGATTTATTTAACAAAACATTTGTTTACATTTGAAAAATTAGTTATTTGATGCAAATAAAAATCAATTTTAGGTTTGAATGAAAGCTTTTTTACCAGGTATTTGCATTTACCCGTGCGTTTGATTCAGAAAACTATTTCTCTGGGTGTACATCCTATTCTTGAATGAAACTTCTCTGTAATATCATAATGATACGATTATTTCGTTAATAATATTTTCGCCGAATGAAATTCCCAATTGTTGCAAGAAATTTCTGATTGACTCCACAACACTTTGAATCAGCTCTCGTGCCTCCAGATAAATTCACAGAATTGTGAGAAAATCCATCACATCCATTTCCGTCATTTATTTTCAATCTATTATTTATCCGATTAAGTACCACGAAAAATGGAAAATTTTACGAGAGCGAACATTTCCCGGCCGACGCGTCCCAATAAATACATCAATTTCCGGTGTTTGCTGCTTACGCGGGATTTTCTATGGCTGTGCAGTGCAATGAATTTCAAAATCGTTTTATTCACTCGCCGCGGTACACAGAAACTTTATGTGCAACACTACACCATATTTTACATTAATCCAAAGCGTTAAAATGCATCAGTGGGAACATTGCTCTCGTCTATTGTTTGGTGTCAGATGTTTTTATTTCTCTGCATTGAATGCATCCCGTCTATGGGATCGAATTGTTTGCCGTTACTGTGTGCCGTTTCGAGAATTCCTATCGATTAATTAAATCCGCACGTGCCAGTCGTTATTTTTTTTTAAAGTCACACATACACTTTTTGTTTTATCTGGCTCGTTTGTTTCACGCCTCTCTGCGTTTGTTAGCTCTTTTCCACGTGGAAATATAAACGAGAGAAATTCTCCCACTTTTTTACTATGTTTTCTTTTTTATTAGGTGGGGGTGTCAATGTGGTTCCACCACGGGTGGTGAATCAACACTGAGGAAAATCCGATATAAATGTCGGGGGTTTTTGTTCTCATTTATATTTACGTGTTGATGCGGAGGGAGCGATTTATCAGGAATACTTTGTTTTCATCACTTGCGCGTAAAGTAGGATTTTGCGCACGCGAGGCGTGTCGCATTGTGATGAAAAATGGAGTTCGACACGCGTGGGAAAAGTGTTCTCTGACCCTCGGGAAGGTGCACTGAGGAAAAAAAAATATTTTTGCCAAGTAAATTTACTAACTACAAGAAAATCCACACATTTCAAATGTAAATATTTATATACACGGAGAGAAAATTTTTAAAAAAATTCTAGTGCTAGCACGGGACTGCTAGAGGCGCAAAGTCATGGCCAGGAAAAAATTCTAGTGCCGGCACTAGAAATTTCATTGGGGAAAACGTGAATTTTTCCCCGTATTTATGTGAAAATTTCACAGAAATCCCCAGAAATTTTACCAGAAATACCAAGAAATTTTACCTTAATAGCACTAGAATTTTTCACAGCCGGTGGATTGTAATTTTTTCCATTACTCGTACTAGAATTTTTATAGAAAATTTCTATCCGTGTACACTTACTTGTGGCAAGTGAATTTCCTTGGCAGAAGTATTTTTTTTTCTCAGTGTGGCAGCCTCCTTCGGTGAGCGCTACATATCTCCCCCACTTTTACGCACTCGTATCTAAATATACTATTTATTTATCGAGTTTTGGAGAAACAAAAGGTGATACTCACAGTGTAGTTTCTCGTCTAGATTTCCTCTTGACGTTACTGACAGGGCTCTGATGAACTCCTCAAACTCTATCGTACCGTCCTGTATAAATATTGAAGCCGTGTTTTACGTCGAGAAAACGAGTGGGTCTTGTTGAATAATAAAATAGGGATATTCCCTACGATTTTTTTATGAAGAAATTATTGAAATGAATCGTTTAGACTGGACGAAGTGAAAAGAACAATTTTTTTTTCAACAAGGTCTTATGGGATTCTCAAATTGATATGAAAGGAATAAAAAATTTTAGCAACGTGAAGGAGATAACTCTGTGTATTAGTTGAAGAAAAAATAAAATTTGTCGTGAGTGCGAGTGATTTAAAAAAAAAAATCTTATATTGGAAAAAATTATGAGGATAAAATATTTAATGGAGGGAAGAACTATAAACTCACATTATTCTCATCGAAAACCCTAAAAACGAGTGAAGCGAACTTGGAGGGATCGCCTTGTGGAAAGAACTGCTTGTAGATCTTGATAAATCCCTGTAACAAGGCGACAAGAGCGAAACAAAAATGATGAAAGTACAACAGTGCTTCCAGTAAAGCCTGGAGTTTGCATAATCTTAAAATCCTCAGACAGTACCTGTTCAGTGAGAAGACCGTCGGGGCAGTCCTTGAGAAATCCTTTATGCCTAGAATCACAGAGAACCGCAAAAAAAAACGTACACAAAATTTAATGAATTTTTCCTCATAAATGGACTTACCACTGTCGGATTTCCTTTTCCGTGACTGTAAAGAAATTAAAATAACCTGATTAATTATGGGTGTTAATACGTCTCGGTAAAATGAGGAAAAAAGAAAGAGCATGATGGGAGTTGGCCTGATGAATAACAAGGAGCGAACGAGGCAAAAGGAGGAAAAAAAAGGAGAAAATTTGCAAGTTAAAAAGGAACGGGGTGGACAAAAGCTGGGGAAAGCTAAACGAGTTGCGACAAAAGGGTGCAGCCAGGAGGTAAAGGAAGTGAAATAAAAAGAAACAGGGAGGAAGAGTGTAATCGTCCCTGGCGTACAGCTCGACCCGAAAGTTATCGCGCGACCTCTGATTCACTGATGTTCATCCCTCTCTTTACATTAATCTCTGCCCCTTGTCAAAGTTGTAGCTCACCACAAAGGGGAGGAGGGGGAGACCCTTTGATCGGCTTTGAAAATTAGAGGAAACACGAAAACCTCTTTGGCAAAATGGAAGAGACTACTTCATTCGCTTTGTTTTCTCAGGGGTAAAAGGAGAATGACAAAAATGATTGTATCTCTCAGCCGATTGATTGATTCAATTCAGTGGAGGGGGGATGTGGATGTATAGTGGAAGGCCCCCTTGAATTTCTCTCTTGGGTGAATTTTCCGAGTGAGTTCTTGATAACCTACTTTCGCTGAGTTGATAGACCCCCATTTTTACGGATACCGAGGACCCGTGAAGTATCAATTTTTCATTGATAACTTTGTAATTGGAATGTTCGGGAGAATTTGCGGGGCTGTTGTGGTACGTAAGGAGGGGGGAGGTGATTCAATTGGGGGGATTGTTCTAGAGTTCGAGACCGTTGTGCATGCATATTTGAGAAATTTGAAAAGAACTAATTGTTCGCTGTTAGAAATTTTTTGAAATTCAAGTAACAGATGCTTTTGAATTTTCAATATTCTGAAGATGAATTCAATTGTAGAATAAATTGCTCATGGGATTCCTGATCCGTCTTGGAAATTCAATAAAATTAAGTTTTTCGTTGTGAATGATCATTGAGGTGAAGTTTTTAGGCGAGATTATTTTTTTCTTGGATGATGAATCAAATTTGAAGAGGAATTCCTATGAAAATGACTAACTGTAAAAATGCGAAAATGCGATAACTGTAAAAATTATATCTTTGTGAATTTCTTGAAATTGTTTATTAAATTAAAAATCGCAAGTTTTGTGTTTATACAGCTCAATCATATGTACATTATCAATGTTCCAAATAATTGATCCGTTAATATCATGATCGAGGTAAACAAATCACCATTTCCATTATTTCTGATGATATCTCCTTTGATCAGATTGATTGCTAATTACGAGCTCAAACCCATCAGTCAGTAATGCGGTTAACCACAATGCTGAGTGAGCTATAGCCGGGGGTTCCCTAATGCGAGAATATCATCTGTTTAATTTATAATTCAATAAGTGGTGAATCGTTAACGAACGGAACGAGCCGAATCGGGAATTTATTATATATTCTAAATGAGAGCTCTTCGAAGTTTATCAAGTGACAGTTCCACTGAAATTTCAGGAAATTTCCTAATTGAAAATTCACAATTTAATGAAAAAAAGTTAATCCAAACTGTTGGTTTTAATTTATTCAATGACGATTAATAAAAATCAGGAAAATACCAGCAAATATATTCCTGAGTTTTGAATCCATTGAAAATTCTGCGTGATTTGGTCCTGAATTTTCTCTCGAATCTTAAATTTCATGATTTTTTTTCTTCCTAAATAAACCTCAATGTCCGTCTCGTGAAAATTACCCATCAACTATCTAGTAAATTTCAATTTTTTTTCCAACCGCGTGAGGGCGACGAAATGTCAGGAAATTTCGTAATTGAAAATTCACAATTTAATAAAAAAAATTAATGGAAACTTGATTTAAATTTATTCAATGACGATTAATGAAAATCAGGAAAATACTAGCAAATATATTCTTGAGTTTTGAATCCATTGAAAATTCTGCGTGATTTGGCCCTCAGTTTTCTCTCAAACCTTAAATTTCATGATTTTTTTCTTCTTAAATAAACCTCAATGTCCGTCTCGTGAAAATTACCCGTCAACTATCCACTAAATATCTATTTTTGCATTTATTTTGAATTTATGTTTGCAATGCACAATACCAATGACCTTCCCCAGAGAATCCCGATATGGTAATTTACCCCGCATAAATTACACCTCCAAAACAAACCGAGTGACAATTAACTTCGAACTAAACTCCTCGTCCTTGGAAATTTGTTTAGCCAACTCACCAAAGATTAACTTGGGGAACTAGTTCTGTATAGACAAATGAATCCAATTTCGATGATATCTTCCCACTTCAGCACACAAATATCATCCTCATGCGTTTCAAGGGAGACATTTGATAAGATTATATGTACCATAACGCATCTGTGCAAGAGGATTGCACCCATATACCATTTACCATTGGGGCCTCCAACTTTCAGCAATTTCTGAGGGGCAATAGTTGAAACAACTGCGGTGGGTAACCGTCTTTCCAGTCCCCCCACCCCCCATCCCCACCAGTTGGCAAAAGAAACTTTAGCCAATTTGACGTCGTCATAAATTACTCCGCACCCATGCCGGCAACCTGATAATTCCCAGACTCCTTTTACTATCTTGGGGAAATTTAATTAACACAAGCGGACTATAGGGTTTTCGAGCCCGCGGTGTAACAACAGGAAGAGTTCCGGGGATGAAGCGCGGAAGCTGGTTTTATTCGGGTTGACTCAATCCTGAAACACAAGTGGGTAATCTACGGTAAATCTGTTAGACCCGGGGTAAATCCCATTGGCTCAGTGCCCTAAATCATGTTTTATCTGTGTTTATCATCGCCATTGTCTAAACAAGAGGGGTTGTAGTTACACGAGGAGAATTTTATTGTAGAAATTCTAATGATGTGGACATTTTAGTTGAATTATTCTATGAAAATCAATAAAAATCAGGAAAATTTCGGTAAATACATTCTTGAAGTGCCAATTTATCAAAAATTCAGAGTAATTTGACACTGAATATTCTTTTTCTTCAAGTCAAACAAGTTGAGGCATTCTGTCGTAATATTGCTAAAAAATGTGGAATTTCATTTAATTTTCCGTGCCAAATTCTGAAAATTTTTATCGTGTTTAAGATCCACTGAAATTTCAGGAAATCTTGTCATTGAAAAATCAAATATTCCATTGATTTTTTGTTCAAATAATCTGGAAATCAATAAAATACTTGATTTTTCAGTTCAATTATTCTGTGAAAATTCAGAAAAATTAGGAAAATTTAGGGAAAATTTGAAAATTCTTCATTTCTGTTGCACTGAACATTCAATCAAGTTGTGACATTTTCATCTTACGCCCACTTAAAACTCATGGCCTTTCGTGAATTCTACTTAAAACTTGTATTTTCATAATCATTTTTTCCCAAAATGCCATTCAATGTCACTCTCATGAGATTTACTATAATATCATCCATGAAATGTCAAAAAATTTCTAACAGTGTGAAATTGAATTGAAATAAATTTGAAAAATTTGTTGAAATTTTTAGAAATTCTCGTCATGTTTTAGTTTCTCTGGAATTTCAAGGAATTTTGCAATAGAAAATTCAGATTATCACGGGATGAAAAATCAATGAGAACTGTAAATTTCAGTTGAATTATTCCATATATAAAATGACATCGTAACCTCTGAGAAAAGAATAGAAAGTTGAAAATTATAATTGCAGGATAATCAATTTCAATGTCCCCCGGATATTCTCAACCGTCGCGCAGCTGGCAGGAGTGTAAACATTTCAATTCGCGACTCTAGCCACTGAGCGCCGTGCACCCCATAAAGGGCCAGTGAGCCAAAGCCCTCTGTCACGAATATAAAATCAACTTTGTTTCCGGGTAAATGACAAAACTTTGTGGTTTATATGATAATTCAGTGGCGTTCCTGGCTTTTCCCCGTAGCTCCCGGGAGGGAAAAATCTACTGGGAGTTTATTTATAATACTAGACGGTGAAAATACATTTTGAAAAGGTCACGCAAACTTTTATGAGTTTACGTGAGTTGTTGCAGCATCACGTGAATGAGTAAACAAGTTTTGGTTGAACGGCTGGGTTAAATCACTGGTTTTGTCGGTTGAGGGAATCTACTTGAGACATGAATGGGTACATTTTTTAACGATTGGGGAGAGGTGGAGGATCAGCGAAGGCCATTTCGCCGTCTCTTCTGCAATTTCCTATGGGGACAGGGTGGAATTAGCCAGTGCCAAAGGGCCAACTTCACTGCACATGCAGCCAGAGGCTCGTGACTTTCGTCGCGTGACCATCGGGCTTGCAACCATCAAGCTTTACCCACCTCAGTGTGTTCCATTCGTCATCCAGATACCCCCCCAGCCAACTTGGTGAACCGAGGGAAGAAGAAGGATGGGCTTGATGAATCGCTTGAGGCGACTTTAGACGACAATTCTACTCAGTTATGACTCGAATTCCCGGCCTGTGAAAACGGAACTAGTACAGTCCCATTCAATCTCTATATACCACGTTATCCAATCTGAAGCGTGATCCATATTCTAGAATGCGAATTCGTTCACATCTGTTGGATTTCCAGGCATTGGGGTTTCGGTAAATTCTGAAAATGGTTTTCCTGTTATTTCTTCCTCAACAGTGTTTGTTTTCAGGATATCCCAGTGCGCTGTTTGAAATTTTTTGAAATTTAAGCAACAGATATATTTGAGGAGCGAAGTGGTAAAACGGTTTAAGTCGACTTATCGCTCAGTTGAGTTTTTGAGGAATATTTCCGAATCTAAGGGAGATAGCGAAATTTTTGTAATAACATTTGTTGTAGCTCTCAATCGGCTCTACTAAAAAGGTCATAACAAAGATTTTGCTATCTCCCTTAGATTCTGAGATATTCATTGAAAACTGGTCAATAGCCAAAATTGACTTGTACCGTCTTACCCCTTCGCTACTGATTTGAATTTTCAATATTCTGAAGTTGAATTCAATTTCGGGCTAATTTGCTCATGGAATTTCTGAT